TGAAACAGCGTGTTTAGCACAGCGCTATCGATGTCGCGTTTCATCACGAAGGTCGGCGTTCGAATCCTGTCGTGCACATTGATTCGGTAAAGTCCCTTTCTTGTTCCGTTTTGTAGTTTTGTTGTTTCCAGATTTCCAATCACCATAAAACCAAATAATCTGAACAGAATAAGAATAACTTTAACATAAAGAATGTTCTTAACATTCAGAATCTATATCCAAAACGACCACCCCTATTCATATATGTAAACCTATATTATATGTCAATGTATATGTAAATAGCAGTAGTTCATCAAATATCAAAGTCATGTTACGATATTATATAATTCTCATTATATGTCAAGTGCATCTAAAAATTACACTGTAATGTTGCTTCGCAACCCTAAGACGATTTCGTCGCCTCCTGTTTGGGTTGCGAAGCAACCTATTAAAGCCGGCGGCCCAAATTGTTCATGCTTTTAAAAGTTGACCAAGAGGGAGTTTTTCTGGTGTGGGCTTTGGCGAGAGTTTCCGATTTCGTCTAGGTTCGTTTTTTTCGCGAGACACAGCCAACCCTCGGTTTTCCCCCTGGTGAGTGAATCTGTCTTCGAAAGTCCCAAATTGCAAGTGCGTGACTTTCAAAAGCTTGGACACTCAACTTCGTCAAGTTTTAAAAACTTGACCCTCGCGGCCCGCAATTTGGGACGCGGGCTTTAAAACCAGGGTGCACATTCAACGCGGTTCGGCTTGAGATGTTGGGAAGGGGGTTTGGAGAAAAACAGTGATTGGCTCACGAGGGGCGACAAAAAAATGATTCCGCTAGAGCTTCGGGCATTTCGTAGGTGGCGGGAGGGGGTGAAATGGCGGGAGTGGGTGAAACCGAATGGCGGGAGGGATGAAACAGATTGGCGGGAGGGGGGGGAAACGAAATTGCGGGGGAGGGGGGAAACAAAATTGCGGGGGAGGGGGGAAACGAATTTCGACGGGGAGGGGGAAATGAAATTGCGGGGGCGTGGGGAAACGAAATTGCGGGGGAGGGGGGAAACGAATTTCGACTTGAAGGGGTTGAAAGCACACCTCGTAACCCACTCAGTCAAGGGATAACCTTTGATGCACATTCAGCTGAATGTGCACCCCGGTTTTAAGATCGATTTGGCCAGTTTTTTTTTTTTCCACATTTTCACATTTTATTTATTTATTTAAATAAAATATGAAAATCGGAAAAAAAAAATATGGATGCACTATTCTAACGTAGAAGTCCTGTCTAGTTCAATTATTCTAACGTGGAGTAGTGATTGTTTGGACAACTAGGTTGTCCCTGTGATTTACTTTGTTGTGATTTAGTATAGTATAATATGCACATGATATGAAAAGATGAATATAATGATCGGTGAATTTAGATGAATAGATGATATTATATAGAATAGCATATATTGTGTAACATATGCTATGATGAATGATAAATGCATGCCTTATACAATAATCGATATGGATAATGCTTACCTGTTACTGACAATCCAAGATGCATATTTATAATGATAAAATGCGTGAAAGCTAACGACCCAAAAACTATGCTATCGCATCCCCTGCCTAGCATGGGGGGGAGCTAATAGCATAATCTTTGAATAATCAGCAGTCACATGAAACAACACAATCTGTGAACCCTAAAAAGATGGTCAACACTATCATCTCCAGTTCAAGTGGGCTCCCGACAGGCGCGCCAATGAACCTTCTAATGAAATGATAGACCTGATTCACCTTTTTAAAACCCACAGACATGCATTGTTATTGCAATGATAGTATATGCAAATGAAATGGATGGATGCACACACACATACACACACACACACACATACCAGACACATACGCACATGCAATAAAACCTACATCTTAATAAAAATACAAGGCACATGAGTGAACATAAATTAACGAGTTCTACAAGCCGCCTCTAGTACGGTATCTTCCAGCTTCCACATTGTGACTTGACTTTCTGAATGTTAGAGCAAGCTGAAATACAGAGCAAATGGGGAAAAGCGGGAACAAGGGAGAGGTTAAGGAAATTGATAAAAATTGAAGAACGGAAATTCAAAATACAACAAGTGAAAAAGGAGCAGAAGAGAAGGCAGCACATCACCGACGCAAGAACAAACCGCCAAACCGAAAGACGAATAAAATACAAAATAACAGAAATCGAAGCAAAACGGAAGGAAAAACACGAGAAAACAGAAACAACAAAAAAGAATTTACAAACCAAGTACTGATCTGCTGCAGCCTATAAAGCAGATTAGTACTTGGCACGAGAAAGAGAGAACTACGTGTGAGTTGTTTCCTGAAAGGCTTGCCAGTCTCTTATAGTCGAATCGAAACCAGATTATCGTGAACTAGTAAAAACAAAACGGTAGTTAGATGAAACCAGAATTCGTAAATAAATTGCTACTCTAACTACACGAATATTTTCGTCGTCAAAGAGACTGAACATGATGCTCATGCTCTGTTGGCAACTCTGAGTAATGCCACAGCCCTTAATACGAATAAGGATTAGCTAAATATGGCAAGCATGAGATGACAACGGTAAAGCATTACGGTTGAAGGAAGGAGAGGGGGAAGAAAAACGGAGAGAAAACTGGAAAGTCAGAGGAGTGAAAGAGAGAGAGAGAGATAAAACGGATGTGGGCAAAGAAGGTAGAGGGAATGCAAGAAAGAACATCAACACAATCTAGCAGAAACACTACTTACTAAACGAAAGGAAACAAGAATGAGAAGAAGAAAAATACTGAAAAGAAGAGAAAGAACAAGATGAGAATGAGAGAGGAGTGGTAAAACAAAGAGCAAACACGTACTCACATCATCACTTATACGAAGTAGATGGCGCATAGGTAGCAGGTGAACTGAAGGAGGGACGTATAAGATGATAAGAAAGAAAGGAAACGAGAGAGAACGAGAAAGAGAACGAGAGAGAGAACGAGAGAGAGAGAACGATAGAGAGAGAACGGGAGAGAGAACGGGAGAGAGAGAACGGGAGAGAGAGAACGGGAGAGAGAGAACGGGAGAGAGAGAACGAGCGAGAGAGAACGGGAGAGAGAATGGGAGAGAGAGAACGAGCGAGAGAGAACGGGAGAGAGAGAACGGGAGAGAGAGAACGGGAGAGAGAGAACGGGAGAGAGAGAACGAGCGAGAGAGAACGAAATGGACTGAACGTGCAACCTATTACAATCTTTATGTACAACCTAAGACGAGGTTGAGAAAAAAATGAACTAAAACATGCAAATATGAAGAAAAGGCAACCGACGAGAGGAAAAGTTTAAGGATGAAGAATAGAAGAAACAGATGCAAGCTTATGCAGGAAGGAGAACCTGAAATCTTTACAAAGGGCCGAGAACCTAAGTTTAAACAACTAAGTCTCGCTAATACTCATCCATTTACACGGTTAGGATACGGAATGACTAAATGTTAGTCTATCTAATAGGCATCTAATTTAGTTGGAGTTAAAATTGAGGGATCTTCTTACCTAAGTTGCAGTTAGAGTAGGTGGAGAAGTTGGTAGAGCGTGACGAGATTCGTCGCAAATTTATTTTTCCGATAAATTCAGCTATTGGAGATGGATGTCAGTGCTGTCGCAGTCGTACAAGGTTGACGGTGGAATCGAAAGATCTCCAGTTCGATTCTAACTCGGTACATTTGATCTTTGCCTGGTGAGAGGAAGTACCGCTTAGTGTCATACTACAGCATAATGTACAGAATTAGAAGTTGTACAAATTTATATAATTACGCAAAACGCTTCGCAACCCTAAGACGAATTCGTCGCCTCTTGTTTTGGTTAGAAATCTAGGCATTTATCTTTTCCTCCCCCTCTTCCCTTCCTCCTCCCCTCTTCCTCCATTCTACGTACCCCTTGAATGGAGATCTAGGCCTCTAGATACAGTAGTACCTGCCAGGGACACATGCAAGGCAGATACGATTAGCCAATTTAGATCTTATTTTCCTTTGTTTTAGGTTTATTTTTGTTGTTTTTTTTTTTCTTTACAAGTTGTGAGTTTTTTTAAGTCATCCTCGAGATCTCTCGTGAACCCTATTCCGAAACCTAAGAAGCCATGGCCGGACCGTCGCCCAGCGTCACGCAAGACGGACAAGGTAGCCATCTCACGTGGACAATTAGTAAAAACACACACAAAAAAACAAGAAACTGAGGGTTACGAATGACTCGCGCGTTCGCTATGTACGCTCGAGTGACAGCACTGTTCGTCATCGCTCCTGCTTCTGTGGACCTAATCTCTTGCTGATGATGACTGCTGCGTGCATTCTAGCCGACATAACACCAGTCATGTATCCTCCCCCGCCTTCCTCCCCCCCTCCTCCCTTGGTTTGTTTGTTTGCTTGTTTTTTTTTTGCGGGTTTTCCCGCCTTTCTTGCTTTCTTATCTTTCAACAGCTTCCAACAAGCCAGAGGGAGCCAGCGGCTCTATCGGAGCAGCAGCTCCGACTGCCGTGACTCCGTCAGCAGAGGTACATTCGCCTTCATTGATAAGATTTTTAAGATTGCAACTCGAATTGCGATTCTGATGATCTGAAAGGGTCTGCACTTTTCCTCTCCGAGCGATGGTTATTAAACCCTTCAGTGCAAATGCGTGCGTTTCCTAGGAAAAGAATTCCCGTTTGATATCAGAGGAAATCTTGGTCCCCACCAATCCGCATTCACCTCGTCCGGAAATAATCCTGGATACACACTCTATTCCGCGAAAGGTATCAAGCCTCTCAGATCCACGGACCTGACCAGGCAGCGGCAAACCAGAAGGCCACCTAATCAAAAGCGATATTCGAATCAGTTTGATCCATATTACACGCTTTCGCCACTGGCCAATGCCAATATCAGCGGGATTTCCGCATATTTCTATGCCTCATTCCCTTTTTCCCTTTTCCTCAAGCAGGCTTCAGGAGCAGCAGGGGGCTCCCAACGATCGCCTTTGAGACGTCTCAAAGAATTCCGCATACTTTCTATGCCTCCTTCCCTTATTCGCTCGTCCCATGCAGGCTCCAGGAGCAGCAGGGGGCTCCCATGCAGCGCCAGGGGGGTCTTTCCAACCGTCGACAGGCGCTGTCGCCGCACCCGCGGGCCCAGTAATCGTGGGCCCGCCCGGAACCATTCCCCCAGGCGCGGGGGTTCCGGGCGCAGGCGGAGCACCCGGCGCAGGGGGGGGAGTAGCGGGGGGGGTGGCGGGCGCGTCTCCCGTAATGCAGCCTATGCCTGGGGGAATGCAGCACATGCAGCCGTATATGATTCCCCCTATGGGGCCGGATATGCATGGCATGTACTACCCCGGGAATGGATACATCCCCCACTACTACTACGATTACTCCATGCCAGGTCAGCATTGAATGCAGCACATGCAGCCGTATATGATTCCGCCTATGGGGCCGGATATGCATGGCATGTACTACCACGGGAATGGATACATCCCCCACTACTACTACGATTACTCCATGCCAGGTCAGCGTTTTTAGCCTCATTTCAATATTTCCCGTTCTCGCCAAAACCCATTTTTCCCACTGCCAGTGCCCCTCTCCCGCCCACCCTCCCCCTCCGCCCCCCGCCCCCCCTAATCCCTCCCCTTCCCCCAACCCCTCTCCTGCACCTTCCTCCCTCCGCCCACCCAGTCCCTCCCCCTCTTTTCCTCGGTTTTTTTTGTTCCATACATCCTTCTCGTCGTTTCGATCACCATCCGGGTGTCTCATATTCCCGTCACCCCTCTTCCCCTCTCAACCCCTTTCTTGAACAACCCTCACCTTTCCTCTGGAAACGCCCTCCAACGCTCAAAGGCTCTCCCCTTTCCCTCCCCCCTCTCTCCCATCCCCTCCCCTTCCCCCGTCTTCCCGTCCCCCCAGGCTACGCGGATCCTCCGCGCATGCCCCCCGAGCAGTGGGAGGAGTACATGCGCATGGCCGCGCGGATGGATGGGGGAGCGGGCATGATGGACGGTCAGCAACCGCCGGTAGGTCGTTTGGGTGACAAAGCCGTTTGCAGCACCGTTTGCCGGGCCATTTCCAGCGCTGTAGGTGATTTGTGAGTTAAAATTAATCACCTTGGGGAGCAGGCATGGTGGACGGTCAGCAGGAGCCGGTAGGTCGTCTGGGTAGGTCGCAAGGGCCTTTGCAGGGCTGTACGTGAATACTGAGCTGATTCAAACTCATATCCAGTAGCGGGCATGATCGACGCTCAGCAGCCACCGATTAGGTCGTATGGGTAGTATATAATGGCGTTTGCCGGGCTGCTGACAAGGCCGTTTGCAAAGCCATTTGCAAAGCCGTCGCCGTCTGTAGTTCAACTGAAAGGCTCAGTAGCCAATGCCTCCTAAACCTCCTGAAAACCCGCCGACAGATGGTAGCTGAAACTCCCCTCTTACGGATTGTTGTATTTTCAGCTTATTTTTTCTCAATTCACCTCTGCTTTACTCCCGTCCTTTGCCTGCAGCCAGGGTTTGGGTTTCACGTGCCACACTACCCACACCCACACATGCCGCCCGGTTTCATGCCCCCCCATGCGCCTGGTCAACCGCCCCAGCCGCACATGATGCACCCACATCAACCCGGCCAGCCGCAACCCCCGCCACCGCCGCTAACGGCGCAGCAGCAGTCGCAACAGGGGCAGCAGCAGCAAGGGCAGGGGCAGGCGCAGCAGCAGGGACAGGCGCAGCAGCAGGGGCAGGAGCAGGGGCAGGGGCAGCAGCAGGGGCAGGAGCTGACACAAGGTGCGCAGCAGCAGCAACAGCAGGATCAGAAGCAAGCACAAAGCAGCAACCAGCAGACAGGGCAGCAACCGTCAGGCCAGCAACAGCAACAGCAGCAGCAGCAGCAAGTGCAACAGCAAGGGCAGCAACCCAACCAGCCGCAGCAACAACAGCAGCCGCAGCAACCCCAGCAGGGCATGGCCCTTCACCATCCTCCGCCCGGCTTCATGCCTTTCATGCCCCCAGGCGCACACCCGTCCATGATGGGCGCTCACATGTTCGGCGCCCCTCCCCCCGGGTACCCCTTTCAAGGTCCTCCTATGTTTCAGCCGCCTCTACTCCGTCCGCCCTCGCCTGGCGGTAAGTCGTAGGTCAGGGACGGGCAAGCATCCGTCCATGATGGGCGCTCACATGTTCGGTGCCCCTCCCCCCGGGTACCCCTTTCCAGGAGGACCCATGTTCCAGCTGCCCCTGCTCCGCCCTCCTTCGCCTGGAGGTAAGTTGTGAGTCAGGGATGGGCGCACACCCGCCCTTGATGGGTGGAAACATATTGCGCCCATGCTCCCCACACACGTCCCCAGTGATTGTCATCCCACCCCACTTGCCTTGCCCGTTTTGAACTCTCACTGAGACCGTGTTCTCCTCATCCTTCCCCTTTCCTGTCAACTCGCCCGCCACGCCCTTAACCCCCCTCCCTCCCACCCCGTTTCCCCGTTCCCCTCCCCCAGACCCAGCGCAGCCTGGCGATTCCGCCCAGTCAGGTGCAGCATCCGCGCACATCCGCCCAGGTCACATGCCCCCAGTCTGGCCCTTCTCACACTCATGCTGTGTCCCCACCCCCCATTCCTCTTCCCCCCTCGACCTCCCCCCCCTTCTCCCCCCCAGACCCAGCCCAGCCTGGCGATTCCTCCCAGCCAGGCGCAGCATCCGCGCACATCCGCCCAGGTCACATGCCCCCAGTGATCGGCGCCCCTCCCCACATGCCCCACATGCCCATGCACGCCTACCCCCGCCCCTCCCCCATGTCCTCCGCCTCCCCGCCCATAAACCCGCTCCCCATGGGCCGTGGGGGGTACAATCTCCTCCCCCGCGGAGGGCAGCAGCCTATGGGCGGGCGCGGGGGAGGCGGGCGCGGGGTGGACGGTGGCGGAGGAGGGGGAAGGGGAGGCGGGCGCGGATGGGGGGGGAACAGGCGGGGGCAAGGCCCTGGGGGTGGGGGCCAGGCAGGCGGAGGGGGAAGCGGGGGAGGGGGAAGCGGAAGTGGCGTGGGCGCAAGTGCAGCTGCAGGCGGAGGAGGAGCAGGAGCGGGAGCAGGGGCAGGGGGAGCAGCGGGGGGAGGCGGGGGGAACACGGGGGGGGCGGGTTCCCCTGCTAACAGAGGAGCTGGTCTTTTAGGCAGCATGGGGGGACAGGGGCAGCAACAGCAGCAGCTAGGCCAACAGGGGCAGCAGGGGCAACAAAGCGGTGTGTATGACGGGTCTAGCGAGCAGAACAGAGGTCCTAGAACGGGCAGAAGTAGGGGGCAGGGCCTTCCCACCCCCTCTGCACCTGGCGCTCCCAGTGCGTCTATGCCTATAGGGGCAGCTGCTGGCGCCATAGGGGAGCCTATCGGCGCTGCTGCTGCTGCTGCAGCTGCAGCAGGGGCGGGAGCAGGGGCAGCTGGGGGAGCGGGGGGAGCGATGGGGGCAGCAGTGGCAGCAGGGGGGGCACGGGGCGGAATAACCCTGCGTCCAGACGAGTACAATCGGGCAGACTTCAAGACGTCGTACGAGGCGGCGAGATTCTTTGTGATAAAGAGCTACAGCGAGGACGATGTGCACAAGAGCATCAAGTACGGCGTGTGGGCGTCCACCCCCACGGGCAACAAGCGCCTCGATGCAGCCTTCAAGGACGCCGCAGGGAAGAGCAGCGCCACCCCCTGCCCCGTCTTCCTCTTCTTCTCTGTAAGTTTGCTGTGCTTGCTTCACCCACCCCCAATCCAGAAACCCCCACCCTGGAAATTCCCAACCCAGAAACCCCCAACCCAGAGACCCCGAACCAGACGCCCCAATCCAGAAACCCCAAACAAGACAACCTGAACCAGATACCCCAAGCCGAGAAACCCTGAACCAGAACCGTAAGCCAGCCCCTCCCGGGGCTGCGGTTGTTTGTGATAAAGAGCTACAGCAAGGACGAGACGATGTGCACAAGAGCATCAAGTACGGCATGTGGGCGTCCACCCCCACGGGCAACAAGCGCCTCGATGCCGCCTTCAAGGACGCCGCAGGAAAGAGCAGCGCCACCCCCTGCCCCGTCTTCCTCTTCTTCTCCGTAAGTTCGGTGTTTGTGCATGTTCCTCCTTGGACCAGGTTCAGAAACCCTAACCCAGAAACCCCAAACCAGACACCCTGAATCAGACACTCTAAACCGGAATCAGACACCCCAAACCAGACACCCCAAACCAGACACCCCGAATCAGACACCCCAAACCGGAAACCCCTTAAACCCAAGATCCCCAACCAGAAACCCTAAGCCAGCCAGCCCCCCCTGGGGGTGCGGTTCTTTGTGATAAAGAGCTACAGCGAGGACGATGTGCACAAGAGCATCAAGTACGGCGTGTGGGCGTCCACCCCCACGGGCAACAAGCGCCTCGATGCCGCCTTCAAGGACGCCGCAGGGAAGAGCAGCGCCACCCCCTGCCCCGCCTTCCTCTTCTTCTCCGGAAGTGCCGTAACCCGAACAAGGAACCTGAACCCAGAAACTCCAAATCAGACAACCTGAACAAAACCCAAAACCCTGAACCAAACCTGAAACCCTGAACCAAACCCTAAACCCTGAACCATCCACTCGGGAATTGCGCCGCTGCCCCCTGCTCCGTCTTCCTCGTCATCTCGGTGCGTGCTGTGCTGTGTGTGCCTGCTCTGCCCCGCTCCAGAAACCGTAATCCAGACACCCCGATTCAGGAGCCCGAAATCAGTCACCCTAACACCAGCCACTTCGATCTAGACCAGACACCCCTTCCCCCTCCCCCCTCCCCCCTCCCCATTCCCCCGTTCCCCTCCCCCTCTCCCCTGTTTCGCCATCAGTTGCCTTCTACCCAGGTGAACGCGAGCGGGCAGTTCTGTGGGGTGGCGGAGATGCTGACCCCGGTGGACTTCACTCGCACGCTTCCACTCCCCTCCCTTTCCCCCCTCTCTTCCCGCCACCTCCCGCACCACCCCACCCTGCCCTGCGCCCAGGTGAACGCGAGTGGGCAGTTCTGTGGGGTGGCGGAGATGCTGACCCCAGTGGACTTCACTCGCACACTTTATCTTTCCTTCCCTTTCCTGCCCCCCCCTCTTTCCTCCTTTCTCCCCTGTCTCGATCCCTCCTCTCACCCTCCCTGTTTCAGGTGAACGCGAGTGGGCAGTTCTGTGGGGTGGCGGAGATGCTGACCCCGGTGGATTTCACTCGCAGTGTGGACTACTGGCAGCAGGACAAGTGGAACGGGCACTTCCAGGTCAAGTGGCACGTGATCAAGGACGTGCCCAACTCGCAGTTCCGGCATATCATCATCGCTTCCAATGATGGCAAGCCTGTTACCAACAGCCGAGACACGCAGGAGGTGAGAAGGGGTTGAGAGCGGTTGAAAGGGGTTGGTGATGGGGGAGTGGGGCGAGTGGCATATGATCAAGGATATGCCCAACTCACAGTTCCGGCACATCATCATCGTGTCTAATGACGGCAATTCCTTCAATTTCGTCCCCCCCTTCTCCTTCAACGCCCCTTATCCCTCAGATCCTTCCCCCCCTCTCTCCTTCAACGCCCCTTATCCCTCAGATCCTTCCCCCCCTCTCTCCTTCAACGCCCATTATCCCTCAGATCCTTCCCCCCCTCTCTCCTTCAACGCCCATTATCCCTCAGATCCTTCCCCCCCTCTCTCCTTCAACGCCCATTATCCCTCAGATCCTTCCCCCCCTCTCTCCTTCAACGCCCCTTATCCCTCAGATCCTTCCCCCCCTCTCTCCCTCAAACCCCCCAACCCCTCTCTTCCCTCGTTCCCTCCTTCGTTCCCCCCCAGGTGCCGCTGCAGCAAGGGCAGGAGATGCTGCGGCTGTCCAAGGGCTACTTGTCGCTTATGCCATGCACTGCCCATTCCCTATTCGATCCCCCCATCCACCCTTTCCCCCCTCCTCCCCCCTCCAGGTGCCGCTGCAGCAGGGGCAGGAGATGCTGCGGTTGTTCAAGGGCTACTCGTCCCAGTGATACACCTTTACTTCTTTTCACTTCTCGATTCACTCCCCTTTCCTCCCTCTCCTCTTCCCCCTCCAGGTGCCGCTGCAGCAGGGGCAGGAGATGCTGCGGCTGTTCAAGGGCTACTCATCGCGCACGTCCATTCTGGACGACTTTACCATCTACGACTCGCGCCAGCGCGCCATGCAGGAGCGGAAGACCCGCCACCCTTCCCACCCGTTCCCGCACCAGCAGCAATCGCAGCACCTGCAGCAGCATCAGCAGCAGCAGCAGCAGCAGCAGCACCAGCATCCTCATCAGCAGCAGCTGCAGTCGCAGCAGCAGCAGCTGCAGCACCAGCATATGCAGCAGCAGCAGCATCAGCAGCACCAGCAGCAGCTGCAGCAGCAGAGGCGGATTGTAGTAGGGCGGAACCCGGGACCAGTGCTTCTGCCTCAGGTATTTCTCGTGCCCGTCGTTTCTTTACCTTATCACCCGCACTTGAAGTTCCTTCTCCCTCCTGCCCTACCTCTCCCCTCCCGTTCCCCCTACCATTCCCCTTCCTCTTCTCCTTCCCCGGCCTTCCGTTTCCCCCCCTTTCCCCCACTACCCTCCCTCCCCGACTCCCCTCCCTCCCCCACTCCCCTCCCTTCCCGACTCCCCTCCCTCCTCCACTCCCCTCCCTCTCCGCTTCCCACCTCTCATGCCTCTCGATCCCATCAACCCTTCCTTTGTTTCTGCTTTCGCTATTGCTACCCCCATGCTATACTGATTTAGCTACTACCTCACCTTTCCCCACCTTTCCTTCCTCTATTCCCCTTACTCTTTCCCTCTGTTCCCCTGCTCCGCTGTTCCCTTGCTCTCTTGCTCCCTTTCTCCCCTGCCCCGCTGTTCCCTCTACTCCTCTGTTCTCCCAGCCTCGGCTCGACGCTCGCCCGCTGGACTACCCCTTCCCACCTCTCATGCCTCTCGGCCCCATCAACCCTGCCTTTGGCCCTGCCGGCCTGCCTCTTCCCAACAACGTTGCTGCTGGCCCCAGGCTATCCTGATGCAGATACCCACTCACTCTTTTCCTCCTTTCCTCCTCCCATTCCCGTTCCCCTTTTCCCATGTTCCCCTCTTCCCTTGCGCCCCTGTACTGCTGTTCCCTCTTTTCCCTCGTTCTCCCAGCCTCGACTCGACGCTCGTCCGCTGGACTACCCCTTCCCGCCGCTTATGCCTCTAGGCCCCATCAACCCTGCGTTCGGCCCTGCCGGCCTGCCTCTTCCCGCCAACGCTGCTCCCGGCGCTGCTGCTGCTGCTGCTGCTGCTGGGTTTGGGGGACACGGGAGAATGATGTATTCGCACACAGGTCCTATTGGTGCTGCTCCTGGTGCTGGGCGAGGGAGAGGGGGGCGTGGGGGAGCGGGAGGGGGAGGAGGAGCAGGAGCGGGAGGGGGGGGAGGAGGGGGAGCAGGGTCGGGGTTAGGAGGAGTGTCTAGTAGTGCGAGTGCGCTTGCCAGTATGCTGCCTGCTTCCGTCATGCCTAGCCCTACTCCTGCTGCTGCTGCCGCCGCCGCCGCCGCTGCTTCTGGTGCGATAGGTGAAGGAGAGAAGTTGGGAGCTGCTACTGCGACGTCTGGTGCTGCTGCTGGTGGTGCTGGTGCTGGCGCTGGTACTGGTTCTAAGAATGGTGGGGCAGCAGTAGGGGGGAAGGGAGGTGAAGGGAAGAAAGCTGGAGGGAAGGGAGGGGAGACGGCAGCAGCGGTCGTGGAGGGTGTGGCAGTGATGTCCCTTGGGGATGGGAAGTGAGGGGACACGAGGGAAGGTGTGAGGAGAGACGTGTCACAAAAACGGAGGGCTGTTACTCAAGGTGGAGAGGTGTTGCGCAAGGTGCAGAGAGGTTCGACGCAAGGAGCAGAGAGGTGTTTCGCAAGGTGTGGAGAGGTGTTTCACAAGATGCAGAGGTGAAATGTAAGGTTCAAGAGGTGTCATTCAACTGTTACTCAAGCTGCAGTGAAGAGTCACTCATTCAGTGATGTGTCAATGTCAACGCGATACTCCCAAAGCGGGCAGTATGAGGAGGGAAAAGGAATGAGGGAGAACTGAGGCGTTTGGTCAAAGGCAGGGGAGGAGGTTGGATGGAGAAGTGAACAAGATATCTGGAATCCGCAAGAAAAGCACTAGCAAGAACCACTGTTCTGCGTGACAGAAGTGGGATTGCCTTTTTTTTTTTTCTGCTGTTGACCCATTAACAAGCCACTTAAGATAGTACAGTAGCAGGAGAGGAGAGAGGTTGACAGCAGCTCTGGTGGTAGAAGTGTTAGAGAGAGCAACATGGATGCAATGTATGGCTATCTTAGTCTTATGTCACATGAACTGGGCAAGCAATTATGTGGAGCAATGCCACTGGCCTTGTCAAGGACCTGTACATGGCAGACATGATGTGCTAGGTTAGTGCGTTTATCAAAACATGTGTCACGGGCTGCACGATGTGCTGTGTACAAACAATTAGTGCCAAAGCAATTATCCCATACAACCATGTACCAAGACAGTATCTCACCTGGAAACACTGCTTCGCGTTCAGCTAAAACGTGAATGGCCTATGAAGTCGAGACTCTTTGAAATTAGAAAAGCTGCTTCAAAAAACCCAACAACGCTCTGCATGCGCACTGCGACAGCTCAACAACACTGAACAGCTCTGACGAGTTCAGTAGTCAGCAAGCCGAGACACGGATTGAAATCAGCGAGCACTGAGCAACGCCGCGCCTTGCCAGAGGTTGGGAAGAATGGGCAGGTGAACTGAAACTCAGAAAGCATGGGAATCTGCAGCCTCCCTAGAACTCAGAAATCAGCGTCCACTCGCGGTGGGAATCTGCTTCGCGAGAAACAGGTCACGAAATCTCGTATGAGAGGCTGTCGTTTCAATCTGCAAGGAGTCGGAATGCAGGGATCCTGGATTCCTGGCTCATGGTTGCCAGCCACTCCTTGGCAGCTCCCCGCCCAGCAATTACTTCTCTCCAGCGAGATAGCTGACCGTGTTTTACCTCCTCGCAATCTCCTTGCGTCTTCATTCTGCTCTTCATTCTTGAAGTTCCCATTCGTTTAGAATCAGCATGACGTTCACAGTCATGAAAGTAGTCACACTGCCGCTCATATCTTCAACTGTTCTGGGAAATGGCAGTGGATGGGATGCAGAATCCGCCGCCGCCTCTCTTTCCGACTACCCTCCAACACCGCGGGGTGGGACTCTTCGATTACACTTCCATGCTGGAGACGAAGTTCCCAGTTTTACACTAGCTTGCGTGGCATTCCGGGAAAATTTGAAGGCCTAGGATGGATGATGGCCTTAGCACGCGAGCTTCTTGTTTGGATTTTTTTCTCCGAAATATCTTCAGTCACGAGGTGCGAGCTTCATTTTCGTGTTTCCTGCGAATTCAAAAGGATTCTGTTTCCATGTCAGTTACTTCTTAGGCACCTGCGACGTAGAGTCATAAGCCCGCTCTGTACTACTATCTCTGTGTGCGTAGAACGGCTTAACCACGAATAGTCTGTCCTCGCGGAGCTAGCCCGAGAATTCTTGTTACTTTCATAGCTTTGATCTTCTACCATGCATCCTGAAGACTTCACATCTCTCGAGATCCAAGAGAGTCAGTACCATCAGCTTATTGCTGTTTATGTTTCAGCTCCACAATGATAATCGCCGATTCTCATCTGATATGACTTCTTATGCTTTCAGGAGATGGCGTTGCTCGAAGCCCACGTCGGCGAATCACAAGGCGAAGGTTTCAGCCGAGGATCTGGGTGAAGCTGACGTTTTTCGTTGGTGCCCTGGTGCTGATTTGCTCGGGAGTGTTGGCCGTCGTTCTGTGGAGGCTTTCGCTATCAACCTTGACTGGAGAAATACGGGAAAGGCTTGACACTGTCGCAAGCCTTCGTCAAGAGCAGGTATAACCCTAAGTCTGGCTTTTTGCCGACTATATCACCTGCTATGTTGGTTAATTCGGGAAACGTTCTGATTGTTATGTCTGAATTTCCATCTTATTGGTGCGTCAGATACTATCCTACATAATTGGAACTCAAGATACGGTGAAGCTGATTGCATCTCGCGTCGTCATTTCATCCCTGCTGCTCATGCACAAGCAAGGGAAGTCCAATTTGACAAGAAATGACTACAAGATGGGCACGGAGGATCTGGATTCTGCTGTCATGAGTGCAGCTAATGTCATGGCGTTAGGAGCATACAGCAGCGACGGTGAACTTTTGTTTTCCAGCAAGCATCCAGCTGATGTGGAGCCGCTTCCAAAACGCTTGCGCGGGCGAGCACTGGTTGTGCAAAGTCGGAACATTTCAGTGTGGTCTGGGACTCCCTATGCCGGACGCAACAATACTTTCCTGATCGACATTACAGCTTCTGTAGACTATAAGGTATGTAATTTCATTCAACGGGTTTGATATTCCCTTTGAACTATCTGTTCCAAAAAAAGAGATGCTCTTATTTTTCTCTTCTGACCCTTTTTGCCTTTCAGGACACCTTTTGTGGAATTATTTTGGCAACAGTTGACGCTGAGAACTTCAAGCAAACTGTACATGATGGAACTGGTCTTCAGTCCACTGGAGAGCTTCTTGTTGCATATGTCAATGATGGAGAGGACGTGGTGAAGTTCATAGTTCCACCATTCAAGGCTCCGTCTGTGAAAAACTCCACTTACAAGGGTGCCGCCTACAGAGCAGGGAAGGGCCAGACAGGATATTACCAAGGGGCTGACTTTCGTGGTGTTGAGGTTGTTGCTTCTTACCGACCCATTGGCTATGACTCTTGGGGTATGTCCTGCAATTTTTGTGTGCGTTAGTTCCTTGACTGAAGCTTTATTCTCCCATTCTTGAGCATTGTTTTCAAACCTAGAAACGGCTTCTTTCATTGCAGGACTGGCAGCCACGATTGACAAAGGAGAAGTGTACATCTCTATAAGGAAGTTTGAGAAGATTATTATCATTTCAATGTCCTGCATCTTTGTGCTTGGGATCCTTGCAGCCTATGCCTTAGCCACGGTATGGCATCTTTGTTCTTCATTACATTCTCTCTAATTTCAAATGTTTCCTGCATGGCGGTATGTCTTATGATGTGAGACATCTCTGTGCAGTATTTTTCCCGTCCGATCATGGAGCTTGGAGATGCTGCGAGCAAACTAGCACGGGGTGATTACAGTGCAAGAGCGCACGGGCGACGAGGCTGCTTGAAGGACGAGATTGACGAGCTTTGCTGTGTGTTTAATGACATGGCTGATCAGATCTCCAGCGCTTACTCAACTTTGGAACAAAAGGTTTGGTCATTCCACATCTGGTATCCTTTTCCCGCTTCTTTCTTTTGCGCAGAAATGGAAATGCTTCTCATTCCACTATGTTGAGTTTCAGGTGGTGGAACGCACGCAAGACCTGGCACTGCTGAACCAGGGTCTATCCTCTGAGGTGGAAGAGAGGAAGAGTATGGAGTTACAGCTTCAGGTTGCCAAGGAGCAGGCAGTCTCAGCAGACAAGGCGAAATCTGAGTTCCTGGCAAACATGTCTCATGAGATCAGGACACCGTTGAATGGCATCATCAACTGCACTGAGCTCTGCTTGGACACTGCTCTCAGCTCGGAGCAGATCAAGTACCTTGAACTTGTAAGTTCTCATTTCACTTTGGTTGAGACCACATTTTTGTTTGTGTTTTTCCTCTCGAACTGTTTCGCTTGGGTCGTGGCTGACTGGATGTAATGATTGCTGTTTTGTGTTCAGTCCCTGTACTCAGCCAAGCATCTTCTGCGCCTGATTGCTGACATTCTGGACTTCAGCAAAATCGAAGCGGGAAAAATGGACTTGGAGAACATTGAGTTCTCAATACAGGACCAGGTACTTGTGATGTTGTAACCATCTGCCTTTGTTAGTGGTGTTGTATTCTTTCTCAACAATAGCTTATTGAATTGATTTTTCCTCCAGATGGAGCATGCTGTATCTGTCCTAGCGAATCGGGCAAGGAAGAAGGGCCTTGCACTCGTGTCATGGCTGAGGTCTCCTAACATACCAGAAAGTCTTATGGGCGACCCTGGACGCCTTCTTCAGATCTTCATCAACCTTTTGGGTAGGTTTCAGTGGAGTGCACGCTTAAATAAAATGTATGCTATTTTCTAACATGCAGGGTCTGAAAATTATTGCATGTTACAGGTAATGGGATCAAGTTTACTGAGAAGGGGGAGGTTGTGTTAACCGCAACACTTGTGGCTCTGAAAGATCAGACCGCAGAGGTTCTTTTTGCTGTGAAAGACACAGGTCTGTGAGAATCAAGCGTTTCTATCATATGCCCATGTTTTTTACATGTCCTGCTGAATCATGACTTACTTTCTCGCGTTTACCAGGAATCGGCATACCTCAAGCCAAGCAGTCTCTTCTGTTTCAAGCGTTCAGTCAGGTGCACGCATCAGATTCGCGGTGAGATTTGATTTCCATTGCTTACCCGTTTTTGTGTGTGTATAGATATCAAATGTCAGCCACTGATGTCTTTTGTCTGTATTTCAGGCTGTATGGAGGGACGGGGTTGGGGTTAATGATCTCGTCTCGCCTGGCCAATGCCATGGGCGGCCACATGTGGGTTGAGAGTGAAGAAGGTTGCGGGTCAACGTTTTGTTTCACAGCCAAGTTCACCGTACCACCTGAGGCCGCAAAACCATCGTCACTTGCACGGTGTGGCACTCTGTGTCCGAAGATGAACCACTTCCGCGGGCTTGTTGTGGATGGGAATGAATCGGCCAGAAAGTCCATTCTTTCGACCCTTGAGGTGGGATCCACTTCCTACTCGTTTATCTTCTGTGTTGGTGCTGCTGGCACGATGACGTGATACTGATACCAGGTGTTAGTTTACCCTCTTTTTGCAGAAGCTGAAAGTCAAGGCGGACGATGCAGCTGACGCAACCTCTGCTTTGGAAATGCTACAGAAGGCAGCATACGACGACTCGCCATACACCCTCCTCATTGTCGACTCTGAAGTCAGGGACTCTTCTCATGTTCCCTCCTCCTCATCCACCTCCTCCTGCACGTCCTCCTACGATAACTGTGCTGCTTCCTCCATCAGCTGTGCGAAGCTGCTGCGACGCATCAAGGAGCAGAATTTGATCCATCAGGACAATTTCGGATGCCGATTTTCAAAAGGGGAAGGAAGTAGCGGTGCCGTGCAAGAGATGGAAGATCTCGCTGGGTATTCCGAGTCACCTGTGCCCGCTTGGCTGTTCTCTGGAGAGCAGGAAAAGGCCTCAGCAGAAGCAGAAGAAGAATCTGATGCCAATGTGCTCTCTTCAGGACCAGGGGGACGTGCGTCTGCAAAGAGACCAGGCGGGAGTTCTGGTCAACAGCTACAGTCAGCTACAAAGGGCGGACTCGCAGTTAGCCAGGCACAGGATTCCTGCTCTGCAACTGAGGTGACTTTTGAGTCAACTCAAAGGTCACCCAGAGCTGACAGTGGAGGGGAGATGCGGCCGCAGAGATGTGGGCAGGCACAGGCTTCCTGCTCTGCAACTGAGGGGTGTCGACCCGAGCCTCGCGAAGAGGACTTAGCGCTACCTGTGGTGTTGTTGACACCTGGAGGTCCTGACGACAAGCCCTTGTAAGAGTTGAGTCCACACAGTTGACACCGTGAGTTCACATACATGTCTGGCATTCACTCCACAAGCCACTTTCTTAGGGCGATTATTTCTGGTTTTTTGTCATGTTGCTCAACAGGTGCAAGGAACTTGGGGTGCACCTCTATGTTCCGAAGCCTGTGAAGAGGAAAGTGCTTCTGCGAAGAGTCAAGCAGGCATTGAAGCTCCCGCTGCAGGTGCTCTCTTTTGCTCCAGTTTTTCCCGCGAACATTTTTTTGGAATTGCACCTTCGCTGCACGATGCTGAATGGCCAGGCATCGGACGTCCGCACCCACACTCTCTGTCGCATGCCGATCATTCCTCCTCTCTCCTTTTCGCAGGATGGGCTGTCCGCCTCAAATTCAAGTGCTTCTGAGGAGGCTTCGGCATCAGCAGCGGCTGAGAGGAGTCTCAAGGTCCTTGTTGCAGAGGACAACATTGTGAACCAGCGGGTAGCCATGACTCTCTTGCGCAAGTGGGGGCACGAGGCGGTTCTGGCTAGTGACGGTGAAGAAGCCGTGGAGAAGGTCCAGGCCGAAGTATTTGATGTGATACTAATGGACGTGAGTATGGCAACAACATCTCCTTCACCGTGTGTGTCATTCAGTAAACGATAACATACTGCCCCTTTTGTCGCTCAGTTCACGGTCCCCGCCTGTCCTGCACTCCACTTACCTTCCCCTTCTCCCATGTGCAATATCAGGTGCAAATGCCTGTTTGCGATGGCCTGCAAGCAACCAAGAGAATTCGTGAATACGAGTCCACAACAAAACGCCACACACCAATCATTGCTGTAATGCTCACCCTTTTTATCTCTTGTTTTTCTATTGGCTAAAAGCTGACAGTATAAAAGGCAGAATTCTCCACTGTAACTGAAAGCCATTTTTTCCTGCAGATGACAGCACAAGCCCTTATCGGAGATGGAGTGAAGTGCATCGAGGCAGGAATGGATTCGTACATGAGCAAACCTGTAAGTATTTTCGTGCTCTGCTTCTTCACATCTTGGTCTGTTGTGACCTTGTGGTCTGAGAAAGCCGCGGGGCCAATTCCTGTCTTTTTTTGTGCAGTTGAACGCATCCAGGCTGAAGGATCTCTTGCGCCTTGTGTGTCAATCACATGTTCTTCCGAAGCCAACCAACGACTGCGCCCGAGATTTCTAATTGGGAGGAACTTTGCATTAGGCATATGTACATAAATGAGTGTTGCTGTAGTATCACTCATGCAAGTGCCATCTGTGCAATAAAATGGGTTTTATTAGTTGTTTTCACCTTTCTAGTTGCAGTGTACTGTTACTTTTTCACTAGCATTTTGTTGGTGTCACCGACCATGTGATCTCCATAAAGCGATCTCGATTGGTCAGCCTTACTGATTCCTGAATCCCTAATTCCTGTTCCTGATCCTTCAAAGCCTTGACTTTCACTTCACGCCACTTCCATTCCATCGTGACCATGAGCGCCTGTGGGATGGATGGAGTGGGGGTCGGGGGAGGGGGAAAGGGGAGGAGATGAGAGTCGTCGAGTCGAGTCGATTCAATAACCGTTCCGTGCATAGTGCAAGCAGTTCACCTGGCAGAAAGAGGGGATTCGCAGGGTTCGATACTGCTATGTTCTGTTCTGTGCGAAGTACAGTGCCCCAAAAGGGATGACTGGCGAAATGGAGTACAATACTGGACTCAACTGAACACCTCCTTTCAAAACCAGGTTTCGGAGCCGATTGGCTAGGCTCGATTCCGTCTTATCGAGCCTAGCGCACGTTTGGAGAGCCTCCGTCCGCCTTGCGTTGCCCAATCTGTTTGCGCCAAACTCTCCCAGGTCTCGTCGGCCCGTCAGCGTTCCTCCTTCTGGGCAGGCTGGACTGCTGGGCGATGTGTTCGGTTTAATACGGTTTAGTGAGTTTCTTCCTGGTTGAGAACGCTTGGGTTACACCATCAAGAATGAAATGCTTCCAAAAACGAACGCCAGAAGCTGAGAGCGGCTTGTTTTATTTTTTGAAACGGTTTGGTAGGGTTCTGAGCAGAAATGGGCTCCCACCACGACACACCCTCCCTGTTGATTCTAACGCTGCGGGGGAGCAGATTAGTATCCGTATCTCAGTTATCTCGCCTCGGTCGTGAGCCGTTGCCGTCCTTATGGTTTCGCGGACACGTTAGCCTGTTGCCCGACCAAAGTTTTTTTGAGTAGCGCTGGGCTCGTGGCGCATTAACTTCTGTAATGTTAGCGTCCTCGCGTAAGCGAAAGGGAGGCACTGATTTCTCCATGGTTTTATTTGACCCAGTTTGTTAGTCGCAGCGACATTGGTTGTTCGTCTCTTTTTCGCGTCTGGGGTATGTCAGCGCTCCTCGCTACTCCTTTCACTCGTACGACCAGCGTTCTCCGCATTAGTGGCGGGACGTACTTTTCAGGCGCCTCAGAGCGGGACTGGCTTATAACTTATTAACATTATCCTCGTGACGCGTGTATCTTTTCACATTGTAACGATAAATAAAAAAGGTTTTCATATGAGCGCTCAGGTTTCGAGACGTAGATAGGTAGGTAGACGTTACGGTCAGGTTTCCAGAGGTCTTAAATTTCTATAAGCTCGGGTAAACGAAGCTCGGGTGCGTGAATGGAAGCAGAGGAGACGGAATGGGTGGCCGGCGGCGGAGTAGGATTAGCAATCGGTGAAGAGGGGTTCGTAAGGGATCAGGTGCTGGCAGGAGGTTCGTCCGTCCATGTCGGCTCGGTAAGACCCGAACCTGCTGGTTCGGAGAAACCGGCCGGACCAGTAAGACGTAGGCCCAAAATGGCCGTGCCTCGGCTGGTTCACTCAAGTTCGGTAAGCGCGCCGAGCCCCAAAACGCCCGTGGTACCAACTCCCGGGAAAAGGATGTTTTCGCGGGCAGCTGGGGCAGGTGAAGAGGCAAAAGGTGAAAAGCAGCAAACCCCAGTGTTTCCTCGGAGTACAAGCGTCAGCCTGCCCGTGAGAAATGTTTTGGTGATCCCGGTTGGAAAGGAGAGGACGGGGAGCGCGGGGGAGGGGGGTAAGCGGCGGGGGGAAGGGCAACGGAGTGAGGGGGAGGGGGAAGGGGGGAAGGAGGATGGGGAAGGGGAGGGATGGAAGGAGAGGTGGCAGGCGCAGGCGGAAGCTGTGACACGTGCCATGCAGCGATTGGACGCGGGGAAGGACGGCAGGGCGGCTGAAGTCGCGGCAACTCCAAGGGTAAGCCACGTAGTAGACGTGACGAAGCTTCATGGTTTGAAAGCTTCAAGCGCATGCTGCAGCGAGCAGAATCTCCTCCCCTCCCCCCTCACACCCTCCCCCCTCACACCCTCCCCCTCCTCCCCACCCCTCCCCGCCCCCCCAACTCCCTCCCCCCCCCCCCTCCTCCCCCCTCATGCATGCTGCGCCGACGCATGCTGCAGCGAGCAGCAACACCTCCACCCCCGACACCCGCCCCTCTCTTACAGGAGGAGCGTTTGCTCCGCTTGTCCCGCCAGCAGAAGCGCCAACGCATGCTGCGGCGAGCGGCTGCCGCCCTTCCCACCTGCAAACACTCCCCCACCTTTACCCCGCTCCCGCTCCCCGCCTGCAGGAAGAGCGTTCGCTCCGCCTATCCCGCCAGCAGAAGCGCGAACGCATGCTTTTGCGAGCAGCCCCCTCGTCCCCTCACCCCTCCTCTACCCACTCTCTCTTTCCCTCTGCAGGAGGAGCGTTCGCTCCGCCTATCCCGCCAGCAGAAGCGCCAACGCATGCTGCAGCGGGCGGCTGCCGCCTTTCCCACCTGCAAACAACCCCCCCACTCTCCCCCCCCCCCCGCGCATTTTTACCCCCCTCCCGCTCCCCCCTTGCAGGAAGAGCGTTCGCTCCGCCTATCCCGCCAGCAGAAGCGTCAACGCATGCTGCAGCGGGCGGCTGCCGCCCTTCCCCAGCTGGCGCAGCGCGTGTCAGAGGCGCCTCGCTTCCGATTGGACGACTTTCTGGCGGCGCTTGACAGCCTGGCAGCGCTTCGAGGGAAGCTGAGAGCGGCCCTGGAGGCGCAGCAGAGGGAGGAGGAGGACGAGGAGGCGGAGAGGAGGGAAGAGGAGAGGAGGAGGGGGGATAGGGGGGAGGAGAGGAGGGATGGGGAATGGATGAGGGGTGAGGGTGGAATGGTAGATGGAGAGGGTGGAGGAGTGGGGGAAGGAAGCGGGAAGGGAGGAGGTGGAGCTTTTGGGGTAGAAGATGGGGAGGGTGAGAGTGGTCGCAGGGAGGAGGGGGAGGAGAAGGAGGAGGGGGAACAAGAAGTACAAGCAGTTGGTATGAATGAGGTGTCGAGAGGAGGTGAAGGCAATACACGAGTGGATTCAGGTGGTGATGGTGTGGAGGGAGAGGATGGGGAGGAGGGAGAGGAGGGAGAGGAGGAAGAGGAGGGAGAGGAGGGAGAGGAGGAAGAGGAGGGAGAGGAGGAAGAGGAGGGAGAGGAGGGAGAGGAGGAAGAGGAGGAAGAGGAGGAAGAGGACAGCGAAGAGCTGGGCAAAGGAGGGATGCGGAAAAGGCTACATACGGGCAGTGAAGGAGGAGAAGGGGAGGACAGCGAGGAGGAAACAGAAGAGAGAGATTCTGCGGCAGATAAGATGACAATGTCCCCTGCTCCTGCTGCTGTGTCCCCTGCTGCTGCTCTTCCCGTGCTACAATGGGATGTGCTTATAAGCGTGGAGGCAGTTATCGAGGATGCCCTGATGCTGCTGGAAGAGGAGTTTGAAGCGACTCTCTCCAAGCACGGGTGGGTTTCTTCTTGTCCTATCTGGCTCTAAGCTGGGATGCCATCTGCGTGCGTTCTAAGTTGGCTCTCAAACCACACCACCAGGATGCGCTGATGTTGCTGGAAGAGGAGTTTGAAGCGACTCTTTCCAAGCACGGGTGGGTCCTTATTTATCCTATCCGCCTTCTAGGTGTGTATCTAAATCGACTCAAACCACGCCACCAGGATGCCCTGATGCTGCTGGAAGAGGAGTTTGAAGCGACTCTCTCCAAGCACGGGTGGGTCCTCGTATCTGCCATCCATCCAGGTAGGTGTGTTGGGTCTTCAATGGTGTGTTGGGTCTTCAATGGTGTGTTGGGTCTTCAATGGTCTGTTCTGAATCGCCTCAAACCACACGAGGATGCCCTGATGTTGCTGGAAAAAGTAGTTTGAAGCGACTCTCTCCAAGCATGGGTGGGTGTCTTTTGATCCAACTTCTACCCTCCGAGTCATGACATTCCACGAATGCACCTTCCCTTCCCTTCGTTGTAGGGACATTCCACTTTCTCCCGTCCAACGACCCAACGACCCTACGGTCTACCCACCACCCCTTTCAACCTTGACTTGTCCCATTCGTACCCCCCACCCCCAACCCCAAACTCCCTCCCTTCTTCCCCTCCCTTCCCCGTGCAGCAAGCCTCTGGACCTCCCAACACTACTAAAGTCTGCCCCTCATGCCCAAAATTCTAGTTTTGAGGCGCCTCAAAACTAGACCCAACGCTAAAGTCTGCCCTTCACGCCCAAAATGCCGCCATTGCAGCAGCTGCTGCTGCTGCTAGTGCTGCTGCAGGGGCAACAGGGGGATCGTTTTTGAGGCGCCTCAAAAACGACCTCTCTGCTGCTGCTGCTAGTGCTGCCGCAGGGGCAGCAGGGGGAGCGCCCTCTCTCCGAGCGCGTAGAGCCACGGGCATCACACCCATCACCACCCGTTTCACCCTCTGACTTGCCCCACTCTTACCCCACCCCACCCCCTATTCCCCCCTCCCAATTCTCCTCCCCTCTCCCCCTTTTGCAGCAAGCCTCTGGATCTCCCAACGCTCAAATCCGCCCTGCATGCCCAAATTTTCGCCACTGCTGCTGCAGCTGGTGCTGCTACTGGTGCTGCTACTGGTGCTGCTGCTGGTGGTGGCACTGGTGGGGCAGGGGCAGCAGGGGGAGCGCCCTCTCTCCGAGCGCGTAGAGCCACGGTCGTCACCCCCATCACCACCCGTTTCACCCGCACCTCCTCTGATTTCTCCCTCTCTGCTTTCCTTCCCCCCGTTTCGCCCCCCTTCCCCGTGCAGCAAGCCTCTAGATCTCGCAACACTAAAGTCCGCCCTTCATGCCCAGAATTTCGCCACTGCAGCTGCAGCTGGTGCTGCTGGTACAGGGGCAGCAGGGGCAGCAGGGGCAGCAGGGGGAGTGCCCTCTCTCCGTGCTCGTAGAGCGACAGGCGTCACCCCCATCACCACCCGTTTCACTCGCACCTCCTCCGACTTCTCCCTTGCTGCTGCCGCATCTGCTAGAGGGAACATCAGCACTACCCCCACCAACCAGAGTAATTCGACCAAGTACCCCGAACACGCCCTTGTTAGCCCGCTTGCTCACCGCGGTTTACCTTCTGCCTCTGCTGCTGCTGGCTTTGCTGCTGGCTTTGCTGCTGGTGCTGCTGCTGGTGTTCCTCGTAGCCCTGTTGGCTTGACTACCGGCCCACGGTCCCCTGGGCTGCGCACGTCGGGACAGAACTTGCCGCCCTGTTCACCATCATCCCGTCGTCTTTTTGCCGCCCATCATCCTCACCACCATCATCATCATTCTCAGCAGCAGCTGGATTGGCAACAGCAGCAGCAGCAGCAGCAGCAGCACCAACACCAACACCATCAGCAGCACCATCAGCAATATCATCAACACAAGCAGCAGCAGCAGCAGCAGCACGGGCATAGGCCTGATCAGGGCAGGTTATGGAAATCGTCCTCTAGTTTCCTGTTTGATGATCCCATGATGATCGAGTTCAATGCGTCTCTTGCTGATGCTGCTGCTGCCGTTGCCGGCACTGCTCCTGCTCCTGCCGCCGCTGCTGCTGCTGATGGCGCTGCTGCTTCTGCTGCTGCGGTTGCTGATGGCAGTGCTAGTGCCGGCGGCGGCGTTGCTGCTACAGATGGAACGCATGGCACTCCAATCATTAGCCCCACAGGCGTCTACTCCAACAACAGCAACAGCACCTACACTAACAGTAACCCGAGCCTCAAGACCAGGTCCGGTGGTAACCGCATCCTCATCCCCGTAAGCGTAACCGGCAGCAGCACAGGCAGCGAACCTCCCACTGAAAGCCCTACGGCCCAGCAACCGCCTCTTCTTTCCCCTCCTTGCTCTGACGCCTCTCCTCCCTCTAACCTCATCAAGACTCTCAGCAGCAGCAGCAGCAGCGCCAGCAGCACGGGTTTCTTGTCCCAGGACCAATCGGGGCACTTGAGTGCTGCTGCTGCTGCTGCCGCCGCTGCTGCCGCTGCCGCTGCTGTTGGTGGTGGTGCGTCTGCTGGTCTTTGGCCTATGTATTCCGGACCCCTTCCCTCCACAGCGGCTTCTAACTCACCCTACGCATCCCCATACACTTCCGGTTACATTCCCCATAACGCATATGCTTATAACGCGGTTGGTTCTTCTTCCTTCTCTGCCTCTCCCTCCTCCTCGTCTGCCTCCCCCTATGCGCGCCCCACTCCCCCCCGCATCACCATCCCTATCCATCCGGACGAGGACGACGCCGAGTCTGACGCCAACGACCTCCCGAACCTGACTCCAGGTTCAGCAGCCAGGTCCGGGGGCGCCAAGCCTGTGAATCATCCGGGGCAGGAGGCTCGGTCGTCTACGGGTCAGGAGGATAAGAGGAAAAGCAGACAGCCTATCAGGGCTATTAGCAACATCGTTTATGGCAGCAGCAACATCAACAGCAGCAGCAGCAGCAGCACCACCACCACCATAAGCAACAGTATAAATAACTCCAATACCCCAAGGTCTGCTGCTGAAAGCAATTCTTCCGTAGCTGTAGGACCTCAGTCTCTGCCCTCTTCTCTCCATCCTTCCCCCGCCCTATCTCCATCCCCTACCGCTGCCGCCTCTGCTGCCGCTGCTGCTAATGCCCCCTCTGATGCTGCTGGTGTTGGTGCTGTCAACACTGCTGCCGCTGCCGCCATTACCCCACCCGCTGCTACTACTCGGCCTCGACTGGTTGCTTTCTCATCTCCCATGCTCGAAGCAGGGAGGGAAGCAGGGGGGGCAGGAGGGGGAGCAGGAGGGGCAGCAGGAGGGGCAGCAGGAGGGGGGGTGGGGGGAGTGGATTGGCGGGTTGCGTTTAGTGAGTGGGGGGAGTGGTTACCAGTGGCAGAGATTGGCTGGTTACGCAAGATGGCCACACGGATCGTTGCGATTGGTGGGCTCACTCGCTGCTGTGCTAGATATTGGTGAGTGTGTTGTGTGCGTGCGTGTGTATTTGCTTGTATGCAAGCATGTGTGAGTGGGGGGAGTGGTTACCAGTGGCGGAGATTGGCTGGTTACGCAAAATGGCCATGCGGATTGTTGCCATTGGTGGGCTTACTCGCTGCTGTGCAAGATACTGGTGAGTGAGTGAGTGAGTGAGTGAGTGTGTGAGTGAGTTAGTGAGTGAGTGAGTGTGTGGAGTGAGTTTGTGCATGCACACATGTGTGAGAGTGTGTGTACGTGCATGCATGGGTCGGTGGGTGCGTGCATGCATGCGTGCGAGCGAGTGTGTGTGTGTGTGTGTGTGCGTGCCGCGTGCATGTGCCTCTCCCTAAATCTTCCACTTATGAATACATCCTGCTTATATATGTTGGTCGCTTCGAAACTCTCATGAATGAGCCACTTCGATCATTGCGAGGTGACTTTTGAGTCGACTCAAAAGTCACCTCAATGAGGCACTTCGATCATTGCATTGCACACTCATCACCCACGCCACGCGCTCTCCTGATGCTGCAGAATTCTCAAAAACACCCCGCTTCGAAACTCTCATGAATGAGCCACTTCGATCGTTGCATTGCACACTCATCACCCACGCCACACGCTCTCCTCCCATGCTTCTGCCCGCCCTCCCATCCGCCTTGCGTCCTTCCTGTCTTCCGTCTTCCGCAGCGCCGCCCGTGGCCCGAGCATAGCGAGTGGCACGGCTTGTCTTGACCTGAAGGAGCGCAGCGTTGCTGAGCTGGAGGCCATGCCGTGGAGCCAGCTGGAGCCCACCATCAAGACGTGGCTGAGAGACGCCAACATACTGGTAGGTTGTGTGTGAATGATGAATGTGTACTTGTGTGTATGTGTGTGTATGTGTGTGCATGTGTGTGTATGTGTGTGTATGTGTGTGTATGTGTGTGTATGTGTGTGTATGTGTGTGTATGTGTGTGTATGCCTGGGGACCGTGACAGAGAGCATGCCGTGGAGCCAGCTGGAGCCCACCATCAAGACGTGGCTGAGGGATGCCAACATACTGGTATGTCTGTGAATGGGTGGATGGTTGGGTGAATGACGACCGTCCCTGTGCATGTGTGTGTGTGGGTTTGCCACTCACTGTGAGGAACCCACCATCAAGACATGGCTGAGAGATGCCAACATACTGGTTAGTCATGCCCATACCCACCACATGCATACCGGTAACTGGTGTGTTCGTGGTGGGTGGTGTGTGTGTGCCCCTGTATCACTGTGAGCTGGAGGCCGTGCCGTGGAGCCAGCTGGAGCCCACCAGCAAGACATGGCTGAGGGATGCCAACATACTGGTATGCAAGGGGTGAAAGGGGCGTGTGTCCGTGTGCTGCATGTGTGTGGAGCGGGTGGGTGTGGCACTCAGGGGAGTGGATGGGTAGGTCACTGAGTATAGCGGTGTTCGTATGGTGTGTGTTGCTGTGTCCCTCCTTCACTTCGGATTCGAGTGCTACTGGAGGGAAAGCGCCTCCTCTGCGAGGTGTTTTTGAGAATTCTCAGAAACGCCTTCTCTGCGAGGCAGTCCTAGAGGACGCCCCGGAGCTCAATCTTTACGCACCCCTTCCCCCCACCTTACCCCCGTCTCCCTCTCTTTACCCGTTCCCTCGTTTCCCCCTCAACATACCAGATCCGTGTGCTACTGGAGGGAGAGCGCCTCCTCTGCGAGGCAGCCCTAGAGGACGCCCCAGAGCTCAGTCTCTAACCCACGCCTATCCTCCCCCTCCTCTCTCCCTGTCTCCACCCCTCTTCTCCCCACTTCCCCCTCTCAACGTTTCAGATCCGTGTGCTACTGGAGGGAGAGCGTCTCCTCTGTGAGGGAGTCTTAGAGGACGCACTGGAGGCAGTCCTAGAGGACGCACTGGAGGCAGTCCTAGAGGACGCACTGGAGGCAGTCCTAGAGGACGCACTGGAGGCAGTCCTAGAGGACGCACTGGAGGCAGTCCTAGAGGACGCACTGGAGGCAGTCCTAGAGGACGCACTGGAGGCAGTCTGAAGCCCGCCCCTTCCCCCCCCCACCTTTTTCCCAGTGCTACTGGAGGGAGAGAGAGGTCCTAGAGGACGCCCCAGGGCTCAGTCTTTTGACCTACCCCTTTCCCTCTCCCTCCCCCCATCTCGTTTCCCCTAACCCCCCGTCTTCTCTTCCTTTTAACCCCCCTTCCTTCACCTCAGATCCGTGTGCTACTGGAGGGAGAGCGTCTCCTTTGTGAGGCAGTCTTAGAGGACGCCCCAGAGCTCGATGCGGGCGGCGTCTATCGGCAGCTTCTGTCGGCGTCGCTGTGCGTGGAGGGCTCGGTCGGCAAGCTGGTCGGCACGGCTCATTCCATTGCCGGGCTGACGCGGTCCCCTGAGAAAGTCTTTAGCTTCATGGAAATGTTCCGAGCGGCAACTGGGCTGAGGGAGCAGGTGCGTATGTGTTTATGTGGGGACCGGGGCAGACTGAACCGGTCCCCCGAGAAAGTCTTAAGCTTCATGGAGATGTTCCGAGCGGCAACTGGGCTGAGGGAGCAGGTGAGTTTGATGGGTAGGGAAGGGAGGCAGGTGAGGTGTGGCGGGGGAGCAGAAAGGATAGAACTGGTGAATATCGTTAATTGATTCAAGTGAAGGCAGGGCCCTCGAGGTCCCCTGAGAAAGTCTTTAGCTTCATGGAAATGTTCCGGGCGGCAACTGGGCTGAGGGAGCAGGTGAGGGAAGGAGAGGGAAGCCGGTGGCATGTAACAGTGTACGTGTGCGCGAGGGAGAGGCTGCACGGCTCTCCCAGTGACCCGGTTGGTCCCCCAGCTTCATGGAGATGTTCCGAGCTGCAGCAGGGCCGAGGGAGCAGGTGAGGGGTGGGGGAGGGAGGGGAAGCAGGCAGGGAGGAACTGGTGAGGTGCAATCCGTGCTGATAGCAGCAGCGGGGGTGGGCGGAGGTTCCCTGTGGCCGCAGTGGCAAGCCATCCCGGCCCTCCTTGCCTGTGCCTTTGAGGCCAGCTGACGAGCTGACTCCCCCGTTCCCCCCTCACTTTCTTGCCTTCCCATCCCACTCGTTCAGGTGCAATCCGTGCTGATAGCAGCAGCTGGGGTGGGAGGGGGTTCCTTATGGCCACAGTGGCAAGCCCTCCCAGCGCTCCTAGCATGTGCCGTATTCGAGACAATAGACGAGCTCAACAGCACACTGAGAGATGTGGATGGACTGACTCCAGCGGCTATGCCCTCGCCCGTCGCTCCTAAGAAGAAGCTTCTAAGCAGGTGCTTATATACCTTCTGAATAGGTTTGTTTGTGTGGATCTCCTCGCATGCGCCGTGTTTGGGACGATGGACGAGCTCAGCAGGCGGGGTGGGCAGCAGGCCCTCCGGCCCTCCTCGCCTGTGCGGTGTTTGGGACGATAGACGAGCTCAGAAGCACGCTGAGGGATGTGCATGGGCTCACCCCAGCTGCCATGCCCTCTCCCCGGCCGCCTTGCCCTTTCCCATCACTCCCAAGAAGAAGCTTCTCAGCAAGTTTGTCCAAAGCCGTCTAAGCAGGTTTGTGTGGCCCTCCTCGCCTGTGCGGTGTTTGGGACGATAGACGAGCTCAGCAGCACGCTGAGGGATGTGCATGGGCTCACCCCAGCTGCCACGGATCACACACAAGCCCATGCACACCCCTCAGTGTGCTGCTTAGCACGGAGAAGAGGACTCTTGTGCTCACCTAGACACCTCACTCTGCCTCCTCCTCGCCACCTCTGTTTCACATCCATCCTCACTCACCCTCCACTCAACACTCCCCTTTGCTCGCAGGATAATTTCCTGGAAGGCGCAGGAGGTGAAGAGCCAGAGCGGGGAGGACGTGGATGTGTCGGTACACGCGGTTACCAGCTACGTGGTCAACTACATAGGGCAGCTGTTGGACAGGTAGGTATATACGCCGTACGGTACTGGCAATTGCAGGTAGATCATGAGGCGTGGACGTGTCGGTGCATGCGGTTACCAGCTACGTGGTCAACTACACAGGGCAACTATTGGACAGGTATGGGCTGATATAGCGGTTGGTTACCATTACCAGCAGTTACCAGCTGGATCATGTGATGGTAACTGCCCCACATGGGTGTGGACGTGTCAGTCCTCACAATTACCAGCTACGTCGTCAACTACATGGAGCAGCTATTGGATAGGTATGTCTTATGTACTAAAGTAATCACCTGTTGGAGCATGTCGCAAACGCGTCGGTCTTCGAGTTACCAGCTACGTTGTCAATCGTATGGGCCAGATCACTATACTCTTGGAATAGGTATGTGCTGATAGCGGTTACCAGCTGTGCTTTCATCGTAGTGCACAACTGCTCGACAGGTACGTATCGGTTGATAGCAGAGCAGTCAGGGTAGTTTTGAGAATTCTAAAAAGTACCCGACAGGTACGTATCGGCTGATAGCAGAGCAGTACCAGCTGTTTTTGGCCAGAGCATGGGCGCACACATGTCGTCGGTGCATGCGGTTACCAGCTACGTGGTCAACTACATAGGGCAACTGCTAGACAACTAGGCAGGGCAAATGGTGAGCGGGTGTGGATTGGTGGTTGTCTGAGGGAAGTTTGACTTGAATGTGCCGGTGCATGCGGTTACCAGGGGTTACCAGTGGTTACCAGCCATGTTGTCAATACATAAGCAACTGCTGACATGTACGCCTATCAGAAGTAACGATTGGATATGTGTCAGTCAGCAGAGGATACTCACCTCGCCCCTCCCCCTCGATATCGCCTCCCTTCCCCATCCTTCCCATTACTGTCCCCCAGAACCTCTCGAGGCAACGTCTGTGCTGTGCTGGAGGAGATCTACCGGAGCCACGGGGCTGACCATTTGAAAGAGTCCAGCAGCAGGCAGCAACTGCTCGCCCCCTTTTCCCTTGTGTCCCTCTCACCACCCTCAGAACTTCCCGTGCCAACTACTGTGCTGTGCTGGAGGAGATTTACCAGAGCCACGGAGCCGACCATTTGAAAGAGCCCAGCAGCAGCAGCAACTGCTGTCCCCCTTTTCCCTTCTGTCCCTCTCACCTCCCTTGCAGGACCTCTCGAGCCAACTACTGCGCTGTGTTGGAAGAGATTTACCAGTGCCACGGGGCCGACCATTTGAAAGAGCCCAGCACCAGGCATCAACTGCTCGCCCCCTTTCCTTATCTGTCCCTCTAACCACCCTCAGAACTTCCCGTGCCAACTACTGTGCTGTGCTGGAGGAGATTTACCAGAGCCACGGAGGGAACACATTTCAATCTCCCCTCATTCCCCCGCTCTTCTTCCACCCATTCCTCTCCATACTTCTTATTCCGTCCCCCAGAACCTCTCGCGCCAACTACTGTGCTGTGTTGGAAGAGATTTACCAGAGCCACGGGGCCGACCATTTGAAAGAGCCCAGCAGTAATAGCAGCAGCAGCAGCCAGCACCCCGGCCATGCGCCACAGACGCCCGTGCAGGGAGCTGCAGGGACGCCCAAGGAAGCGGCACCTCTCCAATACGCTGCTCCTGCTGCTGCTGCTGCTGTTGCCACTCCAGATGTCCCGTCCAACTTTCCTACTGTCCTAGAGTCTGCTCCTGCTGCCGCTGCCCCTGCTGCTGCCACTGCTGCTGCTGCTGCCGCTGCTGCTGGCAGTGGTGGTTTGAATACCGCACCAGAAACTCCCAAGGAAAGGGCTCGGGATAGCCAGAATGCTCTTGGTGGTGGTGGCAGTGGCGGTGGCAGCGTTCTCAGTGGCGGTGGGAAGAAGGGCAAGGGGGCGGGTGGGCGGCAGAGGAAGAGGCAGTTGGGGGCGGACATGGAGGCACTGTTGGATGCGCTCTATTTCAACATGGAGGCCCGCGGAAGAACTATCGCTGATGGTCCCCTTGCTGCTCTCTTTGTGCTGAATAACGCCAACTACATCGCTTCTTCCATGTGAGTGTGCTGAGCGGTACAGAGCGGTTTAGAGCAGTACAGAGGCAGAGGAAGAGGCAGTTGGGGGCGGACATGGAGGCACTGTTGGATGCGCTCTATTTCAACATGGAGGCACGCGGAAGAACTATCGCTGATGGTCCCCTTGCTGCTCTCTTTGTGCTGAATAACGCCAACTACATCGCTTCTTCCATGTGAGTGTGCTGAGCGGTACAGAGCGGTTTAGAGCAGTACAGAGGCAGAGGAAGAGGCAGTTGGGGGCGGACATGGAGGCACTGTTGGATGCGCTCTATTTCAACATGGAGGCACGCGGAAGAACTATCGCTGATGGTCCCCTTGCTGCTCTCTTTGTGCTGAATAACGCCAACTACATCGCTTCTTCCATGTGAGTGTGCTGAGCGGTACAGAGCGGTTTAGAGCAGTACAGAGGCAGAGGAAGAGGCAGTTGGGGGCGGACATGGAGGCACTGTTGGATGCGCTCTATTTCAACATGGAGGCCCGCGGAAGAACTATCGCTGATGGTCCCCTTGCTGCTCTCTTTGTGCTGAATAACGCCAACTACATCGCTTCTTCCATGTGAGTGTGCTGAGCGGTACAGAGCGGTTTAGAGCAGTACAGAGGCAGAGGAAGAGGCAGTTGGGGGCGGACATGGAGGCACTGTTGGATGCGCTCTATTTCAACATGGAGGCACGCGGGAGGACTATCGCTGATGGTCCCCTTGCTGCTCTCTTTGTGCTGAATAACGCCAACTACATCGCTTCTTCCATGTGAGTGTGCTGAGCGGTACAGAGCGGTTTAGAGCAGTACAGAGGCAGAGGAAGAGGCAGTTGGGGGCGGACATGGAGGCACTGTTGGATGCGCTCTATTTCAACATGGAGGCCCGCGGAAGAACTATCGCTGATGGTCCCCTTGCTGCTCTCTTTGTGCTGAATAACGCCAACTACATCGCTTCTTCCATGTGAGTGTGCTGAGCGGTACAGAGCGGTTTAGAGCAGTACAGAGGCAGAGGAAGAGGCAGTTGGGGGCGGACATGGAGGCACTGTTGGATGCGCTCTATTTCAACATGGAGGCCCGCGGAAGAACTATCGCTGATGGTCCCCTTGCTGCTCTCTTTGTGCTGAATAACGCCAACTACATCGCCTTGTCCATGTGAGGGTTCTGAGCGGTACAGTGCGGTATGGGAGGCATTCGACGACCATCCCATGGGGGTACAGCAAGCGTGTTGAGAGTCGCTTCTGTCGACTCAATATCACAAGGACTGAGGTTGATTTTGAGAATTCTCAAAATCAATATCACAAGGACTGAGGTTGATTTTGAGAATTCTCAAAATCAATATTACAAGGACTAGAGCAGGAGGCACTCTGAATGCCTGTCAACCCATCCCCCTCTACATGCGCCCCTCTCCTCGTCCCCGCAGGTCGTCCGATCTGCGCCACTGACCGAATGCGGGACACCATTCGGTGTTCCGACTCCCACAAGGCGTGCGAACTGGAAAGGCGTGCAATGCAGCAGGCGTGTTTTGAGAATCTCAAACTGGAAGTCCCTTATAAGCCATCCGCCCTCCTCCCTATCTGCTTGTTCGTTTCCCCTTCCTCCCAGCTCCTCGGGTCGAATGCGGGATGCCATCCGCCACTCAGACCGCCTGGCAGACTACGAGTCGGCCTTTGAGAGAGCAGCGCTGTGCAAGGTAGGTGGGGAGGGGGGTGTCTGGCACGTGCTGCTCACAGTGTGCAAGGTAGTAGGGAAGAGGGGTGCTGGCCTCCCATCCGCCACTCTGACCGCCTGGCAGACTACGAGTCGGCTTTTGAGAGAGCAGCGCTGTGCAAGGTAGGTGGGGAGGGGGGTGTCTGGCACGTGCTGCTCACAGTGTGCAAGGTAGTAGGGAAGAGGGGTGCTGGCCTCCCATCCGCCACTCTGACCGCCTGGCAGACTACGAGTCGGCTTTTGAGAGAGCAGCGCTGTGCAAGGTACGATTATGAACTGGTAGTCTATTTTATGACATGACCTTGCAGGCCTGCCCTTCCCAGGGCAGGCCTGGCTGTCTGTTGTACTACTTTTAAACAACCACGCTGCGCAAAGTATCCCATCCCAACCCACTCCAACCCATTCCAACCTATTTCAGCCCTCCACCCATCCCATCAGCTGCGAGGATGCTTGGACCCATTGGAATTGAGCCCCAAGAGCAGATGACCATGTATAACCGACCCATTTTGACCCATTCCAACCCATTCCAACCCATTACAACCCATCCCTCCATACCAGCTGTCGGCATGCCTGGATCCACTGTGAGTGAGCGCCAAGATGAAAGAACTTTCTACTTTCCAACCCACTGCAACCCATCCCATCACACCACACCCAACCCCACCCCACCGCACTCCACCCCACCAGCTACTAGCATGCTTGGAGCCACTGGAAGTGAGCGCCAAGATGAGTTGACATCCCCCCACCCCACCCCAACCCCACTTCACCCCACTCCACCCCACTCTACCGAACCCCATCCCATCAGCTGCTGGCGTGCTTGGAGCCATTGGAAGTGAGCGCCAAGATGAGTGCGGACGGCGTGAAGCAGCGGTGAGTGCACTAATGGTAGTGCCGAGGGCATGATAGTGGGTGCACTGAGGGCAGAACGGTCAGATGCACTCACCCCACACCACGTCTCTTCATCAGCTGCTGCCATGCTTGGAGCCATTGGAAGTGAGCGCCAAGATGAGTGCGGACGGCGTCAAGCAGCGGTGAGTGCACTGAGGGTGGTGCTGAGGGCATGACAGTTGGTGCACTGATCTGAGGGCACAACGGCGGGTGCACTCACTTGATGCCTGAGTTGATGCCTGAGTTGCTTTGAAGTCAAGATGGGTGTTTGATGGCACAACACAATGGGTGTTGCAGTCAAATTTGGCTGTATGCATGCAAGAATGTCATTGTCTCCCCATCCACCTCGCTCATCCATCCACCTCGCTCATCCATCCACCTCGCTCATCCATCCACCTCGCTCATCCATCCACCTCGCTCATCCATCCACCTCGCTCATCCATCCACCTCGCTCATCCATCCACCTCGCTCATCCATCCTCTCGCCCATCTTTCCGAATCCCCATCCATCTTCCGGCTCCCCAAACCCCGGGGTTTGAAGCGGTTCAATGCGGTGTTTGATGAGGAGGTGGCACTGGAGCAGCGGCTGCGGCTCGAACTGTTATGCTCGCATGTCTCTATCGATGCCTCGCTTCATAACCACATATACGCATGCTCCACCATCCCGTTTCATGCTTGCAGTTTGAAGCGGTTCAATGCGGTGTTTGAGGAGGTGGCACTGGAGCAGCGGCGGTGGCTCGTGCTGAGCGACAGCTGTCGCAAGGCCATGCGCGTGCGGTTCGCCAAGGTCATCAAGGGATCCTATATGGACTTCCTCACTCCCCACAGGTGAGTGTGTGACGGCTGTTCTGTTACCTTCCAAGTCAGGAAATGATTATTGTGCTTCTCTAAAAATCATATAATGATAAATGTTGCTTATGTATCTCTGTGGATGTGTGTGCACTAAATTGTTGTTTTTCAGGGAAATAATCTCGGATATCCCAACGTACCATTGGTCCCCCGATGGAGTGGAGAGAATCATTTTGAAGAGTTTCTTCCTCGGTCGGAGCCTCCCTTGCGTGATGTCGGCTTGACTCAACGCTTAACACTTTTCAAGACACTACCATCTCTGTTTGACAACCTGAACAAGACCTTTAGGGTTAACAGCTTCCTCTGAATTGGGTTTGTGTTACATTTAAGCCGAGGCAGCAAATGTGTATTGAATTTGCCTTAGGAATCTTGTAAGTTATGCTAATATCAACTGTAACTAACCAAGTCATCTTTATTCGCACGCTTTTGATGTCGATGATCGGACCCTTATTAGCGAATCTTCGTCCTTCCCCCCCTCGGTCATGCCGTTTCCCTCCAAAAACGGCTCTCCAGCACGCTCCCCGTCAGAAACAGCAACCTCTCAATTCACGCCGTCTTTCACGGTCCGAAGCTCCGTAGTTCCTGCGCCGCACTTCCGCGCCGCGGCACCCCGGTTCCCCGTTTCCCCCGATTTCCAGTTTCCGAGATCACCCGGTTCCCCCGGTCCGCTTCTTCCGCGCGCCATGTCTTCCGCCAAGGCCGCTGGATCTCTGCTCCGCTTCATCCCGCCGTCGTACCTTCCGCAGCGGATGGATGTACGGAGCGCCGTTACATGGGGAACGACAGGAGTCGTCGGCGCGCTGTGGCTGATTCAGGTGCGACGGTCAGGCCCTGTCCGCGATATAGGACCACTGCATTGTGCCGTTAAAGCCCGTTACAATATACCGATCTAGAAAGGGGCGACTGTAGTCATCGGCGCGCTGTAGCTAGTTCAAAATATGCAGCGACCGCGATCGCGAACGGATCCCGGCCCTTGAGTGCGTGCAACAAATTTAGTGGCATCGTGGTTGCTGTTCTGCAACTATCCCTTTCACCCTTGTGCGGCTCAGCTATAACCGCCGCTTGCTGTTTTCTTCTGGGTTTTCCACCCTCAATACTCGATTTAGGGACGTAGTGGATGTAGCGTGGCAGCCAGCGCTTTTGCTCTAGCGTGGCTCAGCGATCTCAGCCTTTCTTTCGTCTGAGTTTTCCTCCCTTGAAACAATGAGGACCCTCAGCACTCGATTTAGGGAGGGACGTAGTGGATGTAGCTTGGCAGCCAGCGCTTTCCCTCTAGCGTGACTCAGCGATCACCACCCTTTGCTGCTTTTCTCTGTTTTCTTTCAACCTTGGAGCCGTCTCTTCCTGACAAATTTCCTCGTCTCTTATTTCTCTTTACCCCCTCCCCTGCCCCGTTGCTGGGTGCAGCCTTTCGGTTGGATCAAGGACCAGGTCTCCCCTCCCAAGGAGTCCTCCTAGACTGCCGAATCCTGACAGGTTGCTTGCCGTTGATAGTATGACCTTCCGTTTTGAGTTGGTTTTGATTCGATGGAAATGTTTCAGCAGAAGGTGCATGCATGGTTGTCTACCAATGTCCTAGCTCCCAGTTTCACATCCATTTAGATTAACTAGGGTTTTGTTTTCCTACCGGTATGTTGGGTCTGATGAAACATCCATCGAGGCGGAATGCATGGAAGTGCCGTGCCGTGTGAGACGCAATTTTGTTAGATTACGTCCTTCCCAACTTTCAAAAACCTAGTCAAAGTTTTCTGGGACGTGTGTTAGTTCGATAAGTGTTACAGAGCTTCATGTACTGTAATCGAGATCGAGGATGAGCCGGAACTCTACATGAATGGTGGGTAGGTGGAGCGTAACGTCAAGAGGCCCGACGGTACATTTCGGCCATCGTTGCAGGCACATTCCGAAAAAAAATGTACCGTGCTGACACATTTTACTTTCTTTTTTCTGCCCCGATCACTCAACCTCCCGCCAAATTGCATTGGTCTCCATTAAACACATGTCCAATATGTGCCGCAGATCTTTCACGATATCAAGATCCAGCCGTCGATATATGCCGCTCGAATCTACTTCCTTCCACGTCCGAACCGAAGCGCTAAGACGAATCGCGGATGCAACCTGCAAAGCCACTCTTTTGTCGTCCTGTACACCAGTTCCTTCACTCACCCCACCCCAAGTTTCCCTCTCCCCACCCCCCCAACCCCCCTCGCCACGTCTCCCTCCCAATCACAGCATTCCAAACATGCCCTCACCCTCTTACTCTCCTACCAACCTCTTCTTCCCCGAACCACATTTTCTAACCTGCACCACACTAAACCACGCTTCTACAAACTTTTACCACACCATCTTACTTTTCGACCTAGCTTCACCTTTTGCTGTCCTAACCAACGCCTCGTTGGTCTCTCACGGGCAACAGGCTGTGCTTTCTGATCAGCATGTGTTTTCTGGACCGTGTCTCACGGAAATGCCGGTGCGGACAGAAATATGACTGACTGCGCGCGCGACCATAACTGACCCGTTCCACTCCACCACTAGCGGCCAGCCACCTTATTCAACGATTTTCGATACGTTCAAAAGTCGACAGCACGTGCAAGAAGCTAATAACATTTCCGTCAAGATAACCACGTCTTTCAACGGCCTAAAACTCAAATAGCCACCTCGTCCCGTGAACCCACGGAGCAACAATTCCGGCGCTTCATAGAACTTAACCACGCATAACTAGAAACCGCGACAAAACTCGTTTCGCTTCGACAAACACACCAGCCACGTAGTTAACCATTGACGTAAGGAGCGACTAGTATGAAGAGGCGAGGAGCGACCCGCCACGCCGGGATAACAGTCTTGGCTCTCCTCCTGTTAGGGCTCGCCACGTGTCGTTCACAGCCGGAGGACGACGAAGCACTGACAGGTCAGCCTGCGGCTCTTCCCGATGACATAGAAGTTGCAGACGCTTCCAGCGGCGCAGTCGGCGGCGGAAGCGGCGGAAGCGGTGGAGGCGGCGGGATAGGCGGAGACGGCGCAGACACGTATTCGGACGATTGGGAGGATCCGCTTCCCGGCGACCACCCTAACGGGGATGACACGATAGTAGACACGTCAGATGACGTCGAAGCGGACGTTCCGCCGGGAAATGCGGCGAGCCGTGGCGTTATTCCGGGTAACCGCAAACCAGGCGATTTGGTGCCGGGGGAAGAGGAAGGGGAGGCGGAGGGGGGAGCGGGGAGGGGAGTGAAGGGGGGAGCGGAGATGGGAGTGAGGGCGCAAGCGGAGGGGGAAGCGGAAGGGGGGGGAGCGGAGGAGTGGGAGGCGCAAGAAGAAGCGGCGGAGGAGGAGCCGGAAAACCCGTGGATTGAAAACGGGAGGGGGGAAGGCTCTTCCGCCGCTGTGGCGCAAGCGCAGGACTACCAGCCGGGCGGGGAGGATGGATTTGCGGAAGGGCTGAGCGGAAAGGCGGAGGCGCAAGCGCAGGACGATCAGGCGGGCGGGGGAAATGGTTTTGCGGAAGGGCAGAACGGAAAGGAGGAGGCGGAAGAGGAGCCGAGCAGCGATTGGCCGGCGGGGGAAGCGGGGGAAAGCGCGGAACAGGAGGTCGGGGACGAGAGTGAGAGTGGCACTGCGACTATCCAGGAAGCTGATAACGGGTATGGCGACACGGGCGGGACGTATGAGCGGAATGTGCCGGCGCAGGGGGGTGGGGGCGCGGAACAGCCCGCGCAAGGGGAGGCCTGGACCTTCGAGGAGGATCAACCAGGGCAAGGCGGGCGGGAGCAAGGGGGGGCGATGGGGGGACAGGTGGGGGGGGGAGAGCCCGGGGAAGGGGAAGGGGAAGGAGGAGCGGGAGATGAGAGGGGGGACAATAGCGATTACTTTTTTCACGGGCAGGACCCAGATGAGGAGGAATGGCAGAAGCGGAAGCACAACTGGCAAAATGCGGGTCCAAATAGTGACTCTAACGACCCTAACGCTGCTGATGACGCTAACGGGCCTAGTGACTATAACGAAGCAGAGCAGACACAAACTTCTGGGAACCCCGCGGATGCTAACCCTGATGATGGGAATCCCGATGACGAGCTGTTTTCTGACAACAATCCGTCTAGTTCTGACGAAGCATTTCCTGACAGCAGCAATCCCGCCGCTCAGGACGCTGCTGCAGTTAAGACGGCAGACTCAGCTACCACTGGATCAGGCTCGGAAGGATCCGAACCTGCAGCTCTGGCGAGTAACAGTTACTCTGAAGGTTACCAGAAGATGGCTGGCGGGCAGATCAGCGCGGAGGGCATCTTAGGGATCGTGCTGGGTGAGTGATAACTCAGTTTTCTGTCCGCTGCTGGTCTTTGTGTGTTGGTCAGTTTGTGCTTCCGCGTACGTCTCAAAACTCGATTGGCGCGGAGGGCATCATAAGGATCATGCTGGTTGACTGATAGGTCGATGCAATGTCTCTTATTGGTCTGTATGTGCTGGTCTATGTATTCGTCATTGCCCTTCTGACCTCTACCCACATCAACCCCATCCCTTTCCAGGAGTGACTCTGGGTGCTGGCCTATGTCTTCTGGTAGTCTGTGTGTGCTGGGTGCGGCAACGGAACATCAACCGGGCCAAAGAGTATGTGTCTGCCTGTACCTTGATATTCTCTCACTCCTATGTTAACGTTTCTGGCACTTTCACCACACGTGCTGTTATCACATTCTTTTGCACCGATGCTGAACTGTCATTTTCTCCTCCCATTCCTTCCACACCGTCTTTCTCATACTGTCGTTTATGCCAGCCACCGTCTCTCCTTTGTTTTTAAGCCATCTCAACCCATACTCATCTCCTCTAGCTCCCCCCTGTCTTCCCCGTTTCTCGCAGGTCTGAAGCCATGACAGAATACGTTGATGACAGCAGCGAGGAAGAGGATGAGGAGGGGTTGGAGGAAGCAGCAGACACAGCGCTCATGGGAGGGATAGTGGGAGCACACAGAGCCCTGGATATTGAGGCACAACAGGCATTGAAGTCCTCCAAGCATTGATGTTGGTCGGCGTTGAGGGCTTTAGTGACTGATTCGCTGAAGGAAGCAGCAGAAACAGCGCTGATGGGCGGGATAGTGAGAGCACATAAAGCCGTGGATATTGAAGCACAGCAGGCATTAAAGTCCTCCAAGTGTTGATGTTGGGTTGGGTTGGCTTGGCTTGGCTAATCGTTTCAGTGACTAATTGATGGAGCAGGTCTTCCACATGCATCTCTAGCATGTGCAATGGTGTAATTTAGGTTAAATGCTAGCTGACGTAGTTTAGTATTAGTAGGTAGAAGTATCCCACTAGTTGGTGATTCGATGTATAGTGTCAACTCTTGCTATTTACGGTAATGTTATGGGTTGGGCGCCATCCCATTTTGCAATGCACGCTAGAGAAGACAACTGGGAATCCAAATGAGGGTGAAAGAGCATAAGTCATCATATAATAAACCCACCATAACAGGAAATTAGCAGCGCCAAACTTCAAATCCTGCTGTTTAACGAATAGCTATAAACAATTGAAACCAGTTTCACGGCCATCTCCATTTTAAATTACTGAAAGCGGGTACTTGTACTGCTTCGCGCTCACTCCAGCCAGCAACCTCTTGTCAACGATCCACGAATGCACGTGCTCCAAAAACGTCTTCCCTTCAGGCCTGAATTTCCTCGGAACGTACGTCGCTGCAGCATTCGCGTCGTAGCTCTCAATAGGCCGGGCCATGGCGAGTCCCGGGGTGTGCGCGAGCCCTGCGAAATACGCTTCCGCCATGAACGCTACTGGCGCTTCGGCTCCGTCGTTCTCCTGCTTCAGATTTGCAAATCTGTCGCCAAGACCGGCGGCGTATTTCTCGCTCATAACAAGATCCGAGAGCATCAACGGACAGCGCATGTAGTGTCCCCGGTCAGTCCCTTCGAGAACATCTAGAGCAGCAACTGCTTTCGCGTTCACTTCGTACACTTCACCCTGAACCCTGTGACCGCTGCCAGGCAGATGGAGCAGGAACGGCACCTGAAACGGACCGCAAACGAGCGGAAAGTTCTGTAGCGTTTGAGCGGTCCCGATTTTAACGGCGTCGCCATCGGCCATAAGTTTCTGCATAAGCCAGTGATTCCCGAATCCCTTCTTCAGGGTGCCGTACACGAACGCCAGCGAATAACCTTCGCGAGGAAACGGCAAATCGCCGCTGACTTCGTTGGCTTCCCCGAAGTCAAGGGGAATCGCCGGCGACGTCGCCGGAAGGTACGAGCTCCTGCTTGCGACTTCCAGGTCGGTCTGCGACTGGCTGTGCGACAGCGCGGTCAGGCAGGGAGAGGACGCGGAGGTACGCAGCTGCGCGGATGACGTCATGCGGACAGGAGAAGAAGATACACAGAGCTTCTCCTGAGAGGAGACGACATGGCCTGATGAGAGGCGGCTGGATGATGCTGCAGCCGAGCAGGCAAGAATAGAGGCCATCCCAATCCGAAAACGAATCTGGAAGCAGGGTCAAGAGAGAGAGAATAGGAATTTGAACAACGATGAGGAGGATGAGGAGGATGGTAACATGCCGAACACATCACGAAGGTGAAAACGGGTCGAAGGAAGAGACACTACCGATGCTGCCGATAATAGCTAACAAAGCAACATCGTGGCTACATTCTTGCTAGTAACATGATGGGACGGACAGGGCGGGAGCGCTCTAGCTATTGTACGAAGAAGCAACGACAGGAACAAATCTGAAATCCGACCTGCTCAGACGAGAGACTGCGTCAGCGCTCGAGGAGGAACGAGAGCACAAACCCCGGCAGAGCTGGGGACGGGCGCTCACGCCTCACGAGAAGCAGCAGAGCAGAACACGCAGAGAAGACTAAGATAAGGTAACGAGTGGATTGGATGACAGAGAATTAGTCACAGAAGTGGAGTATTTGTAGGAGCAAGAAACTGGAGAGAGCGGGGATGAGAGCGGGCGGGAGACATGGGTAAGAAGGGGGGATTTACCTTGGCGGAAGAAGGGGGGAGGGGGATTCCTTTCGCAGACGAAGTGGAAATTGAGGGAACGCGTAGACGAATCTAGATAAGGGGGAGAGGGGAGGGGCGGAAATGTGGAACGAGCGAATTCGTCCTGCTTCGCTGGCACTGGTAACCCTTCCAGAAGGTTTCGAACGTCATTCCGCGGAGAAACGGTGAAGGCAGGGAAGTTCGGCGGCAATCCCTGAGCGCCCCCTTTCCCTCAACCACCTCGAAGCGGTGGGTGGGTTGTCCTGAGCGTAGCCACAGGCTGTTTAGGAGCGCGTGTGATGTCATGCATGTCATGTAACGCCTGCACGCTTGTGAGGACGAGAGTGGCGGGATTTCTGGAACAGCGAGTGCACGAATCAGCTTCCACGGCTTTTGCGGCTCTTGGAGATAAATGGAGTCAGCATACCCTTCGTAACCAAACAAGAGCCGCGTGATTCCAGTGAGACGTGGCGCCAAGTCAGCGGGAAAGGTATCCAGCGTCACACCGAATGGGGACCGTGGAATGAACGACCTTAGGGGCCCACGTGCTTGCCAGATATCGTCACCTGCCAACAAAATGTCCTCGTCATCAGTTTGCTCGACAATGTTCGACGCAACATTGACAGTGATGACATTATTGTGCAAACCGGAGCTTTAGATCTCAAATAGCCAGCCACGAAGTTAATTTTCTGTATAATCAGGCTCTTCAAGTGTCTTGCCACCATTTACGTGGTACAATCTTGGCTTCATCATCAAAGTTCAATTTCAACTATTCGCTACAAGAAAAACATATGATTTTTCATCACCCTACTTCTTCTCTTCATACTCCGCCTCCTGTGCTCCTCCAGTTGACCCCGCTCCAGAAGAGGACGAGCTGCTGCCGCTGCCCGCTTGCCTAGAGATAGCCTCTCCGATCTTGAGAGAGGCCTGCTGGGCGGCAGAGATCTTCTCCCGGATCTCCTCCAGATTCTCCTTCTCCAACGACCCCTTGAGATCAGCAATAGCTGCTTGCACTGCCTCCACCACGTCCTGAGAATCGGGAACAGACAAGAACAGACAGCACAGACAATGGGAATAAGACTCCTTTGAAGCATGGCGCGCTGGGGCATGGCACGCTAGGGCATGGCGCGTTCTCCTTGTGCTCGATCAAGTATCGTTCGACAGAGTACATGATCGTGTCCTCATCGTTACAGGCCCCGATCAGCACCAATTTACATGCCCACCACATCTCACAACCCAAGGAACGCTGAGACTCTGCACTCACAGTTGGCAGTTTCTCCTTGCACTCGTTGAAAGACCGCTCCACAGAGTACATGGTGGTGTCGGCGTCGTTCCTCGCCTAGATCAGTGCCTTCCTCTATGGCCTCACGTATCCCCCCACATCACATCACACGGAACACTGGGACAAGGAATAACGGCACTCACGCTAGGCAGCTTCTCCTTGTGCTCGTTGAGTGACCGCTAGACAGAGTACATGGTGGGGGTGTCTGCATCTATCCTCGAGGCAATTTTAACAAAGGCTGCACTCACGCTTGGCAGCTTGTCCTTGTGCTCGTTCAACGACCGCTCGACAGAGTACATGGTGGTGTCGGCGTCGTTCCTCGCCTCAATCAGCGCCTTCCTCTCCTTGTCCTTGTCGGCATACTGCTCCGCCTCCCTCACCATGCGATCAATGTCCGAATCCGACAGCCCTCCAGACGACTGCATGTGCGTTACAGAGGGAGGCATCAAGGAGAGTTGAAAAGAGTAAGAGATAAAACGTCACCTCTCCTTGTCCTTGTCTGCATACTGCTCCGCCTCCCTCACCATGCGGTCAATGTCCGAGTCTGAAAGACCGCCCGATGACTGCACGGTCAAATAAACAGGGGGTTCGTAAAAAGGAGTTACTGAGAGTAAGGTTCCTCTCCTTGTCCTCCTTGCCTACGTACTGCTCTGCCTCCCTCACCATGCGATCAATGTCTGACAGCCCGCCTGATGACTGCTCGAATCAACGGACGGGGGACAAGAAAGAACAACACGGGTTTGTAACAAGGAATTACAAGGAGTAAGGAAGAAAGACGCCTTCCTCTCCTTGTCCTTGCCTGCGTACTGCTCCGCCTCCCTCACCATGCGATCAATGTCCGAGTCCGACAGACCGCCTGATGACTGCATCGTCAAAAGGGAGGTTTCAAAACGAGGGATATTGATAAGCAAAGGTGAGACGCGTCTCCTCTCCATGCCCTTGTCCACATACCGCTATACTGGAGTCACTTTCAAGAAACCTCAAACGTGGCTCCTCCCTCACCATGCAATCAATGCCCTAACAGCCCCCCTGGGGTTTGCACATGATGGTATGGTGTAGGAAGGAGTTGGTTAAAATGGACTGAAAGAAACCCTATTCCTCCCTCCCCTCCCCTCCTCAACCCAATCCCTTCCCTCCTCTCCTCTGCCCCTCTCCCTCACCTGAATCGTGATGGCTTGCTCCTTGTTCGTGGCCTTGTCCTTGGCGCCCACATGCACGATGCCGTTGGCATCAATGTCAAACGTCACTTCGATCTGCGGCATGCCTCGGGGCGCGGGGGGGATGCCGACGAGGTCGAACTGCCCCAGCAGCTTGTTGTCTGCCGCCATCTCCCTCTCGCCCTGCAGCACCTTGATTCCCACCTGCGTCTGCCCGTCCGCTGCGGTGGAGAACACCTGAAACCGGAGGAGGGGAGAGCGGGGCGAAATCGGGGCGAAAACGGGGCAGAAAACCGGGGAGAAAAGAGGGTGAGTGGAGTAGAGTGGTGGGGCAAGCAGCACGGCACGGCATGCCTCTGGGCGCGGGGGGGATGCCGACGAGGTCGAACTGCCCCAGCAGCTTGTTGTCTGCCGCCATCTCCCTCTCGCCCTGCAGCACCTTGATCCCCACCAGGCTCTTCTTGGTTGGGATGGTGGTGTTGCGGTTGATCAGCCTCGTGAACACCCCTCCCAGCGTCTCGCAGTTGTTGCTAACCCTAAACTAGTCAGATCCACCTCCAGATTCTGCGGAGCAATGTCTAAAAGCACCCACCTGGCTCTTCTTGGTGGGGATGGTGGTGTTGCGGTTGATGAGCCGGGTGAACACCCCTCCCAGCGTCTCAATGCCCAGCGACAGCGGCGTCACGTCCAGCAGCAGAAGGCGAGGGAGGGGGAAGCAGGAAGCAGAACTTGCCTCTTCTTCTTTGCTGCTAAACCCACCTGGCTCTTCTTGGTGGGGATGGTGGTGTTGCGGTTGATGAGCCGCGTGAACACTCCTCCCAGCGTCTCAATCCCCAGCGACAGCGGCGTCACGTCCAGCAGCAGAATGTCCTTCACGTCGCCCCGAAGCACGCCGCCCTGGATCGCCGCCCCCATCGCCACGCACTCGTCCGGATTCACGTTCTTGGACGGCTGCCGCCCGAAAATCTCCTGCACGACCTCTTGCACCTTGGGCATGCGAGACATGCCGCCCACAAGGATCACTTCTGTGATGTCCTTCGCCGATATGCCCGCATCCCTCAAGCAGTCCTTGCACGGCTGCCGCGTGCGCTCCACCAGAGGGTTCACCTGGGGAAAGGGGTGGGGGATGAAGGGAAGGAGGGGTGCGTTAGGAGGAGCACCAGGAGATTCAAAGGGGACCCTTTGCCCCCAGTAGCATCTGCGGTGATAAAATGGAATGTTGATGTCCGTCTGGCTCGTGCTCGACAGCTCGCAATTGCACTTTCAGAGATTCTATGTTTAAAAACAGAGCCCAGCTCACCAGAGTCTCAAACTTGGAGCGGGTAAGAGTGAAGCTCAAGTGCTTCGCTCCCGTGGCATCAGCAGTGATGAACGGAATGTTGATGTCCGTCTGGCTCGTGCTGGACAGCTCGCATTTGGCCTTCTCAGCCGCCTCCCGCAGCCGCTGCAGAGCCAGGCGGTCCTTGGTGAGGTCGATGCCCTGCTCCTTTTTGAACTCGTCAACTAGATGCTGGAGCAAAGCATTATCGAAATCCTCTCCTCCCAAGAAGGTGTCTCCATTCGTGGCCTTCACCTGTGATTGGAAACACAGCAAAGAGGGGGAGAAGCAGGGCAGGCATGCGGCGAGAAACGGTCCTTGGTGGGGTCGATGCCCTGCTCCTGCCTGAACTCTTCCATCAGATGCAGCAGAAGAGCGTTATTGGAGTCCTCAAAAACCCCACCAGAGATCTCCAGAATGGAGACATCGATCGTGCGTCCGCACAAATCGAACACTGCGGTCCATGCCGTACGACAGACTGGCTTATTCCACACACACAGACAGCAAACGTACCTCGAACACCCCGCCAGAGATCTCGAGGATAGAAATGTCAAATGTCCCGCCGCCCAGGTCAAACACGGCCACGAGCCCCTCCTTGCGGTTCATGCCGTACGACGGACTCGCGGTCCCATGTTCCTACCAACCCCCCACTACCCCTCAATACTGAACTTGCTGCACCAGCAACGCACCTCAAACACCCCGCCAGAGATCTCCAGAATGGAGATATCGAACGTGCCTCCGCCCAGGTCAAACACGGCCACCAGACCCTCCTTGCGGTCCATGCCGTACGACAGACTACCCTATTCCACCCACACAGACGCACCTCAAACACCCCGCCGGAGATCTCAAGGATAGAAATATCGAACGTGCCTCCTCCCAGGTCAAACACAGCAACCAGCCCCTCTTTCCGGTCCATGCCGTACGACAGACTCGCCGCCATGGGCTCGTTGATGATCCTCAGCACGTCCAGCCCACATGCCTTAATACTCCTCCTCCCTCAGTCCCAATGCGCTCCTTCCCTCGTCACACACAGACGGACGCACCTCATACACAGAGACAAAAAACGCACCTCAAACACCCCGCCGGAGATCTCAAGGATAGAAATGTCGAACGTGCCGCCGCCCAGGTCAAACACCGCAACCAGACCCTCCTTGCGGTCCATGCCGTACGACAGACTGGCCGCCGTGGGCTCGTTGATGATCCTCAGCACGTCCAGCCCTGCGATCCGCCCCATGCCTTTCCACTCCTTCCTTCCCTACTCCCATTGCGCTCCCTCCCTCACTCTTCCCCCGACCACGCACACAGAAAACGGCGCACATTGCATCCGCAGACCCACATACCTCGAACACCCCTCCAGAAATCTCAAGGATGGAGATATCGAAGGTGCCGCCTCCCAAATCAAACACGGCCACGAGCCCCTCCTTGCGGTCCATGCCGTACAACGGACTCGCGGTCCCATGTTTCAACCAACAAAACTAGTGCCCATTGTGCTCCTTCCCTTGAACGCACCTCAAACACCCCGCCAGAAATCTCCAGAATGGAGATATCGAAGGTGCCTCCTCCCAGGTCAAACACAGCGACCAGACCCTCCTTGCGGTCCATGCCGTACGACAGGCTGGCCGCCGTGGGCTCGTTGATGATCCTCAGCACGTCCAGCCCTGCGATCCGCCCCGCGTCCTTGGTGGCCTGGCGCTGCGCGTCGTTGAAGTAGGCCGGGACCGTGATCACAGCCTTCGAGACCGGGCGACCCAGATACGCCTCTGCTGTCTCCTTCATCTTGCCCAGGACAAAGGCACCGACCTGACAAAGGGGGGATCAAGCAGAGGGGAATGCATGGGGGCTTAGAGAACCCGCCCCGCGTCCTTGGTGGCCTGCCTCCGCGCGTCGTTGAAGTAGGCCGGGACCGTGATGACTGCCTTCGAGACCGGGCGACCCAGATACGCCTCTGCTGTCTCCTTCATCTTGCCAAGCACGAACGCGCCGACCTGGTAAAGGGGAAAGGGAGGGAGAGGAGGGGGAACACGAATGCACGTGTAGTGAGTGGCGGTTGGTGGCCTGCCTCTGCGCGTCGTTGAAATAGGCTGGGACCATAATGACCGCCTTCGACACCGGGCGACCCAGGTACGCCTCTGCTGTCGCCTTCATCTTGCCCAGGACAAAAGCCCCGACCTGGGGGGAAATGGAATGGAAGAGGTAAACGAGAGCACGTACAGTGAGAGGGGTTTGGTGGCCTTCATCTTGCCCAGCACGAACACACCGACCTGGGGGGAAATGGGAGGGAATAGACGGGAAGGGAAGGAAGGGGATGGGAGGACATTGATGGGAAATAATGGGGAAAGTTGCGGCAGTTTCGTTTTGCTGGCCTGTCTCTACGCCCCCAACCAAACTAGGGAAAGGGGAAAGTGAGCGGATGGGATGGGATGGTGGGGAAGATGACATGCAGCGGGATCAGGGCAGTTGCGTGGGCTTGTCGATAATCCTGTTCACGTTACGTATGTTTCATCTACTATTACAGCTCCCGTTACATCTACCGTTTCATCTGCCGTTTCATGTACGGCCCGTTTCATCTCACCTGGCTGGGGGAGTACTTCTGTCCGCCCGCCTCCACCCATGCATCCCCGCTAGGCGCGCGAACGATATTATACGGCACCATCTTAGCCTCCTTCTGCGTCTGCGGATCGTCAAACTGCCGCCCAATGAGCCGCTTCGTGCCAAAGAGGGTGTTGGTGGGGTTGGTGACGGCCTGTCGCTTAGCCGGAGTGCCCACCAGCCGCTCTCCCTTGGGGTTGAACGCCACGACGGAGGGAGTGGTGCGCGCGCCCTCCGCGTTCTCGATAACCCGAGGGGTCTGAGAGCGGGGACAGGGGGTAGCATGGAAGAGGGGAGAGGGGAAGAGGGTTGGTGACGGCCTGTCGCTTAGCCGGAGTGCCCACCAGCCGCTCTCCCTTGGGGGGTGAACGCCACGACGGAGGGAGTGGTGCGCGCTCCCTCCGCGTTCTCGATAACCCGAGGGGTCTGAGAGCGGGGACGGGGGGTGGGGGTAGAGCGGAGAGGGGTAGAGAAGGGGGTGTGACGGCCTGTAGCTTGGCCGGAGTGCCCACCAGCCGCTCTCCCTTGGGGGTCAACGCCACGACGGAGGGAGTGGTGCGCGCGCCCTCCGCGTTCTCGATAACCCGAGGGGTCTGAGAGCGGGGACGGGGGGTGGGGGTAGAGGGGAGAGGGGTAGAGAAGGGGGTGTGACGGCCTGTAGCTTGGCCGGAGTGCCCACCAGCCGCTCTCCCTTGTGGGTAAACGCCACGACGGAGGGAGTGGTGCGCGCGCCTTCCGCGTTCTCGATGACCCGGGGGGTCTGGATGGGGGAAGAGAGGGTAGAGGTTTTAGGGGGTAGGGGCAAAAGGGCGTAAATGTCGCGGCCGGAGTGCACACAAGACGCTCGCCCTTGGGGGTGAACGCAACAACGGACGGCGTCGTGCGCGTGCCCTCCGCGTTCTCAATCACACGGGGGGTCTGGATGGGTGGACAGCGGGCAGGAGTAGCGGAAAGGGTGCGGGCAGACAAGAGGAGGGGGGAGGAGAGATGATCAACCCCTGTGGTAGCACAAAAATCTGTGATATTTGCTCGCTTTGGCCGCTTTGGCCGTGAACACCAACACTTTGCCTCCACGCCGAATTTACCTCCTACGACAGCGACAATAGAGTTGGTGCTACCGAGTGACGCCACAATGGGATCCCATCCAAGTCCACACCACCCAAATTTCTAGACTCGCCTTTCCCTTCTAGACCCAAATCTCTCGACAAATAACTCAGATCTCACCTTGCCCTCCATAACAGCGACGCAGGAGTTGGTGGTACCGAGATCGATACCGATAACATCGCCGCCCGCTGCGGAGCTGCACGCGAAAGAACAAAGAGGACGGACGAATCCCACAAATGGGAAGAAGGGGCGGAAGTGAGGGAAAGGGCAGGAGGAATGAATTAGTAACGATGTGATGAATGCCGATCGCATCGCCTCCTATTCACAGACTGGATGAGCACAACCTAATCACGTGGACATGCAGAAGACGCGAGAGCAGGAAAGTTCGCAGTGACCAGGAAACGAAGGGGAACGCGGAATGCGTCACAAGCGGGTTTCAAAGCTCTGTCTCTGAAGCGCGGACGGCGTTATCGGACGGCGTGCTGCCGAAGTGAGATGAGTCGATTTTTGAGTCGACTAAAAAATCGACTCATCTCACGTGAAGCGCGGACGGCGTGCTGCCGAAGCTCTCACCTGCGAACCGCAGATTCAAAGATGGACGATACCTGAAGGCTCGTGCGCCGTTCGTCCATCGGCGCATGATGGACGATGCGATGGAGGTGACGCTGCACGGTGCGTATAGAAGCATCACCTAAAGCCAACAGCACCAAAATCTCCTGTGAAAGAGGCAGTACCTGAAGGCTCGCGCGCCGTTGGTCCATCGTCGCATGATGGACGATGCGACGGACGCCGCTGGTGACGCTGCAACTACCTCCTGCAACACAGACGAGGCCGAAAAGAGTACAGAAACGGATCAGCCGGGAAAATGGTCAGGTAGGAATGGACAGGTACGGACGCACTTCAAGCAAAGAGAGGACAAAAACTTCTAGTATGAAAACAGCTGGAAAACACCCCTGGACGAAGCGACTTAGACAACGGTGAGATAGGAGGGACAGAAACTTTCCACGGAAACCTCTGCTGCACTCCCTTTACGCATCTTCTTGATCTAATATCGGTTGGCTGGTATGTTGTCTCTTCAAATATTTAATCTGGTGAAGCTAGTGGAAGGATCTGACGTCAACCTAATGTGGTAAAGTCAGGAATCCCAGTCTGAAAAAAGTGACGTGGATTCGCAAAGATCTGATCTGGCACTTACTGCTGACTCTGGCAGAGCCCTCTGCAAAAAGCTCTGAGCCGCTGCTGACGTGGAGAAGCTCGCAATCGCGCTTCCAGCGTTTCTGTTGGCCGATCGGGCCAACAACCTCGCCGCTAGGTACGCCGCCATGGTCGGTTTCGCGGATCCGATAAAAGAAGGTTCGACTTGTAACGAGTCGACGCTGGAAAGACGGCGAGATTCGTGGGTGGAAAAACGGATCGGATCGAACGGCGAAGGTGGAAAACGGTGGAACGTGATCGGATGATCTGACGACCAAGCGAGAACGATGGAGCTTAGACTCCAACAACGTGCGAATCGCGAAAAGGCCTGACAACAGCACGAGATAAAGAGCCTCCCTCCCAAGAGACACGCACGGAGAGTGCAAGGCAAAGCATGTGAACTGCCTTTCAGCTCTCGATGCTGTTAGGAGATGGACGACAACACAAAAGATAGCGAGATTTGCGACACACGGTAACATATATGTTAGCGATGAGTTTTGCATTGCGATACCGACCCTGGTAACATTCTTCGCTGCCATGCCCACAACCACGGAGATTGCTGACGTGGGCTGCTATTGAGGGAATGGCGAAGGGCAAACGCTTCCAGCACAAGCAACCTTGTACGCTCTATGGACGTGAGCGACATGGTTTTAAGGTTCTTTTAGTCAAGTGACGTTTGGAAATGATTTAGTATCAGTTCCTTTGGCACTGCACAATGTTACCAAGCTCAGACGCAAGACTTGTTCTGAGTCGGAGCAAATTTGCTGGTTGGAGGTCTATTAAAACCCGCGTCCCAAATTGCGGACCGCGAGGGTCAAGTTTTTAAAACCAGGGTGCACATTCAATTGGATTTCTGTCAAAGGTTAACCTTTGACCTCGGGGTTACTCAGTGATTTAGGAATATCTGGGGGGAGTGTTCGCTTCAGCAGGTGAACATTTGAACCCTCGAGATTTGGCAAATGTATACCGAAGTCATCGAATGTGCTTCCGCCAATTCGTTTCCCCCCTCCCCATACCTATTCCGCTCCCACCGAAATTGTTTCCCCTTCCCCCACAATATCGTCTCACCCCCTTTCCCCTTTCCGCCAACCCAGTTGCCCTCCCCTTGATCCCCAATTTCTAGATCCAAGTGTTATCAATTTCTCCCCTGCCAAGCCTCATCTCTCACGGACGAAAAGCCCCATGCTCGCCCATTCTCAACTATTTATTCGCTACTCGTCAACCAATCAGCAGTTCCCGCAAACATGCCGCCCAAAATTTAGCCTGGAGTCGCGTTGAATGTGTACCCTGGTTTTAACACTTGACGAAGTTGAGTGTCCAAGCTTTTGAAAGTGACACATCTGCAATTTGGGACTTTCGAAGACAGATTCACTCACCAGGGGGAAGGCCGAGGGTTGGCTGGGTCTCGCGAAAAAAACGAACCCTAGACGAAATTGCGAACTCTCGCCAAAGCCTACACCAGAAAAACTCCCTCTGGTCAACTTTTAAAAGCATAACAATTTGGGCCGCCGGCTTTAAATATTGTGGGAATGGGTAAAAAAAAAAACTTAGAGATGCATTCTTTGCACTACGAGGCGAGCTTTTGAGTTTCCAAACCAGGAGTTTGCCCTGTAGGGCATGAACCTAAGTACATATTACGGTACTTCAGCTCTGTCCTACTTGTATTCCAGAAGCATATTGTTCTCTGGTGCAAGGCCCACACACGCCCGGAGAACATTCTCAAGCATCCCTCGTTGCTTGGCCAATGCATTCACGACAGGTGTGCCAGAGGGGACCTGCACACAACAGGATATTATAATGTCAGAAGCCAGGTGCAACATACCAAGAAAGCCAATCATCAAGTCTCAGAGACTTCCCACTGACTGAAGTTACTGGCACAGCTACTGGTAGTCTATTGAGGTCAAGCACCAGGCTAGTCTATAGAAGGGATGAAGTATGGAAACATGATACTGGGACCAGGCACGCTTCACAAGTTGGACAATGGAGTTGGGATGGCAGCTTGCACAAAAAACAGACAAGCAGAAGAGGAAAGAAGACACTGCATGGAAAAACGTGAATTCCCCCCCTTTTTTCAGTACGGCTTGAGTTAGGAAAGGGGCGCATACCAGCGGCGCTTTGGAGAGGTAGCTGAGCAGCGACGCGACGGGGTGGAACGAGTGGAACTCCTCCTCCTCTTCCCTGCGCAGCTGGATGCGAGTGAAGAGCTCGGCCAGCAGCACGAGGTCGAGGATGAGCGGCGCGGCGAGCAGCGAGTCCTCACACGTGTTGTGCATGACGATGGTGTTCCTGCCGCCCATGAAGATCTCTGACGTGTACTCGTCCATGGCCCGCTTGCTGTCGCCCACATATGGCACATACTGCAGGAGGGGTTGAGAAGGGAGATTGGAAGGGTCATTGGAATGGGGATTTGGAAGGGGGAAAGGAAGGGATGTTAGGGAGAACGTTGGTTTCTGCTAACCCCACATGTTGCAAGAGGGATATTAGTGATGGAAATGGGGGCATTGGGTGGGGAGGGAGGAGGACCAGCAGCCTCGGTGATCTTATGTTAGTGATAAGAGGTGATCAGTTTAGCTTAAGCAGCGTGTGACCAAACAGAGACAAGGAAGATGATGAAGTCAGGATTAGAAGGAGCAAGGAAGTTGGGGGAATGGCAGAGAGGCGCTGGGCAGATTGGGCATGAGGAGTCGGGTGGGTAGGGGTAAGGAGGATAAATTTGAGAGTGAGGGAAGTGACGGGCGGGGGATCGCAGGAAGGAGTTTTGAAAAAGGGGAGAGAGGGCGGTTGAGAGGGAATAGAGACAGCTACAAGGAGTGAGCAGGGATCCGAGGGGGGAATAGGGGGGGACAGGCGGCGGGAACAAGAAAGGGCATACCTTGATGACAACGACGTGGTCTGGGTGCTGGCCCTTATCATAAATGATGGAATTGGAGGCCACCATGTCGTCCACCACGTTGCTCTTGGAGATCTCCTTCGACCGGAACGTCTGCGGCGCTGACAGGTTCATACCATCATTGTTGCCCAGGTGGTTGTAACTCACTATCGACATGGGCTGGCGGTTGAAAGGAAGAAAGAGGGAGAGATGCGTGGAGGATGCAGGTGGGACAATTATACAAAAGCAGGACAAACAGATTCATGCCATCACTGTTGCCTTGTAGCTCACTCTTGCCATGGGCTGGCGGGAATAAGGGGAGCGGGAAGAGGGCGAGAGAGAGATATGTCTGGAGGCCCTTGTTGTTTCCCAGGTGGTTGCAGCGCATCAAGGACAAATGCTCCAGGAAAGGGAGAGAGTGGGGCTGGGGAGGGGAAGGGGGGTGAGTAGGGGGACAAAGGACGACGAGACAAAGCCAGACCAGACGGGTTCATGCTATTGCTATTGGATCGAACACTGCATGGGGGTGCCAGGCTTATGCACAACACCCCACCCGCTGCATTAGTGCTTCAACGCATCAAGTGGATTGCCCTGTTGTCTCGTTACAGACGCGTGCTATAATACTCCCTCATTTCCACTATATCGTTCAGCGGTAGTGGCATACTCGCGCGGCCTTCGTTGATCCTTTGGTCCTTTCCGCTATACCGTCATATCAAGATTCCTCCTTACAATCAAGCTGCTAACCAGACTGCCATAATCAGCAATTTAGTGCTGTAACCTCCGGTTCAAAGGTTTCTTTATAAAAACGCCCCTTACTGGGCTCGGCTTGACTTTAATTTCCAGACCTTTAGGCCGTGCTCACCTTAATTCCTGCGCTAACGAGGAAGTCCACGAGAACAGACTTCATCTTCGTCTGCCCGGATTTGAAATCGTCTCCGCCAATCAGGCTGTTGTTCTCCAGCGCGTACTCGATCAGCCCCGGAACGAACGTGTTCTGCGGGCTGCCGTTGATGAACGGAACCTTCTCGTGGATGCACGCCGCGGCGTACAGCGTGGACGGGGAAATCTCGCTCTCGTTGCGGTCGATCGCGTTAAAGAGGTTCACTTTAGTGTCGTTGAAGCCGGTGAGCACGTCGCTGTAGCGCTCCGTGTTGGCCGTCCAGAGAACGACGACGGAGTCCACGCCGCTCGTCTCCTTGAATTTCCTGCGGCAAGGTCAGGGAAAAAAAAGTCGGCACGCAGATACAAAATCAGGGAAAGAAGGCAAGGAAGGTGGCATTCAGTGTCACAGTCAGGGACGGGAGACGGCGCGGGGAGCACGCGAGGGAACTGTCGCGTGCAAGAGCGGACGGCAGATGAGAGGAACCGATCAGGCGAGGACGACAGGAACTGGTGTCAGCTCTCGACGACTATACTAAGTGGTGAAGAGAAATGAAAGAACGAACAAGTCATGAAGCGACAAAATGAGCAGTCTATAGCCAGCCAGTTCATTTCCGCACTAACCTGATATCCTGGATGATCTGCTGCATCTGCTCCTTCTTTGTACCCTTGATGACATTGTTAGCACGAGCCTCCTGATTCGAGGCAATGAAATCTGGGTCGTAGATCCCAGGCAGGGGTGTCATGCCTTTCATGTGGCTGTAGAGCTGCTTCTGCAGATCGATGTCCAGAACCTTCGCCCTGGCCATGGCGTCCGCCAGGTTCATGCTTGAAATGTCCCAGCCGCCGAAAACAACATCATTCGGATCAACCTGGAAGGTGAATAACACGAAAAAACAGTGGCTGAGCTATCTAAAACACCTAGAAGTTGCGAAGACCACTAATCTCTATTGAAGTCCGGACTACGCTTTTCTTCCTCGTGCTTCGGACTGGAATGTGGGAAAGAGAGATAGCATCATCACACACCATGGGGAGGAGGCTCTTAAAGGGGACGTAGATCTCCTCGCCCTTGTACGAGCCGACACGGCAGGTTGACGCCTGGGTAACTGAGCCGAAGTAGTTAGCAACTTGAATGCCATCCTTAGTCAGCCAGGAGATTCCTCTGCGAAGAACAAGGCCAGGCATACGGACTTCTGTTGAGACTGGAGGTTTAGAAATGGATGGTCGAAGACCAGGAAAAGGCCACAAATGGGGATGGTTGACAAGCGTAGGCCGTGTCTCTTACTCTCTATTAGCGATAACTCCAGCTGTCAAGGTGGAACCGTTATTGCCTCCCCAGCCTACAAGCATAACACTGCAAGAGAACAAAGCTATGTTAAGCCACATTTACAAAAAGTGTTGAAGTAAAAACTCATGTGATTGCGACAGAAACATGGCTTACCCTAACTTCGGGACTTTAGTCTGCGTCCTGAATTCATAATGCTTGCTGACTGGCTTAACCGTCCAGTCGAACTTCCCATCCCTAACAGCACAGTCTAGGTCCGTAGTCTGGTACGTGTATTTCGAGGTGATGTACTCATCACCGTAAACAACATCCGGGCTCGCAACCTTGAAGCTTTCAACCAACATAATGGCGAGTGATTTTAGTATTTACACAGCCTACGGATTGTGGAAAACGGGGACTCGGGAGGGAACAAATGTTATGGTCCAACTCTAATTAGAAACAGCAGATCCGCCTCTGCTCTGAAGCTAACCAAGAACTGCAGAACGAGAAGCTAACAAGAACAAGAACACCAGTCAACAATGACTGGTCAGTGCTGTTGCTTCGTTTTATTCCCTTTCAAAACAACTTGGGCGTTTCTGAGGCTGCCTTCTTGAGGCAGCTTGTCGCTCGCACATCCTCACTTCTTTTCCCCCTTGTCCAAATCCGAGCCACAAGCTCAACGGACCAGAAGGTTCGCGTGAGGGCTGACCGCTAGGGCAAATCACGGCTTTGAGGGGAAGGGGCATAGGTTGGGATGGGATGAGGGGAGGGGGGACAAAAGGTTCGGAGCAACAAAGCCGTTTTCATTGGCTCCGCGAGCCTATGAAGCTCGCCCAGCCTCCTCTTCTACACGCCAATGCGCACTGGCGGACACGCCCCTCCGCGGTTGCTGGAGGCTCGAGGGGAAGTTGTCGGCGCATCTGCGATTTGAGCGGAAAGCTCACTTTGGCTATGGTCAGAAAAAAATCTGGCGGCTTACGAAGCTTGGGAGTGGCCTGGACAGAAGCTGCCGCAATCCCTCCAAACCATCGTGAAATCCTTATCGCACGGCTTGCTGAGAGCTACACTATCACGAGTCAGCGATTGTGACACGTGGTTACGAACGTAAAACATAAAATTTACCCGCCAAAATTTCGTGCCTCGTATACGTCGAACATGATCTCTCACTGGTGGTTCAGGTGTAGGTGACAGTCAAACGAGGGAAATTCATGTTCGTGAATCGCGCAAATCCCCACAGCTCCAGCCATCTGGGAAGAATGTGGCTGTATAAAATAGACGATATATGTAGAGTACTTAAGTACATAGCTTTGGTTACAGAATACATTCCATCTTAACGATGCTATTTGTTAAATACACCACCCATTTTCAGGATGTGAAAGTTTTTATTTCAAAAACTGGTAGCATGTCAAATTGCTGCAAATTTGCACTGCATGATTAATCAAACAACAAAATAACAATTGGCAGCAAAAAAATCATTATTTATAGCTTTAGAGTTTCGGTACACCGAACACATGAATTGCTGAAGTTTCCCGACACTTCGTCAACAACAAGCTGCGAGAAAGATTCGCACGTCGACTGCGAATCAGCATGCGGGAATTCGCTCTCGAATGCGTCGCGTCGCTTCTAGAAATTCCATGTGGCCTCGCCAGGTCAGTCGCCACGTCGTTGGCGAAGGCCCAGAAAGATCGCTCACTCGGCAATCTCGAGAAAGATCTCTTTCCTCTTTCGGCCATTATCTCCGATACTCAGATTTTGCCTGAGCGCGTTCTCAGGTGTAATCACCAACAGAAACACAGTGTTTCTATATAGTGTGAATCTATTCTGTTTCATGTTTGTATACAGTCACTCAAAAAGAGGAAGTCTAACACTTGCAATAAATAAATATAATGCCCGTAGCGAACCTATATGTTTTCTGGGAAGGATCAACCCTAAACACCGAAAGCTTCCAAATATTTTGGAAAACATATTGCAACCCACTTGACAAAAAAAAAATACCCACCTCGGAAAGGGATGCGACTCGGGAGGCATCAACCCTAAAAACAATGCCCATTTCCGTGTTTAGGGTTGACCCCTCTCGAAAATGCATCCAGGTTCCCTAGGGTTTTTATTTTTTTCTGCCATGCCCGAATAGGTCTCGGTAGCGTCGTCTAGTGCTTTCGGAAGCGTTGTTTAGCGGTCAGTTGCGCTACTGAGCACTACCAAGTGAATTATATGGGCTTCATTCTCTTACTACCTTAATTTCCGTACATATATCCAGGTCGGGAGGGTAAAGTGGATGGTTTTGTTTTTGTCACTTCCTAATGAGTTCGACCAGCAAGAGAAATGTGACTAAAAAGCGACGACCAATCAACGTTGAGAAAGTCCGGGTTGATTACACCTGAGAGCACGCTCAGGCAAAAACTGAGTATCAAAGATCATGGCCGTTCCTCTTTCCACCCGCCTTTCCGATCCCCCAAACTTGGCCTTGCGTTCACAAAAAGGCTGCACCAGGCATTCAGAAATAAAAAATAAGTTGAATCTTGTTTTACCGATTCGATCAAAGCACGAGCTCTTCTCCCTAACTTTCCCATACTTGCCACTAGGATCTGCCATCGGCTAAGCTGCTGACCATCTGACCGTATCCAGCTTCCTGCTTAAGCGGCTGTTGTGAATACAATGGAGGAGGACATGGATTTCAACGCCAGCGGCGACATGCCTACGGACATCCCGATGGGGGGGGATGAGGAGGACGAAGCTACATACGCTCCGCAGGCGGAGGGAGAGGAGAAGGATTTGACCAGCGATGGCGGAGTAAAGAAGCTGATCGTGAAGGCCGGGGACGGCTGGGACAAGCCCGAGGCTGGAGATGAGGTGTCAGGTGAGGATCGGATATTCGGACCTCGTTCTATCTGGGATTGCATGGGGTTCCTCTGTCGTTTAATTTGAATCAATACATATCGATCTGCTTAGCTGTTGTCATCCCAGCCTTTCAAGTATTATGTTTCCAAATCTTGTTCACCTATCGTTTTCTGCTTTCAATACCTCCATGCTCAAGCCGAGACTTACCTATTTTTTTCGTCATATCTCGTCCCTCTTTCAGTTCACTACACCGGAACCCTTTTGGACGGGACCAAGTTCGACTCTAGCGTCGACAGAGGAGAGCCGTTCAACTTCAAGCTCGGACAAGGTAAACCAGGGCTGCCAATCAATTTCCAAGTCCAGTTTAGTTCAGTTTCCTCCCTGTTTCCCGGGAATTGCAATCGCATGTGTCCGTTTCCACTCTTGCTTCTACGGCTTCTCCTGACCACGGTGTGTGCGATGGCTCACATCTTATTCTCCGCGTTTCTCGTTACTGTCGCGTGCAGGCCAGGTCATCAAGGGATGGGACAAGGGTATCGCATCCATGAAGAAAGGCGAGAAGGCCGTGTTTACAATCAAACCCGAGTACGCGTATGGCGAGGCGGGTTCCCCGCCGACGATTCCTCCGAACGCAACGCTCAAGTTCGAGGTGGAGCTGCTGTCGTGGATCAGCGTGAAGGACATCTGCGGCGATGGCGGCGTGTTCAAGAAGATTCTCGTGGAGGGCAAGAAGTGGGAGACGCCTAAGGACATGGACAAAGTCACAGGTACGTCTCATTACGCGGAAGCTCCCAATAATAGAATCAATCCCAGAAGGCAAGAGGTATTTTATTAGAATCAAGCCCGAGTATGCTTATAGCGAGGCTGGCTCTCCGCCGACCATCCCGCCGAACGCGACGCTCAATTTCGAGGTGGAGCTGCTGTCGTGGATCAGCGTGAAGGACATCTGCGGCGATGGCGGCGTGTTTAAGAAGATTCTCGTGGAGGGCAAGAAGTGGGAGACTCCCAAAGACATGGACAAGGTCACAGGTACGCCTCACTGCACGGAAGCTCCCAATATTAGAATCAATCCCAGAAGGCAAGAGGTTATAGCGAGGCTGAGGGTGAGGCTGGCTCTCCGCCGACCATCCCGCCGAACGCGACGCTCAATTTCGAGGTGGAGCTGCTGTCGTGGATCAGCGTGAAGGACATCTGCGGCGATGGCGGCGTGTTCAAGAAGATTCTCGTGGAGGGCAAGAAGTGGGAGACGCCTAAGGACATGGACAAAGTCACAGGTACGTCTCATTACGCGGAAGCTCACAGGTATCGCGTCCGTGGAGATTCACGAGAGGTTTGATTCTATTTTCAAGCCCGAGTAGGCTTATAGCGAGGTTGAGACTGAAGGTTATAACCCTACGTCCCAATCCACTTTGGCACGGTTCTCTTGTGCGTGCAGTGAAGTACGAGGTGCGGTTACACGACGGCACGGTGGTAACCAAGACGGGCGACGATGGCGAGCAGTTCTACCTCAAGGACGGCCACTTGTGCGCGGCTCTCCCGCGTGCAATCAAGACGATGCACCAGGGGGAGAAGGTCCTGCTCACTGTGAAGCCACAGTGTGAGTGTTCGATTCTATCTGTCGTTCTGCTCCTTGTAAAGCCATTTCGTGCGCGCTCCAGTGGATTATCAAGGCGATGCACCAGGGCGGGAAGGTCCTGCTCACGTGCTGCTTTCGCCCCTGATGCTCTCTGTATGCTGGCCAAAAAATTCACCGACACGTGTTTTGCATGCTCTTCTCTGGACATCAACAGACGGTTTTGGAGAAGCCGGCCGTCCAGAGACTGACGGCCAGCCGGCAATCCCGCCAAACGAGACGCTGAGCATCGACCTGGAGTTGGTGGCGTGGAGAAAGGTGGAGAAGGTTACAGAGGACGGGAAGGTCATGAAGGAGGAGATTGAGGCTGGGGAGGGGTACGAGCGACCCAATGACGAGTCGGTTGTGAAAGGTGAGAATGGGTTGGACTGGGTTGGGCTGGGTGTGGCTGGGCTGGGCTGAGCATTGACCTGGAGCTGGTGGCGCGGGGGAAGGTGGAGAAGGCGACAGAGGACGGGAAGGTGATGAAGGAGGAGATTGAAGCCGGGGAGGGGTACGAACGGCCTAACGACGAGTCGGTTGTGAAAGGTACGTGTTGTGCTGGTGGTACTTGCAGTCGGCCTCGGCTGGGCTGGGCTGGGCTGGGCTGGGCTGGGCTGGGCTGGGCTGGGTTGCGGTCGGTTGGGCTGGTTAGGGCTGGGCTGAGCATTGACCTGGAGCTGGTAGGGTGGAGGAAGGTGGAGAAGGTGACAGAGGACGGGAAAGTTATGAAGGAGGTTATTGAGGCGGGGGAGGGGTACGAGCGACCCAACGACGAGTCTGTTGTCAAAGGTGCGTGCTCTGGCAAAGTTGTGGTAGGAGTTGCTCTGGTAGAACTTGCTCTGGTAGACTTGCTCTGGTAGGGGAGGGGTACGGTACGAGCGACCCAACGACGATTTCGTTGAGAATCCACCCACCCTGCTTGTGTTTTGTGCTGCTGAATTGTCGAGGTAAATGGTAATTGCCGGTGTGTGAATTCTGGCTGGGTTGGTTTTGGCTGGGCTGAGCTGAGTATTGACCCTAATATGCTTGACTGTAAGCTTGTTTATTTGTGCTGTGTAGTCTTGGCATGCAGTGCAGTACTTGGTTCGTCTCCCTTGCATTCTATTCCACGTCTCGTTTTCCTTCCCCTCTTATTTCTCCTCATACCCACACACAGTGCGCTACACTCTGCGCCTCGAGGATGGGACAGTGGTGGAGGAGAAGGGCATGGGCGATGGGGAGGAGCCGTTTGAGTTCACCACGGATGAAGGTGAGTGGGTCTTGAGGACGGTTGGATAAAAAGGAAGCGGGGGGGAGGGGAGGAGGACGGGGGGTTCTGCAACGATATGGATGGTGAGGCTGGCTGTGTGCAAAGAAAAGTGGAAATGGGGAAAGGGGTGACTTGCCACTGGGGCGTTGGGGAGGAACAGTGGAGTAGGCTGAGAAAGCTTAAGAGTAAGTCCAACTGAGAAACAGCTTTGCCCAACTTAGGCCTGCGGTTCTGTCGAATCCGTCCCCATCTGTCCCTTTGTCCCCTTCCCGTTCTGCTTCCCTTCAGAGCAAGTCGTGCCTGGGCTGGACAAGGCAGTGATGAAAATGAAGAAGGGAGAACTCGCAACCGTCACCATTGCCCCAGAATACGCCTACGGCTCTGAGGAAAAGACCCTGGAAAAAGGCACAGTCCCGGCCAACTCTACCTTGGTCTATGAGCTTCGGCTGGTGGAGTTTGTCAAGGATAAGGAGTCCTGGGAGCTTGGGGATGAGGAGAAGGTCGCGCATGCAGCGAAGAAAAAGGAGGAGGGTAATGTTCTCTTCAAGTCCGGAAAATACGTCCGGGCAGCAAAAAAATACTCCAAGGCGATGAAGCTGATCGAGTACGACACGCAGTTCAAAGACGAGGAGAAGAAGGCGTGCAAGGTGCTGAAAGTCTCCTGCGGGTTGAATGAGGCAGCTTGCCAGCTGAAGCTGAAGGATTTCCCGGCGGCAGTGAAGCTGACGAGTAAGGTGCTGGAGCTGGAGGGGTCGAACGTGAAGGCGCTCTATCGGAGGGCCCAGGCGTATATGGGGACTGAGGACTATGACCTGGCGGAGTGGGACGTCAAGAAGGCTCTTGATCTCGACCCTGAGAACAGGTGAGCACGGGGAGTGACCGTGGGGTAATGGGTCGACTGGATAGGCATGTCTGTATAATTAGGGGGGAGCCCAGGCGTATATGGGCACGGAGGATTGCGACCTGGCGGAGTGGGATAGAAGGCTCTTGACCTCGACCCTGAGAACAGGTGAGCACGTTGGTGAGAATAGGGACTTTGACAGCAACTGCGCTGTATCGGCGCGCCCAGGCGTATATGGGGACGGAGGATTATGACCTGGCGGAGTGGGACGCGAAAAAGGCTCTTGATCTCGACCCTGAGAACAGGTGAGTGCAGGGGGGTGACCGCAGGTGTGAGCGTGTGGTTGTGGATCGACAGCACAAGATTTCAGAGCAGAACCAGAGGGAAGTCAACTTCAAAATTAACTCACAAGTTGTCCCCCTCCCGTTTTTTCCCCCTTGATTCCCCTACCAGGGACCTGAAGCTAGAGTATCGGCAGCTGAAGCGCAAGATTGCAGAGCAGAACCAGAAGGAGAAGAAGATTTATGGCAACCTGTTTGCACGGCTGCATAAACTTGAGGAGAAGGAGGGTGTGAAGCAGGCAGAGGAGGCTGCTCCTGCTGCTCCTGCTGATGGCGCTGCTGCTGCAGGTGGTGATGCTACTGATGCGATGAAGGAAGACGTGCAGAAGGTTGACGAGGGTGTGAAGGAGGGTGGGGAGGCGATGGCTGCATAGGCTGTAGGCTTACGTTGTGAAAATTACCTGGTATATTCATCCTTTCGAATGAATAGTTTCAAATGGAAGTTTATTTGTGAAATGGGAGCAGATAAGATATGTGTGTGGACAATTTGTGGATATTGGAAATCTGACCACAATACCAGAAGTGTGAGGGAGGGGGCGGAATGTAATGATTGCTTGAGACTAATTTAAGCTGGACTTTCAGACAGTTTCTACTGCATAACAGGGTAAGTGCTCCGTTCTCAGCTAGTACTTATCGAGGAAGAACATATCGAGAAATAACAGATTCGCCTTGAAGGCAACCTTGACTTGGAATGAATGTTCAGTTGCGAGTTAGGACGGCATTCGGGACTACCGATCTGTGGTGCTTTCAAACCGTTGTTGAACGCGTCAGAACGTTCTGGAAAATATTGTACCGTGCTTAACCTGTATTGACCTGTATTTTCGGCCGGCAATGTAGTGCCCAAATCAGGAGTCCACGCCACGTTATTCTAAGTCAAACTGCGTGCAGGAAAGTACGGACATTTCGAATGAGGTAGAAACTGTACCACTGAAAACGGATGTACGGAACGCATCACTTTAAAATGCTCTCAATCGTGCGTAAACGTTTTGTACCGAACCAAAACCTTGTCATGAGGTGGAACGGAGCATTACATGATGGAATGGAAACAGCGGGGATTCACAGCTGGTAAATCGTTCATTCTCAGAGAATCTTCTCTATTTCTGCTAGCAGGAAGTTTTTTGCCATCTCTCCTTATTACTTCTTATAGTAACAGTACGGGTACGTACCCTCATTCTTGGAACACGTGCTGCTGTCATAGGCTGTCTCTGCGCACAATTGTGTCAGGCTAATCCGTGTTTCGTTACTTGACGGAACGAGACCATGCTCGCTCGACGGGCTTCCTCAGCTGTGCGGATTCTGCTGCTGGTCTGCGTTCCGTTTCTGCACGTGAGTTTCCTCGGAACTTTGGAGCCGACTTAGGAACCATGCTCAGCATAGATTAGATTTTCTATAAGAAATAATGTTGTAACAGATTAGAAAATGGTTTATGTGAACCAAGTTCTCCTACTCTTCTCCTCTTCATTCCTCCGTCGCTATTGTCACATCAGGCCAGAAATGCGGCCGCAGACGAGCGCGGACACAACCGCGATGTGCTTGTGAGTGAATGAATGGTGTGATGATGTGAGTGTAGCATGATGGGATGATGTGAGTCTAGCATGATGGGATGATGTGATTGCAGCATGGTGTGATAATGTGAATGTATCATTATTTGTTGATGCGGTATTGTGAGTGCGGCATAATATGTATGTATGGTATTGTGAATGCAGCATCATGCGTATGCTGTTGTGAGTGCAGCATCATATGTATGGTATTGTGATCGCAACATGGTGCGATGACGTGAATGCAGCATAATGCATTATGATGCATGCAGCATGATGCACAGTATGATGCATTATGATGCAGCAAGATGCGGTATTGTGAGTGCAGCATGGTTGGCACGTGGTTGTCACCCGGCAGGCACCTGATTGGCACGTGCGAGGCAGGCACCTGATTGGCACGTGCGAGGCAGGCACCAAAGCTACACTCGCAGCATTTCCCTGTCCCCTTTCCCCTGCCCCCTCCGCACTACACTACACACCCGTTCCCTCCTCCGCCTACCCTACCTTCCCTCCTTCACCCCCTCACTTCCACCTCCCCTCTTCAGTCTCGATCCATCATTGATGCCTTCCCGGACGTCCCCACTCTCGTCAACTTCGGGTTTCCCTTCTGCACTTCTGCAACCCTCACCTCCTCCTCTGCCATCCCCCACCCCCTTCCACCTCCCCCCTTCAGTCTCGAGCCATTATCGATGCTTTCCCGGACGTCCCCACTCTCGTCAACTTCGGATTCCCAGACCACCTGTGTGGCACGTGGCACCACAACTACACTCGCATGCACCAGCAAATCCGGGCAGCCAGCAAAAATCCCTCCTCTGCCCCGCCGCCCGACACGCCGCCCGTGAAATTTCTCACCTTTGACGGCCTCAGCCACTGCGACAGCCTCGGGGAGACCCTCATGGGGCTGACGTCAGCGTTCACTGTAGCTCTCCTCACTAACAGGGCCTTCGTTATAAAGCACCCGTGCATCCCCATGGCTTTTGAACCGGCGCTGATCGACTGGCAGCCCACAGAGGACGTGGGATTCGAGCCGGTCAGAAACGAAACTTTTCCGCTGAAACCTCCTGACCGGGCGGCCGATCCTCCAATAGGAGCGAGCGATATCGTGGAGATCAACCTGGAAAAAGATGACAGGGCGAACCCGGAGAAGGTGTTTCCGCAGGTGGAAGCTGCGAGGAACCTGCGTGTGGTGTGGAACAGAGACCTGCTGGTGCATATGCTGAAGGATGTGAAGGGATCGGCATGGAAAGACAGACTCACAGAGATGGGCATCAGTATTCCGTATTCGTTCGGGTGCTTGGTGCGATACCTGCTAAGGTGAGAGGGTGAGAGATGCAAGGAACCTGCGTGTGGTGTGGAATAGAGACCTGCTGCTGCATATGCTGAAGGACGTGGAGAGGCTCACGGAGATGGGCATCAGTATTCCGTATTCGTTCGGGTGCTTGGTGCGATACCTGCTAAGGTGAGAGATGGTGAGATGGTGAGATGGTGAGATGGTGAGATGGTGAGAGGTGAGAGGTGAGAGGTGAGAGGTGAGAGGTGAGAGGTGAGAGGTGAGAGGTGAGAGGTGAGAGGTGAGTGGTGAGAGGTGAGAGGTGAGTGGTGAGAGGTGAGAGGTGAGAGGTGAGAGGTGAGAGGTGAGTGGTGAGAGGTGAGAGGTGAGTGGTGAGAGGTGAGAGGTGAGAGGTGAGAGGTGAGAGGTGAGAGGTGAGAGGTGAGTGGTGAGAGGTGAGAGGTGAGTGGTGAGAGGTGAGAGGTGAGAGGTGAGAGGTGAGAGGTGAGTGGTGAGAGGTGAGAGGTGAGAGGTGAGAGGTGAGAGGTGGGATGGGAGGGAGGACATGGCTGGGTGTTTGGAGGGTTCACAATAAGCCTCGTTGATTCCCACCCTCCGTATGCCCTTCATGTATCCTTTCTCTTTCCCTTTCTGTTTCCTCTTTCCCTTTCAGTTCCTTCTTTCCCTTTCATTTTTCTTTATCCTTGTCAGTTTCCTCTTCCCTTGTCAATTTCGCCTATCCTTTTCCATTTCCCCATCGTCTCTCCTCGCCAGGCCCAAGCCCGAGGTGTGGCACAGGATGCAGCCGTTTGAGAAGCAATTGAGAGGGGACAGGGTGGTGAGCAGAGGTGAACACAGGCCCACCTCATCACTCCTTCTCCTCTTCCTCTCTCTTCCCCTCTCTCCACTCACCCCGCAGGCCCAAGCCGGAGGTGTGGCACAGGATGCAGCCGTTTGAGAAGCAGCTGAGGGGCGACAAGGTGGTGAGCATCGGCATGCACGTGAGACAGTTCGGTCAAGGGCCCGGCCGTCCCAACGCCACTGTTAGCGCAGAGGAGCTGCAGCGAGGCATGAACGATTCCGTGCGGCCCGCCTTTCAATGCGCCGAGGTAAGGCTCTCTCATTCGAAGGGTGAGTAGGCTTGCATGTGAAAGGGTGAGGGTGGTCCCCTTCCTCTCCTCTTTGAGAAGCAGCTGAGGGGAGACAAGGTGGTGAGCATCGGCATGCACGTCAGGCAGTTTGGCCCCGCCCGCCCCAACGCCACCGTCAGCCCGGAGGAGCTGCAGAAGGGCATGAACAACTCCGTGCTACCCGCCTTCCAGTGCGCTGAAGTGAGTGTTCACCCTTGGGAGTATAGGGGGAGCCTCCTCCGCCCCACCCTTCTCCCCCCACCCTGTGGGCGCACCCCTCGGCCCAACGCCACGGTCAGCCTGGAGGAGCTGCAGAAGGGCATGAACAACTCCGTGCTACCCGCCTTCCAGTGCGCTGAGGTGAGTGTTCCCAACACTCCTCCTCTTCCCCCCCTAAACGCAACGCATCCCCCACCCCCCGACCCAACGCCACCGTCAGCCCGGAGGAATTACAGAAAGGAATGAATGATTCCGTGCGACCCGCCTTCCAGTGCGCTGAATTGAGTGTTCCCAACACTCCTCCTCTTCCCCCCCTAAACGCAACGCACCCCCCACCCCTCGGCCCAACGCCACGGTCAGCCCGGAGGAGCTGCAGCGAGGCATGAACGACTCTGTGCAGCCCGCCTTCCAGTGTGCTGAGGTGAGTGTTCGTCCCTCGGGAGGATCGGGGTGGGCTCCTCTCTTTCCCCCTCTTTCTCCCCTCTCCCCTCCCTCCCAACAGCACTGTTAACCCGGCTTGTCATCAGGCTGTCATCAGGCTGTCATCGGAAAAGCGGTGCAACTCAATCGGTACAACTCTCTCTCCTTGCTCATACACCCCCATCCCCGCCCCCCTCCCCTCAACAGCAACAGAATGTGCGGAAATGGTGGTACTCGTCAGCCCTCCTATGGCCTCGTCCCTATCAATCCAATGCAACACTGTTAGTCCGACTTCCCCTCCTTGCTCATACACCCCTCTCCGCCATCATCCCACAACAACCGACTGTGCAGAACTGGTGGTACTCGTCAGCCCTCACTGTGAAGTGGCTCGTTGAATATCAACCCCCTCCCTATCAATCAGTCCAGGCCTTTCTCCTCTTGCTCTTGCATCCCCAGAACTGGTGGTACTCCTCGGCCCTGTGAATTGAAAGTGGCTTGTTATTAGCAACCCGGTGCAGCTCATGCTGTCCACCTTTCCCCCTTTGCTTGCACGCACGCACTCCCCCCACTCTCCCACTCTCCCACTCTCCACCCCCCCACAACGACAGAATGTGCAGAACTGGTGATACTCGTCGGCCCTCACTGTGAAGCGGCTGGTCATTTGAGCAAAGATTATTGGATTCAATTCAAGCAGTCAAGCAAAACCTCTCTTCTTGCCTGCACGCATCCCCCCAACACAACAGAATGTGCAGAACTGGTGGTGCTCCTCGGCCCTCACTGTGAAGTGGCTTGTTATCGGCATTTCGCTGCAACTCAAACAGTCTGCTGTTCTCCCCCTTGCTTGCACGCCCTCGTCAGCTCTCACTGTGAAGTGGCTCGTCATATACCAACCCACTCCCTCTTGATCAGTCCAGCTCTCTCCTCTTGCTCCTGCATCCCCACCCCCCCCACAACAACAGAATGTGCAGAACTGGTGGTACTCGTCAGCCCTCACTGTCAAATGGCTCGTTGTAAGGCCTGTTGGGGACCACTCGTTACAAAATTCACCGTTTTCCCCTTGTCCATACACGCATGTCCCCTCAAAAACACCAGAACGTTCAGAACTGGTGGTACTCGTCAGCCCTCACTGTGAAGTGGCTCGTTATTAGCGACTCGCTGCAACTCAAACAAGAGGCCATCAAGGGAAACGAGTCCAAGGTAATGTGACTGTAACGCGTCCAAGGTGATGTGACTATAACGAGTCCAAGGTGATGGGACTATAACGAGTCCAAGATGATGAGTACATATATGTTCTGTGGTAATTTGACTTTGATGAAGGTAGCCTGCATGCTTGTGTCGCATTTATCTTGTGGATAGAAAGAAATGGGAGGTAAAAGACTAATACTCAAATTTAAGGTCATAAGAGACCGGTACTCAGATTTAAGGTCGTATTCCCTCCCCTCTTTGCAGGTTTTCATCACCAAATTCACCCCGTGGATCCCATCCCCCTTCCAGTTTGCTTTCTTACCTTACGGACTTATTGACCCTAAACCCTCCCAGTGTTTTCCCCCCTCCCCGTGTTTCCCCCGTTTCTGTTGCAGGTGGTCATCACCGAATTCACACCATGGATCCCATCCCCCTTCCTCATCCGCTCCCCTCCCCCTCCGCCTCCTCCTTCCCCTCCCTCATCCGACCCTCCTCCGACGCCCACCCCAGCCGGCCCCCCTCTCCCTCCCATTCCCACTGTTCAAGAATTCCAAGAGACAGTCACCGAGTGGCTTCTCCTCTCTTCCTGCGACTCGTTTGTCGTGTCGCCCTCCGCCTTTGGCCGTACGGCGGCTATGTATTCAATGCAGCCGATGAGCATTTACATGACGCATTCGTGCCGGCCACAGGCGCCCGTACCCATCAGTACTCTCGTCTCCTGGTCACGGCGGCAGTTCTGAGTGTATTCACATCTTGTAGGTCCCTCAAATATCACCTTTGGCCGTACAGCCGCTATGTACTCAATGCAGCCGATGAGCATTTACATGACGCATTCGTGCCGGCCACAGGCGCCCGTACCCATCAGTACTCTCGTTTCCTGGTCACGGCGGCAGTTCTGAGTGTATTCACATCTTGTAGGTCCCTCAAATATCACCTTTGGCCGTACAGCCGCTATGTACTCAATGCAGCCGATGAGCATTTACATGACGCATTCGTGCCGGCCACAGGCGCCCGTACCCATCAGTACTCTCGTCTCCTGGTCACGGCGGCAGTTCTGAGGCTGTTGTTGACCTCCCTTTGGCCGTACGGCTGCAATGTATTCAATGCAGCTGATGAGTATTTACATGACGCACTCGTGCAGACCACAGGCGCCTGTACCCATCAGTACTCTCGTCTCCTGGTCTCGGCGGCAGTTCTGAGTGTACAACCGCCTTGCATTCAATGTAACTTCTGAGACGACTCAAAACGAGGTGACTTTTGAGTCGACTCACTCGTGCAGACCACAGGCGCCCGTACCCATCAGTAGTCTCGTCTCCTGGTCACGGCGGCAGTTCTGAGTGTACAGCCTCCCTGCATTCCATGTACCATCAGCATTTTTATCCACAGGTCACACAGCGGCAGTTCTGATTCTTGTTCCGTAAAAGGCTTGACCAGGTTGCAGTTGGTTTCCCTTGGCGTTCATCCGTCTATGGGCGATCATCATCGTGTATTCAACACAGCATTTACCGTAAATGTCTGCATGGTGGCGCAATCGCATCTTTCAGGTGTCCCAAATTGCCTTTGTACCCAATGCTGCACCGTCCACATGACGCATTTGTGCAAGCACTGTTACCCATTCCTGTCAGCAGTCTAGACAACCACTCAAAACGGCAGTTCCGCGAGCCCACTGTGTTGCATTGTATATGATGTATTCTGCTTCTGTATCCTATGTAGCACACAGCAGATGAATGAAACAAGCTGACTTTCGAGTCAATTTAAAAGACAGTGTGACACTGTGTTGCATTGTATGATGTATTCTCCTGCTTCTGTACTTGAATGAAACACTTGCATCATCGAGTCTCATTACAACAGCACTGACGCTGCTAGCCTTCCTACAGACTCCATCTAAATGATTGCAAGCCACCTTTGTTTCTTTGCTTTGCTAGACCTGAGCCAGTAATGGGATGCAACGAAAACATGGGCATGGGAAGAGATTGCGGTTTCAACATGCAGCTTAAGAGGTGCAACATGCAACAGCATGCTCCTTAGGACTGCCTCTAAAACCCCTCCCCGAAGCTGCAAGGTGCAACGTGCAACGCCATGTGCTCTAAAACTGCCGCTTTGACCCCTCCCCGAAGCTGCTGACGCGGACGGGGGTCTGAGGCTCACACGACTGCGGCGTGTAAATGCTCATAGGGTGCATTGAATACATGTGTATAACGTGCGAAGTGCAATGTGCAACGTGCAACGTGCAACATGCAATGTGAAGTGTGCCATGTGCTCTAAAACTGCCGCTTTGACCCCTCCCCGAAGCTGCTGACGCGGACGGGGGTCTGAGGCTCACACGACTGCGGCGTGTAAATGCTCATAGGGTGCATCGAATACATGGCGGCTGTACGGCCAAAGGCGGAGGTCGAAACAACAAAGGAGTTGCACGAGGAGAGGAGCAGCCACTCAGTGACTGTCTCTTGGAAGGTTTGAACAGAGGGGATGGGTGGGAGAGGGGGTGCCTCTGGGAGGGTGGTGGGATTGGAAGCAGGGTCGGAGGAGGGAGGGGGTGCAGGAGTCAGTGGGGGAGGGGGGCTTTGGCTGATGCTGAGGAGGGAGGGTGGGACCCACGGTTCAAATTCGGTGATCACAATCTGCAGTGAGAGGGGAAACACGGGGAGAGAAGGGGTGAGGAGTTTGTTATTGGGGGCCATGGGTGTTACTGGCTGACGCTGAGGAGGGAGGGTGGGGCCCACGGTTCAAATTCGGTGATCACAATCTGCAGTGAGAGGGGAAACACGGGGAGAGAAGGGGTGAGGAGTTTGTTATTGGGGGCCATGGGTGTTACTGGCTGACGCTGAGGAGGGAGGGTGGGGCCCACGGTTCGAATTCGGTGATCACAAACTGCAAAGGAAGCAGGGTGGGGAAAGGAGGTAAGGGGGAGGTGGGGGAATGGGTTTCTTTTAACAGAAAGCCTTGGTGGTGCTGATGCTGAGGAGGGAGGGTGGGAATCACGGTTCGAATTCGGTGATCACAATCTGCAGTGAGCCAAGGGAGGAGACCAAGGGTGGTTGAAAAAGAACAGGAAATGTTTAGCAAGAGGGGTAACTTCAATGCGACTCAATTTGAGAGATCTCTAGCACGGGGGGGAGGGGGGCTGGGACAGGACTTGCCCTTGGACTCGCTATAATCACACCACCTTTGAACTCAGATATATTGCATCACATCACCCTGGAAAATTTTCACATCACCTTAGAATCGTTCACTTTGGTAGCCTCCTGTTTAAGTTGCAACGAGTCGCTAATAACGAGCCACTTCACGTCAAGAGTTGGCGGATACCACCAGTTTTCCAGATTCTGTTACATGTGTGGGGTGGGAACAGAAGATTTATAAGTTGAATAAAAATCGTCTCATAAAACATTGAGTTGCAACGAGTAGCTGATAACGAGACACTTTACGTCAAGAGTTGGCGGATACCACCAGCTTTCCAAATTCTGTAAGATGCGTGTTAGAGATGGGACGAATTGGTAGTTTCCTTGGTATTGTTTTCTGTGCACCCACCTTGGCGCACTCAATGGCGGGTCACACGACGTCGTCCATGACTTGCTTCACCTCCTTCGGGCTGACGGTAGTGTTTGGCAGGAGGGTTTAGGAGAGGAAGGGGGGGTCCCTCCCCTTCAAAAAGGGGCCTGCTAAATGACTCTCTCACCTTGGCGCACTCGATGGCGGGCCACACGACGTCGTCCATGACTTGCTTCACCTCCTCCGGGCTAACGGTGGTGTTGGGTGGAGGGGGCCCGCGGCCGAAGTGCCGCACGTGCATGCCGATGCTCACCACCTTGTCGCCCCTCAGCTGCTTCTCAAACGGCTGCATCCTGTGCCACACCTCCGGCTTGGGCCTGCAGCGGAGTGGAGTGGAGTGGAGAACGAGAGAGGAAGGGAGGACGGGTGATTAAGGTAAGCTTGTGTTCACCACTCCCTTTCCCTCAGCTGCTTCTCAAACGGCCGCATCCTGTGCCACACCTCCACATTGGGCCCGGAGAAAATTGGAAAGAGGGGTAAAAAACTTGACTCAAAATGAAAGAGATCACATGAGGAAGGGAGGGAGGGAGGGAGAGAGGGAGGAAGGAAGGAAAGGAAGGAGGAAGGGGGGGGGATAAGAAGGAAACTGATGACTGCGCAGCCAGCCACCCCGAACCACTCTCTCCCAGTTACCCACTCACCTCAACAGGTATCGGACGAAGCAGCCGAAAGCGTATGGAATTCGCACACCCATGGCCCTGAGTCTCTCCCCCCACACCGATTCATTCGCCCCCTTCAGCATATGAACCAGCAGGTCCTTATTCCACACCACACGCAGGTTCCTCGCAGCTTCCACCTTCGGAAACACTTTTTCCGGGTGCGCCTCGGGATGTAATTCCAAATTAACTTCCACAATATCGCTTGCTCCTATTGGCGGAGTGACTGCCCGGTCAGGAGTGTCCAACGGAAAAGATTCGTTTCTGACCGTCTCAAATCCCACGTCTTCGGTCGGCTGCCAGTCAATCAGCGCCGGTTCAAAAGCCATGGGGATGCACGGGTGCTTTATAACGAAGGCTCTGTTAGTGAGGAGAGCTACAGTGAATGCTGACGTCAGCCCCATGAGGGTCTCCCCAAGGCTGTCGCAGTGGCTGAGGCCGTCAAAGGTGAGAAATTTCACGGGCGGCGTGTCAGGCGGCGGGGCAGAGGATGGATTTTTGCTGGCTGCCCGGATTTGCTGGTGCATGCGAGTGTAATTGTGATGCCATGTCCCACATAAATGGTCGGGGAAACCGAAATCGATGAGAGTGGGGACGTCCGGGAAAGCATCGATAATGGCCCGAGACTGAAAAGGGGAGGAGCAAGATGGCGGTGGGGAAGGGGTTGGGGTTGGGGAGGGATAAAGTATTTGGGTCACGGCGGGTGTATTGGGAAGCAGAGGCGTAAGAAACATGAGGAATTTGCATGGAGGGGGGAGTTGGCCAAAAGAACTCCCAGAGAAACATCATGCTTCACTCGAAACAACACATCAGGCTGTACGCACATCTCGCATCAGGCTGCACGGACATCATCGCACCATGCTGCACATACACCATCGCATCATGCTGCACGCACGTCATCGCACCATGCTGCACATACACCATCGCATCATGCTGCACGCACGTCATCGCACCATGCTGCACTCACATCATTCATCCACTCACAAGGGCATCGCGGTGGTGAATGCGCTCGTCTGCTGCATTCCCAGCCTGATGTGACAATAAAGGGAAGGTAAGGGAAAGGCTGGGAAAGGCTTAGTGGCTGCGAGGAAAGACGAGGAATGCGGAACGCTAAAGCATAAACATTGAGTAAAAAAACCAGCAGCTTTTATTTCGGACAACCTCGTGTGGAATCAAGATGAAGCTCATAACTAATTACAGATCAACGTTCGAACCTTCCGCTATGACAACTGCATGGGTGACCTTTAGAACGGACAAACGTAAATAATAAAAAAGCGATCATGAAACATAACGAAAAACTGCGTGGGTGGTCTAAAACAGTTTTTCTCTAATGATACTACGTGACAATGATAGCTGCGTCGCCGAAAGTGTCGCCAGTAACGAGACTCACGTGTACAAGGGCAATAGCATAAGTAAGAAACAGGAAACGCTGAGCTGATGAAATTCGTCGACCTAACGAAATCCGTCGAGCGACTCGCATTCTGTCAGTCCAGTCACGAAGTCCTTGAACAGGCAGCATCTCCCGATCACGTGCTCTGAAAGACAGAGACAACACAGCTGCTTCGGCTACAGCGGAATAACTATGTGAACAACTAGCTAACAAGGTAGTAGTAGCTAGTGGACGTCGCATGAGCGAAAAAGGGTGAAGCTGGACCTAGCAGATCAGGAGGATGCATCACCTCGATTTCTCCCTGAAATACCCGCCAGTTTTTTCCCGTCAAAAAGCTGACTGAGGGCGTGTCTGAAGTGAATTTTGACGTTCGCCGACGAAAGTTTGGTCGACGAATCCCGACGAAAGTTGACGAAACTCGACATCCGTTTTCCCGTTTTTGCACTTCAGACACCCAAACGACAAAAAAACAGCACGTGCGAATTTCGCCACTGTTTCCACTGCCCGAAAATGCCAACGTGGATACGAATAGCGAAAGGCACCTGCTTGTGTCGTGGATTTCGTCACACACTAGTCTGTCCAGTTCTGCACAGTTGAGAGTTTGACATGCGTGCAATTGCAGGGCGCCTCGTTGAGAAATCTGGACACATGGGTCAAGAAATTCCACGCCCAATCTTTCAAACCCTAGGACTATTTCTTCCATTGCAGACATTTGAAACCATTCGTCATCCGCAAACGTAGCAGGCACATAACATTCTGACTCCAAGACTCCTCTAGGTTCAACGAGTTAATATTCGTCAGACCATATCAGACATGGATGTATTGCAGTTACTACTCATCTTAACTTGGTTGCGGCATGGTTATTTTGAGCTAGTCTTGCGGCCATTTGTAAAGGCATTGGAAGTTATCCTTAGTGAAGTGACTTACCTGTTGTTTCTCCAATCTGATCGGCTCAATATCCGCAAGGAGATGCTGGCGGCCAGGGAGACGTGGCTAGGGTTTGTGCGCCGATCTCGTCCAGAGCAGTTTTACAATGTATTCAGGATGGAAAAACATGTATTCAGGTACTTGTTGCGCAGCTACCGAGCTGTAATGTCGCGTAATAGTCATGGGACCTTACCACCAGAGCTCAAACTAGCAGCAGCTATACATCGTTTGGGCCACGGCTGGAGCTATCGAATGTTGTCAGAAGTTTATGGAATCAGTCGGTGTGAGGCTTCATTCATATGCGAGAAATTTGTGGATCACGTAATCCATGTTCTTTCACCAAAGTGGGTATCGTGGCCTACACAAGACGAGCTCGTGCGGATGGAGCAAGAATTTAGAGCTATAGGTGGTATACCCGGCATAGTTGGAGCACTAGATGGTACATTTATCACTCTACAATTGATAGTAGACGCATGCGGAAAAATATGGGACTACTTTGCTGGCTGGGCAGGATCAGTCAATGACTCTAGGATCTTTGAGAATTCTCCAGCAAGACTGAAAATTGATGGAGGGGATTTGTACGATTATTGCCTTGTAGCGGATGCAGCATATGGATTTCGCTTCTACACCTATGTCCCATTTAAGGCCTTGAGGGGACGCCTCTTGGGCGCGGCGCAACGCATCTGGAACAAACAACAGAGCAGGTCACGGATGATAGTTGAGCGGACCAATGGTCGCTTAAAAATGAAATGGCGTATTTTGCATAAGTGCATGGAATACAACGTCAAGAATGTGCAGAATGTTGTAGCGGCATGCTTCGTGTTACATAATATCGAATTGGGGCTCAGCACCAAGCCTCGTACCTGTGTGCCTCGCGATCGTGATCGGTGGTGGTTGCGCGGACCAGCTGCACTTGCACAACACCTTTTCTCAATAACACCAGGTTTCTCACCTATGCGCCGGCGGGATCGTCTGGCTGTTTATCTTTTCGCTTCTTGGCGTCAGGCGCATCCTTCAGTTCGTTCACCAGCTCACGGGTAAGTCGGGTAAAATTATCATTGCTGCTCTCAAGCACTTCTCTCAAAGTGCTAGCAAGTACTCGTGCCATACGTTCAGCCATGGCCTCCACACCACGGCCACGAGGACTGTTGGCTTCCGTACTAATCTCCATCATATCCCCCCCCACCCCTGCTACAGCCGTGGTCGTCGCCCTAGGCCCGCCAACGGTCCCGTTTCTCGCCGAGTGAGAGCGCGGCGACTGTGACTTCAAGTTGATGCGAGAGCGAACGGTGTCATTATGATGGGGGAGGAGGATATAGGAAGTACTCGGATTATCACGCTGAATATTGGGAGGAGTTTCATTCATGGTCACATCTGGAGAAAGATTCAGATCTATACCAGTACTGCGTGTCGCAGATGGGTTTGGACCGTTAACTGAGGACATTGTAGATGTGTTCGACGTTCCTGCATGCCATGAGACAAGGTGCCAAAAGATGTTAGCATTCTCCTCGTGTGTAGTTATGACTCCAATTATATACATGCTGTAAATTCATGGGGTAGCGGCTTACCGGTGCCAAGCTGAATCTGACTTTGTGTTGAAGGAGTCCTTGCAGTATTATCTTCAGCTGCCACGGTTATACTGGCCACAGTGTGAGCCGGAGCAGCCACTGGTCGGTTCGACCAGATAGGGTCCATAAGGCTGTACCAAGGTGGCAGTGCTGGCATGCCCTGTCCTGAACCGCCTAGTCTGTCGCGTAACGCGTTCCATTGCTGGTGCATACGTTGTAGCTTAAGCCGGACAGCATCCACACCAAACCGAAACGTCGGGTCGCGCTGTATGACCTGCTCATGAATGTATGCCCAGTAATTTTCACCTTGAATCCCCTCCATGGCGGTAACTCGCTCGTTGATGTCAACTCTGGTTTGAGCGAGAAGCATGACCTCATGGATCCGCCACCTAGGCCGTTCAATGAGTAGCGTTCCCAAAGCCTGCCCGCCTGTAGGTGCTTGGGGAGTTCTTGACGGGACTGGTGAACGCGCAGGGACTGGTTGAGATGGCACTACACCAGGTTGAGTAGCTGCGGGTGTACTAGTTGACGGTGGTTGCAGCACCCCTGGTACATCGTCATCAACACCACCCTCGTCATCCGGGAAGAAGTTTGCTAGCAGGTCCTCATCGGTCAATTCCGCGTCTGGACGCGGCAGGCGATTCAACCATGAAATCCGAGGGGGGGCGTTTCCTGGAGCCGCATTTCCAGCAACTCGTTGGTTAGTAGTGGATTCTTGCGTCGGGACATCATTTGAGTTGTTCACTGGAGTAAATGATCCCTCACCAAGCTCGTTGTCTTGAGACGACATACTGTGTATCTCGGTTTGGAGAAAACGCATATACTAATTCACCTGTGATAGCACTAAGTAACAATTAAGAAACATGTTCTTTAGAAGTTAATGAAATGAAGATAGTTGTTAATGGATGGAGAACTAGTAGTAGATGTGTCGGGAAGGATTCTTGCACCAATGTTGCACCTCAATCTTGCTCTCACGAACAACTCTTGCTGAACAATCTTGTTCTCATTTTGCACGTCAATCTTTTCAATTGATACGAGGCGCAACATGTGGCGTGGGTTCTCGTATCCCAAATTTCGTTGACATCGTGGCAGATCCCAAGCACTGTTTGCGCGCATATTCTGACGATCACAGGTCAGCTAGTAGCTGACGTGTTGATGAATTTGAAATACGCAGACATTGACTGGTGTGACTGCGATCGAGTGGATCAATGTTGACCTGACGTGGCTGACGAAATTCTAGGTGCCCACAATGGCAACAGTAACTACAAAACCTGACCGACAGGACTGTTCGACATCCACCGACGAGTGTACGAACGCCAAGTTTCGTCAGTGGATGTCGAGCTGCACTTCAGACAGCAAAACGCGTGGGACCCACGGATGAGTTTCGTCGACGAAAGTTGACGAAACTCGACGTTTGCACTTCAGACACGCCCTGAAAGCTGACTGTCTGCCAGTTTTCCATACCGAACCGACTGGTTTGACTCGACTTGTACCCGGACGGTTCAACCAACCCTGGAAACTCCGCTATAAGTGATTCTTGCACAGTAACCAACGCAACATCCATGCTGCAGTAATTCTGGGTTGCCCACACTATTGTCTTGCCAACACATGATTTTAGCAACGGCTCTTAGGACTGCTATTTCAACCCCTGTCAGACTGCTGCTGATGCAGACTGATGTCAGGTGCAGTGATGCCACATTAGTTTTGCAGTGGGCCTTGCTCATCTCACTCTGCTGTGTAAGGTGTATATGCATATGCATGGGATGCATAAAATAACCCAGTTGAGTGCACCGCAGTGATATGGCCGACAAACTAAGATGCAGCGCCGCAGCGCCCATTTTCAACTAACTACAGGCAGCCATCCAGTGCAATTCACACGCATCTCAAAATTGCCGCTTGGACTCTTCTCCAAAGCTGCTTACGCGGACGGGAGTCTGAGGGTCGCACGAACGAGGCATGTACATGCTCAGAGGATGCATCGAGTACATGGCGGCTGTACGCCCAAAGGCGGAGGTCGAAACAATAAAGGAGTTGCACGAGGAGAGGAGAAGCCACTCAGTGACTGTCTCTTGGAACGTTTGCACGGAGGGGATATCAGAGAGAGGGGAACCGTCTGGGGTTGTGGTGGTGGTGGTGGTAGTGGTGGGATCAGAAGAAGGGTCGGAGGAGGGAGCGGGCGCGGGTGGCGGACTTTGGCTGATGTTGAGGAGGGAGGTCGGGACCCACGGGTCAAATTCGGTCATGACGATCTGCAAAGGAGGTGAGGCGGGCGAAGGGGAGTAGGGGGGATGGGGACATGAGTTGAGTATTGAATGTTTCGGGTGGTACTTTTGCTGGGGAGGGAGGGCGGGACCCATGGGTGATGAGATCTTTAAAGGAGGTGGGACGGGTGAAAGGGGAATGGGGAGGAAACGGGATGGGCTTTTTTCTACCAAACTACAGTTCTCTTGAACGTTAGCAACTGATGCTGAGAGCCTTGGATGGCACTGTTGTTGAGGAGTAAGGGGGGGTTGGGACCCACAGGATTAAATGGGGTGTTTACGATCTGCATAGAGGGGTGGGAGTAAGCGAAGCTTTTGTCAAACCCCTGGAGAGAATCAGAAAGCGGAAGGGGAAACCGACATAATGTGGTGATAGGTCTGCATGGAGGAAATGAAGTTGGAAGAAGATGGTTCAGAAAAAGGATGAAATCAGAGCTCGAGGGGGGCTTGGGTGGCGGGGGGCTTGGGTGGTGGGGGGCTTGGGGGTGGTGGAGATGATGGTGGGGAGGGAGTACCCATTGGTTGGATTCAATGATGACAGAGGGCAGAGGCACGGTGGGAATAAGAGAAAGAGAGGAGAGGAGAGGAGAGGAGAGGAGAGGAGAGGAGAGGAGAGGAGAGGAGAGGAGAGGAGAGGAGAGGAGAGGAGAGGAGAGGAGACGAGAAGAGAGGAGAGGAAATGAGATGAGAGAAGAGGGAAGGAGAGGAAAGGTAAAAAGAAGACATATAGTCACACAATTTGGACTTGTTATTATCACAATACCTTAGACCTGTAAGAATCACATCATATTGAGCTCGTCATGAACCACATCACCTTGGACTCGTTATAGTCACATCACCTTGGACTCGTTATGGTCACATCACCTTGGACTCGTTCACGTCAATGGCCGCCTTCTGTTTGAGTTGCAGCGAGTCGCTAATGATGAGCCACTTCACGTTAAGGAATGGCGGGTACCACCAGTTTTCGACATCCTGCCACGTGCGTGGGGAGGGGTAGGGGCGGGTGTCAGAGGTGACTTTTGAGACATCTTTAGAGTCGCTAGTAACGAGCCACTTCACATTGAGGAATGGCGGGTACCACCAGTATTTGACATCTTGTGGGTTTGGGGGGACGGGGGAGGGCGTGCGCGCAAGCAAGAGGAGAACAGCGGACTGTTTGAGTTGCCACCAGTCACTGTTAATGAGCCACTTCATATTGAGGAATGGCGGGTTCTTATACACTACCATGTGTGTGTGTGGGAAGGGGTGGAGATGGGTTCGTCATAGGTGGGAAGAGTTACGAGAGAACGCTACCACCAGTTCTCAAGATTCTTCCGTGTGTGAAGATTGGTGGGGTTGGAGGTGAGAAAAATAGGAGGGAACACTGAAAGCAGATTGTTGTGCGAGCAATGGGAGAGAATTAAACTGCCTGAATCACAGAAAATCCTTTAACATGCTGCCCCGTGGGGAAGGGTGGTTTTGAGGCGCCTCAAAACGAGCAGTCTAGTTTTGAGGCGCCTCAAAACAAGCAGCAAGAGAGAATCAAACTGCCCGAATCACAGAAAACCCTTTAACATGCTGCCCCGTGGGTTTTAAGTCGACTCAAAAGTCATCTCAAGAAACAAACCGCCCGAATCACAGAAATTCCTTCAACACGCTGCCCCGTGGGGGAGGGTGGGGGGAAAGGGGCCGGCTATCCGCGTCCTTTCGTCTACTCTTTCCTGATCAAACTGCGTCTTTTCGTCTGCTGCTCTTTCCTGAGCAGACGACCCTTTCCCCTGAATCCTGATTAAAACACCCACCTTGGCGCATTTTACGGCAGGCCACACGATGTCATTCATAGCCCTCCGCAGCAAGCGTGAAATGCGTTGCGTTTTGAGTCGACTCAAAACAACACCCACCTTGGCGCATTTTATGGCAGGCCACACGATGTCATTCATAGCCCTCCGCAAGTCGCCTGAGTTGATGGTGGTGTTGGGTGGGAGGGACCCGCGGCCGAAGTGCCGCACGTGCATGCCTATGCTCACCACCTTGTCGCCCCTCAGCTGCTTCTCAAACGGCTGCATCCTGTGCCACACCTCCGGCTTGGGCCTGGCGAGGAGGGGAGAAGAGGGCGAGACACAGGGGGATGGATTTTTGAGGTAAGCCTGTGCTCCCCATCTTGCATCCTGCGTCACACGCACCTACGGAGTGGGCCTTCAGAAAAGATAAAGAAAGGGCCAATGAGGCTTGCTAATCTGCCAATCATGAACATAACCAACTCTCAAACATATCCATTCATCCTCCCACCTCCCACCTCTCACTTCCCACCTCTCGCCGTCTCACCTCAGCAGGTATCGCACAAAGCAGCCGAAAGCGTACGGGATACTGACACCCATGTCTTTGAGTCTCCCTCCCCACACCGATTCATTTGCCCCCTTCAGCATATGCACCAGCAGGTCTTTATTCCACACCACACGCAGGTTCCTTGCAGCTTCTACCTGCGGAAACACCTTTTCCGGGTGCGCCTCGGGACGTAATTCTAGATTGATCTCCACAATATCGCTCGCTCCTATTGGCGGCGTGACCGCCCGGTCAGGATGCTCGAGCGGAAAAGTTTCGTTTCTGACGGGCTCGAATCCCACGTCTTCTGTCGGCTGCCAGTCGATCAACGCCGGTTCAAACGCCATGGGGATGCACGGGTGCTTTATAACGAAAGCTCTTTTAGTGAGGATAGCTACAGTGAACGCTGACGTCAGCCCCATGAGGGTCTCCCCGAGGCTGTCGCAGTGGCTGAGGCCGTCAAAGGTGAGAAATTTCACGGGCGGCGTGTCGGGCGGGGGGTCGCCGGAGGGAATTTTGCTGGCTGCCCGGATTTGCTGGTGCATGCGAGTGTAGTTGTGGTGCCATGTGCCACATATCTGGTCGGGAAAACTGAAATCGATGAGTGTGGGGTCATCAAGAAACCCATCAATGATGACTCGAGACTGAAGGGGGGAGGTGGGGGGAAAGGTAGTAGGGGGGAGGGAGGGGGGAAGGGGGAAGCGGGAGGGAAGAGGAGGAAAGGGTAGCAGAAAGGGGAACAGGAAGTGGAGAAAAGGATTTTGGAAATGCTGCGAGGAGAAAAAAATGGCATGAGAACTTTCCAATGTTAACAAAGGTACGTGGGTAAGATACAACATCTATTCAGAGAGGCAACTCCATGGCCATCCTCCGATTGTTCAAATGATCAAGGGGCAAAAATACGAATGGTATCCTTAAAAACGACCGTAAAAGAAGGTTATATATATTTTAATATTTCTGAAGGAGAATAGCACATTGTTGTTTTTGGTAGAAAAAACCACCTGCTGTTGTAACATGGCCATTGGCCACGTTTTCGTGAGTAGGATGAGGTGGCTGTTACAAGTGATATTGGTTAAGAGTACTCATATCTACAGGTGATATTCTTGCACCCTCATCTTGCATCCCTTATCACATATTGCCTCACGCACATATCACATCATGCTGCACTCACATAATCACATCACACCATACACTCACTCACAAGGGCATCGCCGTGGTGAATGCGCTCGGCTGCTGCATTCCCAGCCTGATGCGACAATGAACGGGGAGGAGGGAGTCCGGGTGTCGCTTAGTGGCCGGGAGGAGAGAAAAGCCATGAGCATTCGGATGCGGATGTGGACGCGAATGCATGGACATTTCTTGTGCAGGGATGTATCATGCTGTGTGCGGAACGGCAAATATTACTCAGTGAGTCAAGGAGCTAACAGCATTTAATCCAGACACGCTACTGTGGGCTTTGTCAGGCGGGATACACGGATTGCCAGGCGGAGATCCAAGGTTAGTCAAAGACTAATGTCCAGAACATGCGCTCAGAAGAAAGAATAAAAAAGAAGCACCGGTGGTCGTGAGAACGGACAAGTGACAATCTTGGGATGCCATTTTAAAGCCCGGTGGTCGTGATCATCAGTCGACAAATAAATGGGAGTAGCGAGACTCACGCGCAGAACGGCGATAGCGCAAGCCAGAAACAGAAACCGCTCAAGTGACGGGATCCCTCGAGCTAACGGAATCCGCCGAGCGACTGTCATTGTGCCCGTCGAAACCCAGAGAAGCTGAACTAAAAGCGTCACACCCGTGCACATACACAGCTAACTGAACGTCTATCAGGTTCCGATCATCCCTAAGGTATTCCTCCTGATACTGAACCTGTATACACTGTTTTCCCTCAGAGCTTCCTGAATCCTCCTGACAGACTGCCATGCTTCTCAAGGGACTGGGATTGACGAGAACCAACCTTGGGATTGCCGGCCGATGGGTTCGTTCGCTGATGGAATTTCTTCTGCAGGGGCGAGTTTGATCTTGCCTGACGAGCCCGCTATGAGCTGTCCATTCGACACAGAAGAACTCAGAGATTCTTGTGGTAATTTTGCGAGATTATTAAAACCGGGGTGCACATTCAGCTGAATGTGCATCAAAGGTTATCCCTTGACTGAGTGGGTTACGAGGTGTGCTTTCAACCCCTTCAAGTCGAAATTCGTTTCCCCCCTCCCCCGCAATTTCGTTTCCCCACGCCCCCGCAATTTCATTTCCCCCTCCCCGTCGAAATTCGTTTCCCCCCTCCCCTGCAATTTTGTTTCCCCCCTCCCCCGCAATTTCGTTTCCCCCCCCTCCCGCCAATCTGTTTCATCCCTCCCGCCATTCGGTTTCACCCACACTTGCCATTTCACCCCCTCCCGCCACCTACGAAATGCCCGAAGCTCTAGCGGAATCATTTTTTTGTCGCCCCTCGTGAGCCAATCACTGTTTTTCTCCAAACCCCCTTCCCAACATCTCAAGCCGAACCGCGTTGAATGTGCACCCTGGTTTTAAGTCGTTGTTTTCCATATCTCAAGTTCCTAAACACAGAAACTGGGGATATGATGCACATTATAGCAGGCTCACACTAATTTTAGGGCTTCTGACTGAAATAGCATGCAAATTAAAAAACATAATCAGATTAGCATCCACAAGCATACAATCAGAAGAAGCCTTCTAACGACTAATTATGCAGTATAGCTCCCCAAATTCAAATCATTCATCAAGAAGACCATTTTAACTATCTCAGATAGTAAACAGTAAGCAACCAAATCTGCATGGTATTTCCTTGCATAGAGATGTGTTATACTTCTCACAAATTACTCAAACGTGTTCCACCCATACAAGTCAAACGCGCTCGCACTACCCGGCTGCACCTCACCCTGCCTTTCAGACCTCTACTCTTACTGCCAGGTGAGCCACTGCACCTCACCCTGCCTTTTCTGTTGAGTGTTTCCTTCATACTGCTCACAAATTACTCAAACGCATTCCACCCATACGAGTCAAATGCACTCGCACTACCCAGCTGCACACCCCCCTGCCTCGCAAACCCCTACTCCTTCCTACCCTCTCCTGTAGAGTGCTTCCTTTGAAATGACCACACATCACTCAAACGCATTCCACCCATACGAATCAAACGCGCTCGCACTACCCGGCTGCACACCCCTCTGCCTTTCAGACCTCCGCTCTTTCCAGCCCTTCCTCCTTCTGTAGAGTGTTTCCTCGATACCAGTACTGCTCACAAATCACTCAAAGGCGTTCCACCCGTACGAGTCAAACGCACTCGCACTACCCGGCTGCTGCAACCCCCCCTGCCCTTCAGACCTCGACTCTTTGAAGCCCTTCCTGCTTTTGTAGAGCGCTTCCTTTCCTTCATACTTCTCACAAATCACTCAAACGCATTCCACCCATACGAGTCAAACGCGCTCGCGCTACCCGGCTGCACACCCCCCTGCCTCGCAGTTCCTGGCGTTTCTTCCTCTTCAGACGCCTTGTCGTAGTTGTACGCATCGAAATGCGACGCGGTAACATGCTGGTTACCGCCCGCACCGGCCCCACTGGTTCGGAGACTTGCAAACGGGTCCCCTCCACTGTCCTCCTCCTCGCTGCTATGCACCTCCTCCTCTTCCTCTCCCCTTCCTCCTCCGCCTCCTCCTCCTCCCACCGTCCCCGCACTTGCACCGTAGGGGTTGGAGTCGAAATGATCGTCGAAGCCACTGGCGAAGGATTGGAACTGGCCGGGATGGAACTCGCCAGACTGGAATGAGGGATGGGAGGGAGATGGGGGAGGAGATGGGGGAGGAGATGGGGGAGGAGATGGGGGAGGAGATGGGGGGGAGATGGGGGGAGATGGGGGAAAATGGGGGAAGTACAAAGCTGGGCGAGTGAGATAGCATGATCGTCGAAGACACTGGGGAAGGATTGGAACTGGCCGGGATGGAACTCGCCAGACTGGGAAGGGGAGGGAGTGGGCGTGAGAAGAAGGGTGGGGGGAAGTGAGGAATTTTCGAGTTGACTCAAAGTTTGAGTCAATACGATCAGACTGTGATCAGACTGGAGGGGGAGTGGTCGAGTTGGAAATGGCCGTGATGGTACTCGCCAGGCTGGGAGGGGGAAGGGGGGGACAGTGGGAGGGGAGGAGGGGACGGGCGGGGGAGTGAGAGCGAATTATTATCGAAGCCACTGGCGAACGATTGGAGCTGGCCGGGATGAAACTCGCCAGACTAGGCTCCTCAGCACGTGAATTCTGTACTCACGCGAGCGTGTGGGCCGGAGGGGGGGTCCACAGAAGGGCGGAAGGAAGAGGAGGTGTCGAGAGCACAGCTCTGGGGTGCTGCTCTTCCTTCCACCCCCTACCCCATAGCTCTGGTCGAACCGATTTTTGAGTCGACTCAAAAATCGACTTGACACACAAAGCAGCACCCCCTACCCCATAGCTCTGGTCGAACGACCCCACTTTGAAACATATACACCACTTTACTCTCAACTCACCCGAGCGTGCGGGCCGGATGGGGAGTCCACAGAGGAGCGGAAGGAGGAGGAGGTGTCGAGAGCAGCACCACCAGCACCGTAATGCTGGTCAAACGCCCCCACTCCACCGTAATGCTGGTCGAACGTACTCGCATCAAAACCCCCCTTGAAGCTTGCCGCACCAGTCGCAGAATCAAACGCGCTCGCGTCAAATCCACCCTTGAAACTTGCCGCACCAGTCGCAGAATCAAACATGCTCCCTCCGTAACCCTTGAAGCTAGAATCCCTGGAGAAGCTCGGGTCGCGGCCAAAGCTCGAATCACGGCCAAAGCTCGAATCGCGGCCAAATCCCTGGTCAAACTGAGAGGCGTCAAACGGCGCGGCGTCAACCGGATTGGCGTGAAACGGCGACGAATCAAACGTATGTGCAGCAAGCCCCGGCTGCTGCTGTCCGGAGTGGATGGGGCTATCCTCGTGTCCCACAGCAGCGTGCGTAAGGGGCGACTGAGCCTCGTCGTTTCCACTCCTCCGTCGTCCCTCAGTGCTAAACGAGGTGGGGAAGGGAGACGCGGATTCCGAAGGGTCTGCAGCTGCTGCTGCTGCACCTGAGCCGAACGGGTCCTCCTCTGGTTCTGCTGAGAAATCAAAGGCGAAGGACCCGGATTTGGTCTCTGTTACTGCAGCGCCACCTTCACTGTCGGCACTGGGAGATAGGCCGAAGGAGGCAGCGGGAGCAGCGGTGCCAGCAGCGGCGGCAGCAGCAGCTGTTGCTGCTGCTGGGATGCCAGCAGCAGGAGCAGCAGTGTCAGACGAATCTGCTGCTTGTTCGTCCTCCTCCTCATCCCTTTCCCTCCCCTGAGACCCATAGCCCTTCCTTCCACTGTCACTCTCTGCATCACTCTCAACCATATCCGCGGATACAAGCCCATGGGCTGTGTATGGCCGTGATACCTCCTCTCCCTCTCCATACCCATCCCTTCCCCCTCCTGCTACTGCCCCCGCTCCCGCTCCTGCTCCCGCTCCTACTCCTACTCCTGCTCCTGCTCCTGCTCCTGCTCCTGTCTCCCCGTACCTCCCTCCCGGACCAGCCATCGTCAATACCGAACCGAAACCCAAGCCACCTGCGCTGCTCGCTCCGCTCGCCGTGCTGTCATGCTGTGGCGAGTCCACCGAACCTAAATCCAAGGTTCGACGGACAGACGTGGCAGAGGGTGGGGATTTCCCTGCTGACGAGGCAGCAGCAGCACCGCCAGCAGCAACATCAGCAGGGGTGGAATCAGGCGTTCCAGAAGCAGCGTTTGCTGCTGCAGCAGCAGCATTAACAGCTGCCAGGCTCTTAGCAACCGAAGCAGGGTTGAAGGGAGAAGCAGTAGTAGATGCTCTACTGCTGGTGGATGCAGCAGCAGAGACAGGAGAAACCGGAGACACGCCAGATGTTGGAGAGAGAGAGAAGGATGACGCCAGGTCAGCCAAACTCGGCATCGCTGCTCCTCCTGACCCCCTTCCTCCTGCTCCTCCTGCTGCTGCTCCTGCTTTACCCACGCTGCCACGGGACCAGCCTTGGAAGGGGAATCCAAGAATCTCCTTGGAATCACCAGGTGAGACCGATGCTGCACTCTCCTCTTGCACTGCTGACGTCGAAGTCTCCCCATCGGTCTCCTGCCCCTCTCTCTCCCCTTCCTTTCCTCCAGCTCCTGCTTCTGATTGCTTGGTCTGCTTTTCCTCCGCTCCTGCTCCTGCCCCTCCCGCAACCACCCCTTCCATCATCCCGTCCTTGCTCCCCCTCCCCCCTCCCTCTCCCTCTCCTCCTGCTGTAATCTGCAGCACAGGCGTCGAATCCATCACAATTTCCTCCACCTCCTCCTCTTCCTCCTCCTCGTCCTCCTCCCCATGCCTCTGCACACCGATCATAGCCTCGTTTGAATCCGCATCCTCATCCTCCTCTGGAGAGAAGAAGTCGGCTGGACCGGAAGGGGCTGAGCCCATGCTCTTCTCCTTCTTCTTCCGCTTCTTCTCCTCCTCCTTCTCCTTCTCCTGCTTCTCCTCCTCCCCGTTCTCGTTGGCACCTCCAGGCCCTTCCCCTCCTGTATTCGCAGCACCATCAACCTCTTCTGCTGCCATCCCCTCTCCCCGCTTCCCATCCTCCACCTCTCCCTCTCCCGCCCCCTCCTCCCCTTCTCCCTTGCCAGTTTCAGCCTCTGCTGACGCCCCACCCCCACCCTTCTCCTCCTGCTCCTTGGATTTCGGCCTGGGGAACGGGTCTTCGTTCTCAGCCAATGGGGTGTCGCCAATATCCCGCACCACCACCAGCCCTTCAAACTGCACGTCGTCCCACTCGTCGTCCCAGTCTGTTGCTTTCTCCTGAAGATTCGCCTGCCAGCCTGGACAAAACGGAGAAAGACGGAGAAGCCACTTGGCGAAGCATTAGTTAAAAACACAACAGTAACCCACACCAGTTGTTGCTTTCTCCTGGCAAATGAAACGATAATCCCTCAGCACATGCGCATATCTTGTCTGCACTGATTAACGAGAAACCTCCTGAACATATCTACAATATATGTTGTCACAAGAGTCTACACTCTTCAAAGTCACTCCCATCCCACAGCCAACGCATGGAAAAAAACCAGCACCAACAAAGAATGGGTTCAAAATCCACAAGAGAGGCCCCACTTAAAGCCCAAGCTCAATGACCACAGTAGGACGCATGTAACAAGATTGATTGATGGCATGATCAAATGGTGCCATAACTCAAATTGCTTACCAAAGGGGCCCACCCGAGACGTCTCAAAACACTTCTTCAATCTCATGGCATGATCAAATGGTGTCATGACTCAAACGCTTACCAAAGGGGCCCACCAGGGGCCGCACTCTTAGCCCGATGGCAGTGGCATTATGTGTGGCATGGTTAAATGGTGACTGACTAACATACTGACTGGCATGTTGGGGTGCTTACCAAAGGGAGTCTCGGAGCCCACCAGGGGCCGCACTTTTAGCCCGATGGCAGTGGCATGGGCGAACACTGCCTTGCGCATCTCCTCTACCTCCAGAGCCAAGCGGTCCGCCTTGTCCTGATGATGGGATGTGGACGGGGCACAAGACACCCATGAGGGAGTGTGAGCAGCAGAGAAGACAGCAGTGGCATGCGCGAACACCGCCTTGCGCATTTCCTCCACCGCCAGAGCCAGGCGATCCGCCTTGTCCTGCAAGTCAAGGAGTGAGGGACGTTGGGTAGTGAGATAACACGAGGAATAGTGTGAGGGGCAGACAGCAGTGGCATGGGCGAACACCACCTTGCGCATCTCCTCCACCTCCAGAGCCAGGCGATCCGCCTTGTCCTGGTGATGGGGATGGGGGGATGATGGCAAGTAAGGGTATGCATGGAGAGGAGAGTTGCAGTGGCAAGCGCGAACACCACCTTGCGCATCTCCTCCACCTCCAGAGCCAGGCGATCCGCCTTGTCCTGGTGATGGGGATGGGGGGATGATGGCAAGTAAGGGTATGCATGGAGAGGAGAGTTGCAGTGGCATGCGCGAACACCACCTTGCGCGTCTCCTCCACCTCCAGAGCCAGGCGGTCCGCCTTGTCCTGATGATGATGCTGATGAGGAGGAGTAAAAGCAAGTCATGGAGCGAGATAGCTTGAGTGAGTACAGAAGTGATGATGGCAGTGGCATGCGCAAATACCCCTAGCGCTATCATCACTTATCACAGCACAGCACAGCACTCACAATCACAACTGAAGATAAGTGGTTTGTCACTCATTAACCCCTTGCACCACACCACACCGCACCACACCACACCCCACCACACCCCACCCCACCCCACCCCACCGCACCACGCCACACCTGCAGCAGCTGGTTGGGGTCGCCTCCTCGGTCCAGCCTTGACGTTGCGTTCATGATTATGTGAGCCTTCTCCTGTGAGAGGGATGGGTGGAGAGGGGTGGAAAAGGGTGGAGAGGGTGGAGAAGGGTGCGGGGTAGGGTGGAAATGGGTGCGGGATAGGGTGGAGAGGAGGCAGAAGGAAAGAAGATGCAGAGGGAGGAGAGGGACTGACGTGGCGTTTATGACCATCTGAGCCTTCTTCTGTGAGAGGGATGGGTGGAAATGCAGCAGATGCAGAGCGATGTCAGCAATGTGAGGGATGCAGAGGGGTGCCAGCGGGGTGCAGAGGTATGCAGAGGTATGCAGAGAATGCAATGGGATACAGAGGGATGCAGTGTACCTGCATCTGCTGCAGTGCCCGCTCCTCTGCTGCAAGCTTCCCAGCCGACAGCTGAGCCGCCTTGTACTTGTCGTCATACTTCCGGGCCAGTTCCTCCATCTGTCATGCCAGGAACGTGGAGAGAAGGCAGGGATGGGGATAGGGATAAAAGAGCAACTCGCTTCCCAGCCGACAGCTGAGCCGCCTTGTACTTGTCGTCATACTTGCGGGCCAGTTCCTCCATCTGTCATGACAGGAACACGGAGAGAAGGCAGGGATGGGGACAGGGATAAAAGAGCAACTCGCTTCCCAGCCGACAGCTGAGCCGCCTTGTACTTGTCGTCATACTTCCGGGCTAGTTCCTCCATCTGTCATGCCAGGAACACGGAGAGAAGAGGGGGATAGGAGGGAGGGGAGAGGAACGGGGAGAGGGGAGATTAGGCGCCTAAGACAGTGCACCTAGCTTCCCAGCCAACAGCTGAGCCGCCTTGTACTTCTCGTCATACTTCCGACTGACCTAGTTCCTCCATCTGGCACCAGGGAAACGGGGAGAGGGGAGAGGTGAGGAGAAAGGAGACCATGCATTTGCACGTAGCATCCCAGCAGGCACCTCAAACAAAGCAGCTGAGCCGCCTTGTACTTGTCGTCATACTTCCAGGCCAGTTACTCCATCTGCCACCAGGGGGACGGGGACGGGGGAGAGGTGAGGAGAAATGAGACCATGCATCTGCATGTAGCATCCCAGCAGGCACCCCAAAATGGAAAAAGATTCCTGAGGCGCCTAAAAAATTGCCTCCAAATCGCGTCAAAATTGCCTCAAAATCGCCTCAAATTCGCCTCAATACAGTTTTCCAGCAGAGATTTGAACCGTCTTGCACAATAGAAACCTGTCAACGTGCTCCCTAAGCTAAGATATTTAAAAAACAGTAGAAGACGAACTGAAGTCAAGACTCAAGCTGTGAGAACTATGTGCATAAGGATTTGAAACTCCCAAAATAAACAAACCTGCCTTTGTGATCAGCAGTACTCTGCTGCCACGTCAGCATGCCCAGCCCACCCCCTGTTTCCTCCACGTCAGCATGCTCATCTCCTGTTTCTCCACGTCAGCATGCCCACCCCCTGTTTCCTCCACGTCAGCATGCTCACCTCCTTTTTCTCCACGTCAGCCTGTTCAGAGACGTCAGCAAGGCGGAGGTCACAGCGACTCTTAAACATGACCTGGAATGGGAAGGTGGATGGGATAGGATGGGATACAGACAGAGGAGTCACACAAAATCGAACACACACACAGTATATTTTCTTTGTGTTGACTAGAAAATGTCACAGCGACTCTTGAACATGACCTGGAATGGGGGTAGGTGGATGGGATAGGATGGGACATGCATAGAAGAGGAGAGATACAGATTGAGGGACAGTGTCATCGCCACACCACTGATAGACGCCCTTACAATGCCACGTTTCTTACAGTGAAAACAACAGAAATTGAGGTGACTTTTGAGTCGACTCAAAAGTGACATGCATAGAAGAGGAGAGATACAGATTGAGAGGGACCGTGTCATTACCACACCACTGATAAACGCCCTTACAATGCCACGTTTCTTACAGTGAGGGACAGTGAAAACAACAGAATTTGATGGATTGCGACTTACAATCTCCTGCATTTTGTCACGGAAAAACACTGCCTTTTTCTTCTGATCCATCGCAGCGTCCTGAGCACACAGACAACAGGGGGGGGGGGTGGGGGGAAGAATTAGAGAGCAGATTCGATGCACTGTGTGCAAGAGCACACATGCACGCACACATGTGCGTGCAAGTGCATGCACAAGAACACAGCCTTTTTCTTCTGATCCATGGCGGCGTCCTGAGCACACAGACCAGACAACAGGGGACGCGTGGAGGGGGGGGGGAGGGCGCATTACAGAGCACACATGTGCGTGAAAGTGCATGCACAAGAACACAGCCTTTTTCTTCTGATCCATGGCGGCGTCCTGAGCACACAGACCAGACAACAGGGGATGCGTGGAGGGGGGGGGAGGGCGCATTACAGAGCACACATGTGCGTGAAAGTGCATGCACAAAAACACAGCCTTTTTCTTCTGATCCATGGCGGCGTCCTGAGCACACAGACCAGACAACAGGGGACGCGTGGAGGGGGGGGGGGGGCGCATTACAGAGCACACATGTGCGTGCAAGTGCATGCACAAGAACACAGCCTTTTTCTTCTGATCCATGGCGGCGTCCTGAGCACACAGACAACAGAAATGGGAGGAAGGGGGGTTGGTAGTGGTGACATGACAGTACGAAGAAAAACCATTTCCAAGCGTGAACAAAGGCAACAAGGAAAATTCATTTCCTGGCGTGGTGGTGACATGACAGTATGGAGAGATTTTCATTTGCTAGAGGATTACCTTTCTGGGTGCACCTTTCGTTGGCGAAACCAGAACACCTGCAGGCAACGTCAACAGCACAAAATAGTCGAATTGAAGCAAGGTCGATTATAAATGAATTTCTAGAGGCCTGGAGTGGACACCTGCACTAATGACGACAACACACGGACAACAGCCAAAGAAACGCACAACATTATCACCAAGTCCAATCCGTGATTTCGGTGTGTGATATTTGTTTCGATGTGTGTTGTGTGTGTGTGTGTGTGTGTGTGTGTGTGTGTGTGTGTGTGTGTGTGTGTGTGTGTGTGTGTGTGTTTTGGGGGGGGGGGAAGGTGGGGGTTAGGTCACCTGGATTGTGCTGCCACGTTGGCACATTCACCCTCTGCGAGTGCTGAGTGTGTTTGTTTGTGTGTCTGTGTTTTTTCCAAGGAAGGGGGTGGGGTGGGGGAGGGTCACCTGGATCGCGCTGCCACGTGGGCACGTTCACCCCCTGCGAGTGCTGAGTCAGCGCCGCCTGCGCCTCGGCCAATCGTTTCGCAGCAATGGCCGTGCGCTGGTCCTGCACCGGCTCGTCCACGTGGAAGCCCTTCGGCAGTGTGGGCGGCAGCTTTCGTCCCGACTTGTAGCGCTCGATGAGGTAGGAGGCAGTGCAGAACTCGCGGAGGGTCAAGTTGCCGTCCTTGTCCTCATCTGAGAGGTCCCACACCTGCTTCAGCACGTCTGAAGGAATGAAAAGGAGTCCAAGGGCATGTGGTGGGAGGGAACACTCGATGAGGTAGGATGCGGTGCAGAACTCGCGAAGAGTCAAGTTGCCGTCCTTGTCCTCATCTGAGAGGTCCCACACCTGCTTGAGTACATCTGAAAAGGGGGGCAAACAAGGGGTGGGTTTGGTTTAGGAAGGAGGGGGGGAAGGAGAGAGGGAGGGGGGGAGCGAGGGAGGAAGAATTGATGGGGTCCCAACGGGTTTAGGATAAGTGAATGTGCCTCAAGGCGTGATGAGGTAGGAGGCGGTGATCTTGCCGTCCCTGTCCCCATCCACGCCCACAAACAATACCTTATATCCCACCATTCCCAAGGCGCAAAAGGGGAGAGGAAGGTAGGCACTCACCAATAGGCACTTGTGAAGCCATGAGCACTTTCCTCGCCTCCTTGCCCGTGATCTTCCCATCCCTGTCCCCATCCACGCCCACAAACACCTGCGCATACCGCTGTGCCTCCGCCACCCCCATTCTCGGCCAAGGCTGGGGGTCCCCCGGGACCATCAGAAACCCCTCTCCCTCCTGCCCCTGCGCGCCCCCTGCTGCTGCTCCCGCCCCTTGCCCTGCTGCCCCTGCTGGCCCCCCTGCTGCTGCTGCTGCCCCGCCTGCTGCTCCTTCTGCTGCTTGCCCCCCACCTGCTGTTACCACAGCAGAAGACACAGCAGCTGGAGGCACTACAGCCACGTCTTTCATCACAAAAGCATCCAGTGCTGCTGCTGCTGCTGCATCCGCGGATTTGGGTAGAGTGGAAGTGGGCGGAGCGGGACGGGAGGCGGCTTGCTGGGAAGGAGGGGGTTGAGAGGAGGCGGAGAAAGCGGAAGGACCAAAAGCTGAAGGTCCTGCTGTCCCCATCACCCCTCCCATCCCTCCCATCGCTGCCTGCTGCTGCTGCATCTGCTGCTGTCGCTGCATCTGCTGCTGCTGTTGCATCTGCTGCTGCTGTTGCATTTGCTGCTGCTGTTGCATCTGTTGCTGCTGTTGCATTTGCTGCTGCTGCTGCATCTGCTGCTGCTGTTGCATTTGCTGTTGTCGCTGCATCATCTGCTGCTGGTATTGCTGCTGCTGCTGCTGCTGCTGCTGCTGCTGCTGCTGGAATTGCTGCTGTGCAGCAGGCGTCTGGGCGGCAGCAGCACCTGTGGCAGCACTTTGGGCGGCAGCAGAACCCTTGGCACCACTCTGGGTCTGGGCGGCACTCTTCTTGCCTCCAAGCACGCCAAAATCCGCAAACGGATCCTTCTCTGCTGCAGGCTTCGCAGAAGCAGGCTGCCAAGAAGGCCCGGATGCAGGCTGACCTGGCATCGGCCCAGGCTGACCTGGCATTTGGCCGGGCTGACCTGGCATGGGGCCAGGCTGACCTGGCATCCGGCCAGGCTGACCTGGCATCTGGCCAGGCTGACCTGGCATCTGGCCAGGCTGACCTGGCATCGGGCCAAGCTGACCTGGCATCTGGCCAAGCTGACCTGGCATCTGCCCAGGCTGACCTGGCATGGGAGCACCAGCAGGCTGACCACGTCCGTATGAGGGTCCAAGAGGCCCGGGTTGCAATCCCCCGGGTGTGCCACTCTGCATGGTGCCCTGCATACCTTGGCCATACTGTGGTTGCTGATACTGCTGCTGCTGCTGCCCATACTGCTGCTGCTGTTGCTGCGGATACTGCGGCTGCTGCTGCTGCTGCTGCTGCGGCTGTTGCATGCCTGGTCGAGGACCCATTCCCGCCATCATTCCTCCTGGGCCGGGCCCCATGCCTCCCATGCCTCCCATACCGCCCATTCCCCCCATGGGACCCATCCCGGCCATATTACCAGGCATCCCCTGCGGCATTGGCGCGCCTTGGACTGGCACTCCCCTCCCATACGCCCCCTGAGAAAAAGTTGGCAGAGGAGAGAAAAGGAAGGGGGGGGGGCGGGGGGGGGGGTGTGTGGGGGGAAAGGGAAAAGAGAAAAAAGTTACAAGCTATACCCCCCATGGGGCCCATCCCAGCCATCCCAACCATCCCCTGTGGCATCGGCGCGCCTTGGACTGGCATTCCCCTCCCATACGCCCCCTGCGCGTTGGTAGATCGGACGAAGAGAGGGATAGTCGATTTTGCAGAGTCAACTTTGCAGTTGCAACAATGAAATACTCCTGATGATAAACAGCTGAAGTAAAGTAAACCAACACGCAAACTTTGCACGGACTTTCGAGTCGGACTTACCTCTGAAGTTCTCTCGGACTCACCTGTACTGGTGGTGGTGCTCCCGGTGCTCTAACTTTGTTAAGTCATTCTAACCTCTTCTATTCTCTCTAATTACTTTTGAGGCGCCTCAAAAGGTGCTCTAAATGGACCTTTCTCGAGTCGTTCTTACCTCTTCTATTCTCTCAGAATTACCTGCTGCACTGGTGGCGGTGCTCCCGGTGCTCCAGGCCCGGGAGCACCCGAACCAGCTGGACCTGGCGGCCCGCCTGGTCTGGCAGCCGCTCCAGGCCTCGGAGGCACGGTGATCCTAGGTGCAGGAATTTGAGTCACTGCCGGGCCTGAGAAGGTGGCTCGGGCGACGTCTGGGTTGATGTCGCGACCGGATTGGGCGACGGTGATGAGGCGAAGGGCGTGGAAGAACTCAGGGCGGTGGAGGAAACCAGCTTGGCGCGAATCAGCATACTGCCACACCTGTGGGGTGAAGGCACGGAGGGGGAAGGGACGGACGGAGAAGGGATGAGTTGACTAGGATTGACCGGATTGACTGGACTGACCAGACTGGGCGACAGTGATGAGGCGAAGGGCATGGAAGAACTCAGGGCGGTGGAGGAAACCAGCTTGGCGCGAGTCTGCATATTGCCAGACCTGTGGGGACACGGAGAAGGGGCGACGGAGAAGGATGGGATTGACTCGTTTAACAGGATTGAACGATATGACAGAATTGGGTGATGCTGATGTGATGAGGCGGAGAGCGAATGGTATGACAGCAGATGCATGCCTTAGCAAGGGTTATCTGAGGGAGGCCGCATCTCTGGCATTTAAGTCAACTCAACAGGTACGGCAGCAGCAGATACGTGCCTTAGCGAGGGCCATCTGGGATAAAACTGCATCCCCAAAAAAAGGCGATGGCTCAAAAGGCTAACAATAGGTATGGCAGTGCAAGGTATGACAGCATACGTGCCTTGGTGAGGGTTCCGTGAAAGGCATTTAAGCAGATACGCTCCTTGGCGAAGGTCACCTGAGGGATGCCGCATCCCTGGAAGAAGGCGACTGCTTTAAAAGCTAACAAGTATGGCAGCGACAGGTATGGCAGCAGATACCTTGGCGAGGGTTATCTGGGGGAGGCCGCACCCTTAGACGAAGGCTACGGCTTGAAAGCCTAACAAACAGGTTCAACAGCAGCTGATACGTGCCTTGGCGAGGGTCATCTGGGGGAGGCCGCATCCCTGGAAGAATGCGACTGCTTCGGCGCCGCTGATCCGGCCGTCCCTGTCCGCGTCAGCCGCTTGGAAGTAGTGCTCGAAGGCATCCATGTTAGGCTGCATGATGACTGACCGCTGCGTATCACAACGGTTGCTGTGTAACGCGCTATTCCTGTGTTGACAAGTGACTCCGCCGCCGCGCTATTCCTGGGGGAAATGGGGAACAAGAAATGCGGAGGTGAGAAAACATCAGCGGGAAGCAGGGCTGGTCTAGTCGTCCGTGTCTGCATCGGCGGCTTGGAAGTAGTGCTCGAAGGCATCCATGTTGGGCTGCATGATGACCGTTGCTGCTCCGTACCGCTATTCCCTGGGGAGAATGAGAAAGAAGAGAGAGATAATGTGGAAAGGAGAATAAGGCCTCGTTGATCTGGCCGTCCCTGTCCGCATCAGCGGCTTGGAAGTAGTCCTCGAAGGCGTACATGCTGGGCTGCATGATGACCGACCGCTGCGTATCACACGTGCTGTGTAACGCGCTATTCCTGTGTTAACAAGTTACTCCTCCGCTAAGTTATTCCTGCGGGAATCGAGAGAGTATATGCAGAAGCAAGAAAACATCAGCGAGAGGTACCGCTGAACCGGCCGTCCATGTTCGCATCAGCTTTTTGGAAGTAGTGCCGTTATTCCTCCGCACTGCTAACCCTCCGTACCGCTATTCCTGCCGTGATGTAAGAAAAAGAAACACGAATAGGGGAAGGTTCGTGGTGTTTCAAATCGATTAGATACGGGCCTAATGGAAAGCCCCAGTCTACAGAGCCAGGCGTCTGGAAACGATCGCGGTATTGTGAACTGGAAACTAGTCCCAAGAAAAAGAAGAGCAGAAACGAGAATATGAGAAGCAGAAAAGACAGCATGGAGATAAGGAACGAGAAAAGGAAACGTAGAAACAAGAACTTTAATTTCTTAAGAAATTATGGGTATTCAGACGCTAGCGAGTAGTCGAATGGCGACGTGAAAGTAAAGTTGTTTTGAGACGTCTCAAAACAAGTAAGTTGCAACGTCGAAGCGTAGAAACGAGGACGTGAAATCCTCAAGAAATCACAGGGCATTCAGACGCTAGTGAGTAGTCGAATGGCCTGATCCCCTTTCAACGGAAAACACGTTGCAGGTTGATTGAATCCTACGAACATTCGGCACGTCAGGAGCTCCTAGGATTATCCATTGATAAACAAATTGACAGAGACTCTGATAGCGGACACGCCTGCAGCAATACCTCGCGACGCGGGCTCTGTAACTCTGTCACCGTCCTGGATGATGTCAGTGGAGTACTGATTATAGCTAAGCATAGATAAGGGAAATCGAGATTTCCCTCCTCACCTCGGCAAGCTCAAGGATGACTATGCTGCTGACCACATCCCAAGGGACAGCAGACCAGAGCGTTGGCTGCAAAATCGAGATCGGGGGAGAAATGAAATGGTGAATACAATGGCGAAAATATATCAGTAATAAATGGTGCTTGAATTTGTGTCATTTACGTCTTTTACCGAGGATGGCTGAAGTGTCCACCCATAGAACTTGTCACATGGCCGAGTTGGATGCAGTCTGGTTGTGATTGGATCAGAGCAAGCAAATTCGAAGGCAACGTTGCCCGTTTCTAAGCGTTACACTGCGACAGTGGGAGCTGAAAAGGCTACTAACGAATCTGCCCGTAAAGAGCTGCTTTTACCAAAATTCCAAGAAGCTGGCCAATCCCTAACCAGGCTACCGCCAACGCACCGAGTCCATTTTGTTCACTTCAAAGAAAGCGATGGAAAGCGATAACTAGGTAAAACTCTTGAACATTCCGTGTTGATGTGCGGTTTCACAAGGTTCTGCGTGATGACAGGACATCTGTCCAGAACCACTTCAGACGCATCCTCCAGGTGCAACAAGACTGGTGAGTGATTCTCCGAAGTCTCGAGGATTCTCAGTCAGGTCAGGACAGTGGAGCCAACACCAAGGCAGAACTAACATCAAGGCAGAGCCAACCTCAAGGCAAAACCAAGGTAGAGGCAACTTCAAGGTCATTGAGGAGAGGATCAAGACGACTGCTAGAGTTGAAGATTTCGCCAAATTTTCCAGCTTTTCTTCCTCCATTGTTTTAGACTCTTGGTGCTTTGCTTTCAGGTTCAGCAAGGTTCAACTCCGTATTGACGAACTATCGGCTGGATACGTCTCCATTCTCTGCATAATCGTTACTCTTTTCAACATTTCATCGGCTTCACCGTTTTATTTTTAGCGGGACCTCAGACATTGACGCGACCTCTGCAGATTCAGCAATCTGTAATAATTTCAGAGGAAGGGTGGATGTAATCGTAAATTACCCTAGGAACAATCACCGCATTGCAATTATGTGGTCAGTGACTGGCCTTCGCAGCAGCACAAGCACCGCTCCCAGCCTTAGTGATGATCCCGAGGCTCCAACACCCACAACAGCTCCCGCGGAAACGAAAACCGGGTGGTTCTCTCGCTCGCGCGGAAGCTCTAGCACGTCATCCGCGCAAGATTCCACGCGCATTCGCCAGAGGCGGTCGGGTCGAAAAGTGCGAGGGTTCGGCCGTATGGGGTCGGGCATGGAGGATGAAGAAGAGGAGGGAGATGAAGAGGAGGATGCGGAGACATTGGGGGAGATTGTGGGGGAGGAATCGGCGGGTGAGAATGGTAATGCTATATCGAGGACAAACGACGACTCTTCGTCACCAAATTCAGGAACAGCAGCAGGAGCAGGAGCAAAAGCAGGAGAAGAAATCGATGTAACAAAAGCAGCAGCAGTAGCAGTAGCAGCAGCAACAGAGTCAGCGACACATGCAAGCACGAAAGCAAAGGGTCCACTGGAATCTGAATCCGCAGTCGGGTTGGAATCTCCCACGGCGACCGAGACAGACCGACTGCCAGAAAGCAACACGAAGAGCAGCGACGACGCGATTGAAACGCCTGACGACGACGGGCGGAAGGCGATTCTTGGGTCGACTCAAGAAACGAATGAGAGCCCTGACGACGGGCGGAAAGCGAAGACTGGCAGATCAAGTAGCAAGTCGAACCTGGTTGGGGGGTTGTTTGGCGTCTTTAGGAGGGATTCAGGGACTAAGTCCCAGAAGGCCTCTGGTGACGGGAGGTTCTTCAAGAGCAAGAGCACGGGTGGGGCTCTTGGTGGGGGAACCAAGCGAGAGAAGGGAGAAAAGGGAGATGAGGGAGACGAGGGGGTAAAGGGAGAGGAGGGACAGGAGGGAGAGAGGCGTGAGGAGGGAGAGGAGAATGAGGAGGAGGAGGAAGAACTAGAAAAAGTGGCTCTTGCAGGGAGGAGGCGAAGCACAGATGCCGAGCGAGGCAAGGGAGAGGCTTCTGGTGTGGTAGAGAGAGAAGAGAAGGTGACAAAGAGCGCTGGGAGCGCGTCAGGTTCGGAACTTGGCTCGGTTTCAGGCTCGGCGTCAGGTTCGGCGTCAGGTTCGGGGCTGGCTTCGGCGGATGGAGCAGCACATGGAAGGGATGATTCGGAGGGCGAGTCCCAACCTGCCCCGCGGAAGGTAAGAAAGACTAGGGTTTGTATTACGAGTGGAATGGAAGCAATAGTGCAAGTTTTGAGTGCAAGCAGAGTGGAAGTGCGAGTCTAGAACAAATGTGCATAAGCCACGTTCACAATACTGCCATGTGACTCCATATTTGTGATGGTGACCTCAAGTGTTACACCGCCTGGCTTGCTGTGGCTCGAAACCCTTGACTTCTGAGGCGCCTCGAAAATGCACCCACCTTGCTTCCTGTGTGACTTGCATTGCAACCTTCAATTCCTCTGCATGATCCGAAGATATCGGCTGCAATGTCCTTGCATTGCAACCTTCAATTCCTCTTGCATGGCAGAGGGAGACCCTGTGGGGATTCATCAGAAGGACGTCCAGCACTGTAACAGGTGAGGCATCTTATGGGAAAGGTTCAGGTCTAACGCCTCTCAATATCAGATATGAGGCGAAGCATATGGCGTAGCGTATTGGAAATGTAGCATAAGAGTCAAGAATATGAGGAGGATGAGGCAGTTTTGCGCTTCCATCCCTCTTCATGCTTGTGACTTGCTCCATTCCACTTCTCTCCCTCCTCTTCACTTCAGCGCCCAAGGCAGAAGCACACCAACAAATCATCTTTTCTCCCTCTCACACTCTTTCTGCCCATCTCCCCTTTTTTTCCCATTCCCCTTCTCTCCCTTCTTTCCCCCCCCAGCGCCCAAGGCAGACGCGCACCAGCCAATCATCTCCTCCTCCAGTCCGCCTCACGATCCCTCTGACACCCTTGACGCCTCTCAAACCCTCCCTTCCCGTTCCCCCCTGCATTCCCGTTTCGCCCTCCATCCTTTTTTGCCCATCCAGCGCCCAAGGCAGAAGTGCACCAGCCAATCATTGCCTCCTCCAGTCCGCCTCACGATCCCCCCGACACCTTTGACGCCTCTCAAACCCTCCCTTCCCGTTCCCCCCTGCATTCCCGTTTCGCCCTCCATCCTTTTTTGCCCATCCAGCGCCCAAGGCAGAAGCGCACCAGCCAATTATCTCCTCCTCCAGTCCGCCTCACGATCCCCCTGACACCCCTGACGCCGCTCACACTCTTTCTTCAACCGTCTCTGCTGCAACCGTCTCAACATTCCTCCCTGGGGAAAAGAGCGGCGTAAAGGACCTTTCAGGCAGTTCTAGCACTCCTGCTACACTTGGGCAGGACAAGCGTGGAGGAAGGGAGGAGAGAGGGGAGAATGACGAGCAACAGGAGGGGAAGGGGGGCGGAGGAGAACGCGAGAGTGAAACGGATGGGTTGGGCGTGGGGAAGGGGCCTTATCAAGGGGGAGATTCGGGGGAGGATAAGGAGGAGAATGAAGGGAGGGATAAGGGCAAGGAGGAGGGGGAGAGTGAGGTGAAGGGTCAGGAGGAGAAGGAGGGAGAGGGTTCAGGAGGAAAAGCCAAGGGGAGTGGAGGGGGGAGCGGGGGAGGGGCAAAAGGAGCGAAAGGAGGAGGGTTGCTGGGAGGTGGAAGTGTGATTCTGAATGTGGGCGCTGTTCCTAGAAAGCTGTTCTCCTTCATGCCGCGATCTTCTTATGCTAAGCTTAAGGTGAGCGGTAAAGAGGGGTGGAACTCGGTTGAGAGTGGTTTGGGGGGCGTGTGATTCTGAATGTGGGCGCAGTTCCCAGGAAGCTGTTCTCCTTCATTCCCCGATCTTCCTATGCCAACCTTAAGGTGAATTGGGGATTAAGAGGGGAGGAGAGCAATTGAGGGTGGTTAGGGGGTAGTGCGATTCTGAGTGTGGCCGCAGTTCCTAGAAAGCTGTTCTCCTTCATGCATCAATCTTCCTATGCTAAGCTCAAGGTGAGTGGTGTTGTAGACGGGTGGAGTTCGGTTGAGAGTGGTCAAGACGGGTACAATGGGGTGATGGGGCCTTGCACCTCTCTTGCGCTGCCTGCGCGTGTGGGCAGGCCTTACCCACCCA